TCTTCAGTTAGTTATTCAGAGAAAGGTGCTTAATCCACTGAGCCACACCAGCCAGGGCTCTTTTATTTTTATTTTAAAAAAATTAATTTTTTTATTGAGGTAATTGCTTAGTAACATTATATACACTTTAGATGTACATTGTAATTCAATATCTCTATGTGCTATTGTATGCTCAACCACCAAAAGTCTAGTTTCTATCCATTACCACATATTTGACCTCTTTTAACAATTTTGCCCACCCCCATCCCCTTCCCCTCTAGCGACCACAGTTTTGTTGCCCTATTCAGGAATTTGTGTTTTGCTTCGTTAGTTTATTTTTTTATATTCCACACAAGTGAAATCATATGGTAAGTCTTTATCCTTTTCTGCCTGACTTATTTCAGTTAGCATAATACCCTCAAGATCCATCCATGTTTATGTAAATGGCAGTATTTACTCTTTTTATGTTGAGTAATATTCCATTGTGTGTATATACCACAACTTCCATCCAGGAACACTTAGCTTGTTTCCATATCTCAGCCATTGTAAATAATGCTTCAGTGAACATAGGAGTACGTATCTTTTCAAATTAGTATTTTCATATTCTTCAGATAAATACCCAGAAGAGGAATTGCTGGACCACATGATAATTGTATCTTTTTTCTTCTTTTTCAGGAATCTCTGTACTGCTTTCCACAGTGGCTGCACCAGCCTACAATCCCACCAATGGTCCCTGAGGGGTTCCCTCTCTCCATATTCTCTCCAACACTTGCTATTTTCCATCTCTTTGATAACGGCAACTCTAACCGGTGTGAGGCAATAACTCACTGTGGTGGTGATTTGCATTTCCCTAATAATCAGTGATATTGAACATCTTTTCATATGCCTGTTGGCCATTTGCATGTTTTTTTTTGGAAAAATGTCTATTAATATCCTCTGCCCATCCTCCAAATTGTTCATGATTGTTGTTGAGTTTATGAGCTCTCTCTGTATTATGGATATTAACCCCTTATTGTAAATATCATTTACAAGTATCTTCTACCATTCGGTTGGTTGGTTGTTTTGTGGATGGTTTCCTTTGCTATGCAGAAGCCTTTTAGTTTGACATAGTCCCATCCATTTATTTTTGTTGTTTCCCTTCCTTTTGGAATGAAACTCATAAAAACTCCACTGAGACCAGTTTCCAAAAACTTAAGTGCCTGTGTTGTCTTCTATGTATTTTTGTGTTTCAGCTTTTATATTCGATTCTTTAACCCATTTTGAGTTAGTTTCGTGTTTGGTGTCAGATAGTGGTCTAGTTTTATTATTTGGCATATGGCTTTCCAGTTTTGCCAGCACTTTTTATTAAAAGAGATTTTCCTTTCACCATTGTATATTCTTGGCTCCTTTTTTCTTAAGTGAGTTGCCCAGATATGTGTGGATTATTTCTGGGCTCTCAATTCTGTTCCATTGGTCTGTGTGTCTGTTTTTCTGCCAGTACCAAGTCTTTTATATTCACCATTTCTGATGCAGATCATTTGTGAAGATCCAAATTTCTCTATGGTATTTCCTGCTGCCTGAAGAACATCTTCCAGTGTTCCTTGTAATGTAGATCGGCTGGTGCATTGTCTCAGCTCTTGTTTGTCTGAGTAAGTTTGTATTTGGCCTTCATTTTTGAGGGATCTTCTTCTAGCTTGCCAGTTGGAGCAGTTTGAAGGTGTTAATCCATCACGCTCACATAGTTTCTCATAGGAGATCTGCAGTGTTTTTACCTTCTCAGCATGTAGTTCATCTCTCTCTGTGTGCTTTTAAGGTTTCCTCTTTATCATTGCTTTCCCAGTATGATTATGAAGGGACTATGAAGTGGTGTTCTTGATATTTATTCTGTTTGCTAAGACCAGTTTAATTTACGCTGGAAACGAGCCAAACTTTGCCACAAAACAGTCTTTTCTAAACTCATCTCCCATTAACTTTGTTAATGAGAAAAGCAATAAGCTCAGCACTTGAGTGAGAATATTGTAGCCCAGTCCCAAATGATCTAGTCATTTTGGCCTCAAAGGACACATTGTATTATTTAATTTCTCTCAAATAACTGAGTTGAAAGCCAGTGTCCCCAAAGTGTCAAGATAAATATATTTTTGTTCAAGTCATATAACACAATAAAATTATTGGCACTTCCTTCCCTACTCAGTGTATATTTTGTATTGGAAAATGTAGCTGCTTTTAAAAATTTTTTGATTTTTAGAGTGAGGGGGAGAGAAACATTTTGATTTGTTGTTCCACATATTTATGCATTGATTGGTTGACTCTTGTATGTGCCCTGACCAAGGATCGAACCCACAGCCTTGGTTTATCAGGACAATGCTCTAATCAACTGAGCTGCCCAGCCAGGGACGTAGCTGCTTTTTAAATTGTGCAGTTTGTGAAAGCTTTCACACTAAGATCGGGAACACGACAAGGATGTCCGCTCTCACCGCTTCTTTTCAACATCGTATTGGAAGTCCTAGCCACAGCGGTCAGACAAGAGAAAGAGATAAAAGGCATCCAAATAGGAAAGGAGGAAGTAAAACTATCATTGTTTGCAGATGACATGATAGTGTACATAGAGAACCCTGTAGACTCTACCAAAAAACTCCTCAACCTAATAAGTGAATTTGGCAAAACAGCAGGATACAAAGTCAACATTCAGAAATCAAAGGCGTTTTTGTACACCAGCAATGCAATAGAAGAAGAAGAAATCAGAAAAAATATACCATTCGATATAGCACAAAAAAAGATAAAGTACCTAGGGATAAATTTAACCAAAGACACAAAAGACCTGTATGCAGAAAACTATACAACATTGAAAAAAGAAATTAAGGAAGACACAAATAAATGGAAGCATATACCGTGCACATGGATTGGAAGAATTAATATCCTCAAAATGTCCATACTACCCAAAGCAATTTATAGATTCAACGCAATCCCTATTAAGATACCAATGACGTATTTCACAGAAATAGAACAGACATTTCAAAAATTTATATGGAACCATAAACGACCCCGAATAGTCGCAGCAATTTTGAGAAAGAAACACAAAGTAGGAGGGATCACAATACCGGACATCAAACTCTACTACAAAGCCACCATACTCAAAACAATCTGGTACTGGCACAAGAACAGACCCATAGACCAGTGGAACAGAATAGAAAGCCCAGAAATAAGCCCAGGTCTCTATGGACATCTAATATTCGACAAAGGGGGCAGAAGCATAAAATGGAGCAATAACAGCCTCTTCAACAAATGGTGTTGGGAGAGCTGGACGGCTACATGCAAAAAATTGAAATTGGATCATCAGCTGACACCATACACAAAAATAAACTCAAGATGGATAAAAGACTTAAATATAAGTCGCAATACCATCAAAGTCCTCGAGGAGAACATTGGCAGGAAACTCTCAGATATCCCACGCAGCAATTTTTTCACTGATATGTCTCCTAAAGCAAGGGACATAAAGGAAAGAATAAACAAGTGGGACCTCATCAAAATAAGAAGCTTCTGCATGGCGAAAGAAAACATCAGCAAAATGAAAAGGGAGCCAACCGTATGGGAAAATATATTTGCTAATGATACATCAGATAGAGGTTTGATCTCCAAGATATATAAAGAACTCACTCGACTCTACTCCAAGAAGACAAACGATCCAATCAAAAAATGGGCAAAGGACCTGGGCAGTCGCTTTTCTAAGGAGGAGATACAGAGGGCCCAGAGGCATTTGAAAGGATGCTCAGCATCACTAGCCATCAGAGAAATGCAGATCAAAACCACCATGAGGTACCACCTCACACCGGTCAGAATGGCCATCATAAACAGATCCACAAACAACAGGTGCTGGCGAGGCTGTGGAGAAAAGGGAACCCTAGTCCACTGTTGGTGGGAATGCAGACTGGTGCAGCCACTATGGAAAGCAGTGTGGAATTTCCTCAGAAAGCTGAAAATGGAACTGCCTTTTGATCCAGTGATTCCCCTGCTGGGACTATACCCTGAGAACACCAAAACGCCAATACAAAAGAACCTATGCACCCCAATGTTCATAGCAGCAGTTTACAATAGCCAAGTCTTGGAAGCAACCTAAATGCCCATTAGTAGATGATTGGATCAAAAAATAATGGTACATATACACAATGGAATACTACGCAGCAGAAGGAAAAAAAGAAGTACTAAACTTTGCGACAGCATGGATGGAACTGGAGAGCATCATGCTAAGCGAAATAAGCCAGGGGGCGAAAGACAAATACCATATGATCTCACCTATAAGCGGAACCTAACCAACAATGCAAAGATGCAAGGAAAATATGACCAGCAACACTGAAAGGAAAAGAAATCAACAGAGACAAGAGGGAAGGGGCGGGGGGCAGGGAAAGGGAAGGGAAGGGGAAAGTCAAGGAACATATAGCAAGGACTCATGGACAAAACCAAAGGGGAAGAGCTGAGGGAGGGAAGGTGGGAGGGGGCAAGGGAAAGAGGTGGGGGGGAGGCAGAGACAAATGTATTTAAAAAGTAAATAAATTAAAAATAAATAAATAAATTGTGCAGTTTGTAATGGGACCCCCTTGATCCTTCCTGTTCGGCTCTCAGAGGACCCTGTACTCCACCTTCACAGCCCTTACCTCGCTCTGTAACTACACAGTGTGTGTTGTCACAGCAGGTTCCTTCATAAGCCTACAACCCCCAGGAGTGCAGGGAACACCTGTATCCTCAGCACACAGTAGGGGCTCCATACAGATCTGCAGGTGGCAGATGTTCTTCTCTTTAAAAGGAGTGGTTTCGCCATGGGCCTGACTGAAGTCCATTTAAGGGTAGTAAAGTTTGAAATATAAAATTTCTCACAAAGACCAAAATTAAGAAATGAAAACTATCCTTTCATAGTGACAAACTCATAGAGGAGCTAAACAGAGTACTTATGTGTGTTATAAGAAAGCCATCAATATGAGATCTGGTCATAATGTTTAGATTGTATAAAGAATAAGTCTTCAAATTTATGAAATTTATTCCCAGCCCGAAGTGGCAGTGTATACAAAGGGAAGAGCTTGTGGTAATTTACAGAAATGTTTGCTACAACATGCACATCATGAGGTGTTTCAAACATATACATATTAAGTTTCATGCTGAATAAATAATCCCCCCAAATTAATTTGTATTTTTACATAAAAATATAATATTGCACTCTAAACAAGACCAGTTGTTTTGCATATTTCCTCTTTAGATAAATGATGAAATTCAGCCTTAAAAAAAAAAAAAGACTGAGTAGCAACACTATTCTAAGGGGACTAATTTGAGGTTCTCAGTAGAAAAATTAAAGCTAGACAATAGCTGCAATTTTTTTTTAACAAAGCAAATCACTTCAACGTGAACAGGAATAATGTCATCTCTGCACCCGTCTGGACCTCAGCGCTCACAACTGGTCTGTGTGAACATGATCGAAATGCAGCCTGTGTGGCGTTCTGACGCGCGTCCGGGCTTCAGGTCACAATCACCCACGGCCACTTGCTGCTGCTTGTGTTGATCTTGATGCAGAGACTTGGAATTTGTTGTTTTATACAGTTTTTAAGTACAGTGTTTTAGAAAGTTTGGAAGTTATAAAAGTAGTTCTGTAAACACCATGTGAGTCAAAGTTCCATAATAAGCATGCCAGTCATTCTCAGGCAAGAACACGTGTTTTAATCCCATGGTAACATGTCACTCAGTTTAATTAGCAGTGTCTTCAAAGCCAATAAAGCAGCACCCATGTAGAAATACAGCCGTAACCTCATGGTAGAGACCACTCCAAGACTTTCAGGAATTCTGTCCTGAGGGTCGCGAGTTTGCTGTGGTATACAGTTAGATGCTTCCATTGTTCTTCAAACTCTCAGGCGGTACAGGTGAGTGGAAGAACCAGAGTGGAAACTGTTTCCTAAACGAATTATTCTGCCTCATGTTTAAAACAAAGTGGGTGGTCACCTCTTCTTTTGGGAAAGAAACATCTTCCTGTGCATCAGTTAAAATGCCTCGCCTGGACTGGATTATCACCACTGGGCAGACGCCCTGCCGGCGGAGGCTTTCTGCTGCGACCGGCTAGGCTCTGCGTGCTCTGTACAGGGCAGGCATTCAGAGGGTTCTCATGGGTTTAAATCTTAGTGACTCCACTATGGGGAGTTGGTATCTAGTGTTATGGGTTTTAAGTGGGCTGTTTATGAAGACACGCAACGTGTCTGAAGTCAGAGATGCCCCGCTCTTATTTGTGGCTGTCAAAAAGTTCTGGTTCTCCTCAGAGCTAAGAAGGCAACTGGCAGAAACTGCGTTTTAATATTGAGATTCACTAGCAGTCTTATTCAGTCTGCGGACACTCCACAAAATGGTGCAGAGGTGCTTACAGACCAATGCACTTCTCCAGGAAAGCCATCATCGGGCCCTGGATTCTTTAGCCTTTCCTTTTTCGGGGTGGGGGGTTGTCTTGGCATAAAACCTTCTAAATATAATTTTTAGAGTTTTATAAACAATTCACTAACCAATTTAAATTCTATTGGCCCTTTTGGAATAATAGAAAAAGGGGTGACCCCGACCTTTTCTTTAGCGTACCCCTGTAGAAAGAACTCTATGATTTTCAGTTGCTACGAAGGACCTCCGCCCTTCTGGTCAGTGCACGCCGCCACAGCCCTCCAGACTGCCACTAACTTAGACCGAAACTTCCTCCCGGGGCCCTGGGAGGCTGCAGAGTTTTGTGCCAATGAATAGCTTTTATAATTATTTGGGAGGTTTGTTTGGTCATCCATTTCTTCAGGTTCAACCTCCTAAAACGGGTGAGGTCACAAACCTAGCATGGAGTTCATGTGCTCAGAGAACACACAGCTCTCGCCTTCAGCCGGCTGCATAGCTGCTCAGGAAGGAGTAGAACATGGGCTGCTTCAGGCGCTGCTGGTCCTTTCGACACCAGGCAATCACGGTCCCTTCACTGTTAGCTGTGTACAGATGGTGGCCGTCACAGGAAAATGTGAGGCTGTAAAAAAGGAAAAAATCCCATTTGTACAGCATGTCTCTTAAAATTGTATTAGCCTACTGGTGATCGTATAGGGATTGGTGTGAAGAGGTTACAGTGTCTTTATTGGAGCAGAGGGACCCGAAATGACTGCCTGCAGCCCACTGGCTTCGACTGTGATTCTCACATAGGCAGTGGCTCTGCTGCCACGTTTGGGATGCTCCTTATAACCAGGTGACACAGAACAGTATCAGCAGCCCAGAGACCAGTACGTGTCATTCCTTCCTTTCTTATTTTCTTGTTCCTTCTCATTTATCCTTTGTTACTTAAACAACTACTTCAGTATAGGAAACTAAAAAATGTAACAGTACTATATTTTTTCTTTACAGAAATAAATAATTACAGAGATATTTTATTTCCTTGAAAGGGAAAAGGGTAAAAATATAACAAATTATTAATTTAGGTTCATAAACTTTAAATTTAGCATTTTAAAAATAAAGTAGAATCTGAATCCCTTATGTCCGCTCCAGTTTTTAAAGTCAACTTTGTTAATGGAGGAGAGGACAGCTGAGTGTTTATCAGTCTTGCCAAGCGCACTCCTGCAGCTCCCAATCACCATGATGGTGTCTTCAACAGGGAAGGACACAAATATCCCCTCTACAGTTCAAGAGGCCTTCCCTGGGCACCGCCCCAGTGCGCCAGCCTGTTACACTCAGTTCCTCACTCGGACTTTTAGCTCCACAAGGACGACTGTGCCACTGGGTCCTAGACAACCTGGTGCTTGATAAATGCGGCCACTTACAAGACGCTCATCATAGGTCCGAGTGCTTTAATCTCTCTCTGAGAAGAACGGTTACAAAGTGTATTATGAAGAATGGGGGTGGTGGGCTTACCTTACAATTGGCTGATTTGATTTAGGAAACGTGATTTCCCGCACAGGCTTTAGGTCCCATGTACTCCATAACCTAGAGATGAAAATAGTTGCCATCTAATTATGCAAACTACATTTCCTTCATCAAGAAAACCTACATACTTGCTCATTTGTTAAAAAACATCTAGAAGGGAACACAATAAACAGTTAATAGCAGTTACTTCTGGGAAGTTTGCAGGGGTGGGTATGGGAGTAAGAAAACCTAACTGGATATATTTTTGTATTGTTAATCTTTAACTGTTAACAAACAATATAAAATTTCACAATGGCACTAAAGCCATCTTTATTGCTTCTACATAAAACAGGAATAACTGAAGAACTTATATTGTAAGGTGACTCTTAAATTCTAGTGGTTCAATATTAATCTTCCTATATGTTAACAACTCATTTTTGAACTGCAGGTCCTTGTGAACAAAAGCAGACAGAGATCTGGGAGCATCTCACCGCACGACCCCGTTTTCCAGGCCCCCCGCAATCACGTTGACAGAGACACCCTCCGGCTGGTTGGAAAAGGCCACGGAACAGATGATCTCCCTGCAGTGCACGTGTCCCACGAGGTCCCCGTTCACCGTCCACAGTCTGAGGTCGCTACCTCCGCCAGCTGGAACACCAAACCAGTGCGGTCACCAGGGGGGCAGCTCCCGCCCTCCACCCTGGGCTCTGGGCATAGCCTGGGGCCAAGCGCACGTTAGTGATGAGGCTGGCAGGCAACTCCCAAGTGCAGAATGAACAAATGAAATCACTACACTGTAAGTCACAGGAAGCTCTGCGTCTTTCTAGACACAATAACCAGTAAAAAAAGGAAAAAAAAAATTGCCATTGAGAGCAGTGAGGTAAATTAATCATGAATCATAATATTTCAACACATGAACTGCCAAATCTGAATCTGAAAGTACCCAGAAAGCTAAACAATCTTCAAAAGGAGAAAATATTCTGTGAAATCTATAAGTGACTTGTATGACATCTGAAGAAAAAAAAAGTTACCTGGGTAAAAACTAATTCTTAAAAAAAAAAATTCTTTAGAATGTCTAAGATTGTCTTATAAATCAATGCCTTATTAAGCTAATTTTCTTCTTTTCACAGACACTGACTAACCGAACTTTCTATGGTTTTCCATGGGCTGGAGGAGGCAGTATTGCGGCCATTCTCTGTGAACAGGCTTTTGCTGCCTTCCTTGGAGACACATTCAAAGGCTGACAGGGAGAAGAGGGCGCAACAAAGTTTGGAGGCCATCATGTCGTGATACTACAGTTGATTTTATTTCTCAATTATAACTAACATAAAGGCAGAGGATTTATGTCTCTCCTTCATTAAGGCAATGAAAAGATTTCATATTTTATAGCAAAGAAACAAATACTGGAAATACTTCTTTATTTACAGATATGCTAAAGACCTTCAAATATCACGATCCAAAATACCTAGTGTGTTGCACATTATTCACAGTAGCTGAAAGGTGGAAACAACCCAAATGTCCATCAATAGACAATTGAATAAACAAATGTGGTCTATCTGTGCCAGCAATTTTCAACCTTTTCCTCTCATTGCACACATCAACTAATTACTAAAATTCTGCTGCACACCAAAAAATATATTTTGCCAATGTGACAAAAAAAATAGGTATAATTTTGATTTATAAAAAAATAAAATTACCTTTTTGCTCCGTATTGATGTTTTTAAAAAAATCAGGTGCCTATGCTTTGTATATAGGGATTTCCGTTACTAAGAATTAACTAATCAGACACAACCTTATTATATGACATGACCAATAAGATGCAACTCTGTTATATGACCTATATATTTATGATTTAAGACAGGCCATTCACACTGGATGGCTATTGTTGTGTTGGCTGTTGTCATTTTTTTTTATTTGACAACCAAAGGGAAAAGACGTCAGTGCCCCTGACTAAATAGTCAGATATTTCATGTTTTAAACATTCTTGTGGCATACTGGTAGAAAATCATTGATCTATACAATGGAGTAATATTCAACCATAAAAAGTAATGAATCCCTGACTGGTGTGGCTCAGTAGGTTGGGCATCATCCCACAAACTGAAAGGTCGCTGGTTCGATTCCTGGTCAGGGCACGTGCCTGGGTTGTAGGCCAGGTCCCCAGTTGAGGGAGTGCAAGAGGCAACCTATCAATGTTTCTCTCACATATCAATGTTTCTCTCCCTCACTTCCCCTTTCTCTAAAAATAAATAAAATCTTTTTTAAAAAGTAGTGAAGCTCTGACACATGCTAGCTACAACATGGATGAACCTTGAAAACATTATACTAATTAAAATAAGCCATACATAAAAAGACAAATGTTGTATGCTTCCATGGCTGGAAAATATCTAGAGCAGGCAAATTCAGAGAGACAGAAGTAGGACCGAGGTTCTTAGGAGCTGTGGGGGAGGGAGGAATGGGAAGTTACAGCGTTTCTGTTTGCAGTGATGAAAAAGTTTTTGAAGTAGTGGTGATGGTTGCACAACATTGTGACTGTAATGGTGCCACTCAATCATGTACTTTTAAATGATTTAAATGGCAACTTTTCTGTTAACTGTATTCTAACATGCACACACACACAAACACTCAAATTTTAAAATATCCAATGTTCTACTCAGACTTCTGATTGTAAACTATTGATTAGGAGATTATCTAAATAAAGCATCAAGATGTAGGAGATGATAAACTCATCTTTCCCACAAGTAGATTACATTTTACTTTTTCTTTTGAATTTAATATCTGATAAAAGATAAAAAAAACCCTATGTGTACTAGTGAGGTTAGAGGGCATATTAAAGTCATTGACTACATGTCTATAAAAGTTGATACAGGGTTTGGTCCCTGTAATCCCCGGCTATGGCATGGCTAGTCCTTCAAAACAAAAGCGTAAACGTGTCTTGGGCTCTCTGAGCACAGAATGGAACTTAACTGGCAAAGAATTACCACCGCAGATCACCCAGCAACTTAGGTCACAAAACCAAGTAAGTATTCATCTAGGGTTGCAAAAGTCAAAAATATCAAGGCCCTTATCCAGCACTAGGTTGCTTTCATGTACAATTTAGCACATCAACTAAAAGTCAGAGAATTGGGCTTTGCTGGAAAAACTTTATTCTTCCTATGCATCATCACTGAAATTAAAATAAATTGGAGAACCATCATCTACCCTGAATCTTAGGATATTATATTCACTTAATAATGACACTATAACACATAACCAGGCTATGAATCCTATTTAAAAGGCATAGATTTTGATCCAGTGATAGAATGATTTAAAAAAAAAATACAGAAACCATTTAGTATAGTATCTACATAGTTTGAGAAAATTTCACATCTTACCACTATGAAAATGACATCCGATAATAAGCACTGTGGAATTATCAGGAAGAATGAGCTACTGTAACCTCAGCCCCGATACAGAAGTTTTTGAGAAGATAGTATGCATGTTTGTAGATATGTACACATGTATACACACAAAACATACATGCATAACATACATATATTTATAATTTTGATTTTAAAGTTACTTGGATGGTATTCACTAAAGGGTTAAGACTTTCTGTAGACTAATAACTTTCTTCCCTTCTTGGTCTATAAGAATAGGAAGATGAACTTTAGTCTGAGTCACCAAACATAAATTTGGTCCCTTTTTAAAAAAATCATTATTTTGTTATGCTCTCTATATACCAAATGTTCTTTATGACTTCTCCCTAATATGTACCAAAAAACCTTTAAAAAGTTGAGAAGGCCTTTTTCTTCAAATTAGGAAAAAAGTTCTACCATTATCACACTATGTGCTGCCTAGGGACACCTGCAAACCTGCGAGTGAGTTGGTAACTGCAGCAAAAGTAATTTTGCCTCTTGTTCCCATATGACTAGCTGATATAATAGCACAGAAATAAATCACTACTGGCAGCAGGAAAGTAATTAACTTTAGAGAATTCAGCTCCCTCAGGACTAGTCCTAACTTCCAAATGTTGCCAAACAAGAAAATAGAGACCTCTATATAAATAATCATTATGTTATTCCCCCAGATTTCCTCTTGATGTAATACGCCAAGAGTGGCTATCGTACAAGTCAAGGAAGAACAATGGGCAAGGTCATCAGTCATCTGCCCGCACTCATGTTTACCATGTCAGCTGTTTAAGAGTCTTCCCCTCAGCTGTGCTGCTTAGCAAATAAAACTGTTTTCATGGCATTATTTGATGAATGGGACTAAGATAGGAAAATCACATCTGAAATCTTTAACATGGCTAAAGACATTACTTTCCTTGAATGTAAGAATGAATGAACATTTTGTAAAAACAGTAAAACTCCAAGAGATGTTTGTGGTAGGAAGAAATAGGTTTTTCTCCTAGGTTGCCGGCACAGAGCTCCTGAAACCGTGGTAATTTACTGTCTTTTGATGCTCCTGGGAGGGGGCAGGGAAGAGACTAGTTTCAGGATGGGGGCTGGTCCCCAGAAAACCCAACCATGGGATTAGAGAGGGTTAGGACACACAGCACCTCCCCACTTCCTGGGAGGCAAGAGGACCTGGAGATTGAGCTCAACTACCAACGGCCAGTGATATAATCAACTATGCCTACCTGATGAAACCTCAGAGAACACCCTAAACAGGGGTAGGAGAGCTTCCGACTTGGAGAACACACTGTCGTGCCAGGAGGTGCTACCCTCTGACTCCATGTGGACAAACCGTCTGGATTTCACTCTAGGTCCCTCTTCACCTGGCTGTTCATATGTCTGTCCTTGATAATAAACTGTAGTAGTGACTCTAGTGTTTTACTGATTTCCATGAGTCCTTCCAGTGAGACTCTGAACCTGGTGGGGGGGTCTCGGGACTGACTCCCTAATTTGCCAACCTCAGTAGCTGGTAAGAACTAAGCTGCACGGCTGGACACCCAGTGGTGTCACGGAACTGGAGGACTGTTTGGTGTCGGGAAAGACAACGTGCATTTGGTTTAAAAAAAAAAAAATGCAAGCAAAGGCTAGAGAACTACCCACTACAGATGTGTTAAAGATATTCTATACAGAGTGGACAGAAAGAAACAGTTTTTCAAAGGATGCTTTCAATTTTAAGATCCTGAGGAATAGAAATGCAAATAGAAAATTTAGGAATTTTCCAAATGTTTTCTGCTGCATCAAGTTTTCTAATATGTATACATGAAAAAACAAAAACCAAAAACAAGACCTTTAACTTTGTCATGTAAGTTTCATGTGAAATTATACCTCCATTTGCTACTCTGTGTCACTGTTCTCTCTGGCCTGGAAGACACACATTCAAAGCCAAAGCTGACCGACCGCCTGCTGATGCTTTTTATTTCAGGAGGAAGATAATGAAGTTAGTAGTTAAAAAGCAGAAGAAAAAAGGACAGAAGAACAAAACGCAAGAAAATTCAGATAATTACCTAACAATAATTACATATGCTCAAATACAATATTAAATATATCAGAAAAAGAGTTAAATTAGGACAATACTAACTTCTGTATCAGCTGATGCCTAAATTGATGACTCACTTCTGAGCCTGGCTGGATTTCAGTACAGTGCTATTAACAAAGTGGTTGGATCTGGAAGGGCCTGCGAGATGTATCCAACAACGTAACTATGATGTCACCTTAGCAACGGCCTTGTGCGTGGTTTGGGGCTGGCTTACCTGAATCACACACTGTGGCAATGTCACCTGTCGTCTCACTAGCAGAGACGGCTGTGACAGGGCTTTTGTGTCCTGCCAGAGTCTGTACGTAGCACAACCTGAAAGACCAAAGACATGACTTTGCAAATAATCATGAAATACAATTATATTGTCTTATTTAGGTAGCTACTATTTGTAAGGCATTTCCTAACTGACCTTTTGATTTCAAAGATTACAAAGGTAAAGTTTGTACTGCAGGCTTTAAATTATTGTGATGTAAAGATGTTATTTTTGTGCACCTGTCATGCAGCAAGAGCCAGAACGTCAGTTGAGTCAGCTGTGCTGGAGCGGGAGACCCTCCGTACCTGTTCAAGTCCCAGATGATGCAGGTCCCGTCTCTGCTCACACTTATCAGGATACTGTACGGCTTGCAGACAAACAGGCTAGTGACCTCCTCGGTGTGCCCATAGAGATGTACCTGGGACTCCATCTCTATCTCTGAAGGCTGAAACTCAAAATTAAGGAAAGCATAAGATAAAAGCAATGACAAAAGTATCCTTGTATTTACCTAAAAAACAACTGAAGTGACTCAAATATTTGCAAACATTTGATTTTTCAATCAAATTCAGTTCAATGTTTTCTAAAAAGTAAAACTAAACATTAAAAACATTTTTTATTGCCCTGACTGGCATGGTTCAGTGGGTTGGGCATTGTCACACAAACTGAAAACTCGCTGGTTCAATTCCCGGTCAGGGAATATGCCTGGGTTGCAGATCAGGTCCCCGGTTGAGGACGAGCGACAGGCAGACAATTGATGTTTCTCTCACATCAACGTTTTTATCCCTCCCTTTTGCCCTCCCTTCCCCTCTCTCAGAAAAATGGTAAGTAAAATCTTTAAAATTTTTTTCATAAATATGTTTATTTTGTATATTCTTGTTCAGTCTTTGTCCAAATACACATTTTTATAGTTGTAAAAACTGCCATACGAAGAATTTTCTATTTTATATTTTACACAATCTCCAATAAGCATTTTCCATTTTTGAAATTGTCTTCAAAATAATTTTAATAGTGTTATAACTAATATTCTATATAGTTAGTATCCTATAATTTACTTGAATATCCTTTATTGATAGACATTTACAATTATTTATAATTTTAAAAAGTTATAGATTCCATAATTAAATTCTTCATGTATAATAGTTGTATTTCCCCTCTGAATTATTTCTTTAGAATAAATTTCCAGCCCTGGCTAGGTAGCTCAATTGGCTGGAGCATTGTCCCATGCACCAAAACGTTGCAGATGCCTTGGTTGCGGATTTGATCCCTGGTCAGGGCATGTATGGGAGGCAACCTATCAATGTTTCTCTTTCTCTCTCTCCTCACCCCCACTTCCTTCTTCTCTCTCTAAAATCCTGGGGTGAGAATTTTTTGAAAAATTTTTTAAATTTATATTTCATATACACACACCGATGTATATACAAATATATGCGTGTCTGTATTTTTTTCATCTCCCTGACCATGAATAATATTTATGGAGTAAACACAACCTGGGGTCCCTATAGTGGTTTTTGATAACTTTATAGATTTTACATTTTAAAATGATTCTGAGAGTTAGTGTTACTAGATGGTTCCCTGGTGGATAAGAAAATAATTTCTATGGGTGGAACAGGAATCTTGTGCTGGCTACTTCTTTTTAAAATTCTTCTCGAATGACATAATGCTACCTTGGATAAGCTGCATATACATTCTTCTCTCCCCACCAGTTTAGAGAATAGAAACATAGATGTTCATTTATATGAAGATGAGGTGGCCACACTATTAGAGAAAAAATAACTCAAGAGCAACTGTTTTAAAATCAGTTATCACTTTTGGAAAATATTCTTCCCTAATATGTAAATGGCTTACAGATAACAATTCCTTATAACAAGTCCACTGATTCACCATTACCTAGGATGCATTTTACAAGACTACCTTGGGAGGTTCAACAGACAGGTAAAATGCTCAAAGTTAGATGTGCTTCATGAGTGAGCTCAGGAGGGTATTCCATAAGATCCCCTTGCAAGTATTTTCAAATAACAATTATTTTGGTCAAATCCTGCATGGCACGCGGGGCACCTGTCTTTTGTGAGTGCTGAAGCCAACACGAATAAGAGTACAGCGCTTTGAGAGGCCTGGCATGCAGTTGGGTGGGAGAAAGGACCTAGTGAACAAGAGGCGCCTCCCAGCAACTCACAGGCACAGGGTCACAGGGCAGTGTTAGGGGTGCCAGGCTGGTGAGGTGGTCCCTGGGTAAAAGCAAGAGTCACATCTACAAAAATCCGAGCAATGTGCCATCAGGTCCAACAATGATAAAAGCACACCATTAAGATGCATTGCTGGACATAGTTTCAATAGTAACTATTAATCTCATGATTTGATTACCTACTACTAATAATACTTAGGAGAACAAGAAAAGCCTTGAAAGTAAACTGAAGAACCTCCGGGAAAATATATAACTGAGAAAAGATAAGCAATATGAGACAAGCCTACAGTAACTTCCAGATTAGAAGAAGACTATGTTTTGCTTGTTCAAATTATAATAGTGACACCCTTGGCTTGCCATAGTCAAAGCTATGCTGTGCACAGTCACTCCTATACTGACAACTTTATCCTTTTAAAACCTATCTACATACTGCTTAGTGTAGAATTAAAAATTTAAATTATATGGAGAATGGGCTTCTGGCCAAATGTAGGTGTAGGTAGATACACTTTGCCTTCTTGCACAAGATAAGAAGGACAACAAAAAATTTAAAAACAAAAATGAACAAGAACTGCCAGAAAATGGAACTGTAAGGAAGTCTGACAATCAGGTCGCTAAAGAAGAAACATTCATCCAGACCAGAGGAGGGAAGGAGACGGGCAGCCGGGGTGGAGAGGACACACAGCAAGGCGGTGGCTGGCAGACCAGGTGGTCCCTCACTTGTGTGCAGGAAAACCAGGAGAGACAGCTGGGAAGCGAGACAGACTGTACAACCCAGGGTTCCAGTGTGGGAAACTAAAGCCTCAAAACTTCTGGCTGTGAAAACCTGTGGGGTTGCGGTGCTGGGAGAAGCTCCTAGCCTCACAGGAGAGTCCGCTGAAGGGACCCAGAGAGTCCTAGAATGTACAAAAGCCCACTCACCTGGGAATCAGCAGCAGAAGGGCCTAATTTGCTTGTGGGTAGCAGGGGATGTGACTAAAAGCTGGTGGAGAGCCGAGCCAGTGGCATTGTTCCCACTTGGACCCCTCCCCAACACACAGCATCACAACACAGAGACCTGGGTTGCCCTGCCCTGGTGAATACCTAAGGCTCCACCCTTTTCAATGTAACCGGTGCGCTGAGACAAAGAAATATGGCCCAAATGAAAGAACAGATCAAAGCTCCAAAAATGGAACTAAGCATTGAAGCAATAGCCAATCGGTCAGATGCACAGTTCAAAACACTGGTAATCAGGATCCTCACAGAAATGGTTAAGTATGGTCGCAAAATGGAGGAAAAAGTGAAGGCTATGCAAAGTGAAATAAAGAAAAATATCCAGGGAACCAACAATAAAGGGAAGGAAACCGGGACTCAAATCAACAATTTGAAGCAGAAGGAAGAGATAAACATTCAACCAGAACAGACTGAAGAAGCAAGAATTCAAAAAAATGAGGAGAGGCTGCAGAACATTTGGGACAACTTTAAATGGTCCAAAATCTGAATCATAGGGGTGCCAGAAGGAGAAGAGGAAGAGCAAGAAATTTATTTGAAAAAATAATGGAGAATTTCCCCAATCTGGTAAAGGAAATAGACCTCCAGAAAGTCCAGAAAACTCAGAGAATCCCAAAGAACTTGGACTCAAGGAAGCACACACCAAGGCACATCATAATTGCATTATGCAAGATTAAAGATAAGGAGAGAATCTTAAAAGCAGCAAGAGAAAAGGAGCAAGTTACCTACAAAGGAGTTCCTGTAAGACTATCAGCTGATTTTCAAAAAGAAACGTTGCAGGCAAGGAGGGGATGGAAAGAAATATTTGAAGTCATGGAAGACAAGGACCTACATCCAAGATTACTCTCTCCAGCAGAGCTATCATTTAGAATGGAAGGGCAGATATAGTGCTTCCCAGATAAGGTCAACTTAGAGGAGTTCATCATCACCAACCCTTTATTGTACGAAATGTTAAAGGGACTTATCTAAGAAAAAGATAAAAAACTACGAATAGTAAAAGGACAACAAACTCACAACTATCAACAATGAACCTAAAAAAAACCCCCCAAAACATAAATTAACTAAGCAAACAACTAAAACAGGAACAGAATCAGAAATGGAGATCAGGGAGGGGGAAGAATGGGGGAAAAGGTACAGGGAATAAGAAGCATAACTGGTAGGTACAGAATAGACAGGGAGAGGTTAAGAATAATATAGGAAATGGAGAAGCCAAAGAACTTATACGTACGACCCATGGACATGAACTAAGACGGTGGAGGCGGGGGGAACGCTGGTGGGAGGAGGGGTGCAAGGTGCAAGGGAATAAACGGGAGAAAAAAATGGGACAAATGTAATCGCATAATCAATAAAATATATTAAAAACTAATAAATAAATAAATTATAGTGAGAATGGAAGTAAGAAAAACCTTATAAGAACAAGGCTGTTCAAAGTGTTGGGCAAAGCAGGAGGAAAGGAAAAAACCGCCAACGAAGCTGGTTTTTAAGTGGGTTCTGTGAAGCTCTCTGAGTTCACGAGCAGTAGGCTGCTCCGGCGGCACTGATCGGAATGTATTCAGGGGAAAAGGGAACAGAGGCTGAGCTCAGAAGGTAGAAGCCAATGGCAGCAGTGACCATCAGCAATTTTATAAAAGGAATATCCATTTCAGGCCTTTGGGAGAAAAAGAGGAGATGTCCGGCAGCGAAGGCATTTCCCTGCCCAGGTTCCTCAGCGTTCTCTTTTCATGGCATTGCGCCCCCTCAGCCCCTTCCCTGCCCTGTCTTGGCCGCCATCCCAGCATGGAGACGTCTCCAGTGCCCCAGATCACCAAGCCTTTGCTTCCACGTGGCCGGCTGCCTGTGAACCCTTTCCTCTTCACTCCTCCTAGTGACATGATCCTTTAGACTCCAGCTCAGTGTCACTTCTCAGGCTCCCTGACATCTGGCCGGTGCCTCTTCTGTGCCCTTCAGACCGGGGGAGAATCTTTCCTGAGCACACACTTCTCTGTCCTGACTTCTCTGTCCTGCTAACATCTGCCCTCGCCTGTCTCTGGCCAGCGTCACTGCAGTGGCCTCTGACTGGTGTCCTTGCTTGCCTTACACCCCCGGTTCTCCTTGTGGGTTCCACAGCAGTCTTCCTAAAGTTCTGATTGGATCATCACTCTCCTGCTTAAAACATTTTAATGGCTCCTTAGGCTATGTGGCAGAAACAATATTACGGTCACAGTTATACTCCAAGGATCACGGCACAGAACTTTAACAAGGGTTTAGAGAGGAATAGTCTTGGACAGGAAAGTTAGAGGAACCTAAGTGTTACCCTATACTAGGAATACAGGTTTCACCTGCTAAAACATAGTAATATAGTGGAGAAAGTTGTAATGGGAAAAAGTCCCACAGAAAGTTCTAAATCAGAAGATAATTACTGAGTTATCACCCTGAACTTGCCACATATCCTCAACACAACCACAAACAGTTGATTCAAGAAAGGAACAATAGTAAACTATAATGCGTCTTTGTTTTAGAATGTACTCAAGCCCTAGAGCTTCAGTAAATGGCTGAAAAAATTTCTTCTAGTAAGTGGTAGCAGTCAAGACAGGCTGTGTGGATTTTGTCATTTAATTCACCAGGAGGGTATAGCAGTGTTGGCTGTTAGGGATTCTAAGTTTTAAATGTTACAGAGTCTTGAGGTTTATGCCGAAATACTCAAGTTGACACTGAGAATATGGGCAACCAAGCATCAGGCTGTGAAAATATCTAAATACAAAACAAATCATAACTCAAAACACTGTCTGTGACACCAAACAATAAGACCCTCACAATTATTTTCAACATTTCTTTTGTGATCCTAATAAGCCTAAAACTAAAGTTAGATATATGACCTTTTACATTTTAAGAGCTTATGTAAAGAAAAGATTAAAACTATAAAAATTAAGTACAAAAGTTTTGAGTTAATCATATGTAAAATGAGTCCCAGTGCACAAAGCTTCCTTCCCCTCACTGGCGCGAAGACCCCGGTGCCCCCAGGGCCCCGGCGCCCGGCCTGCCTACCGAGCCGCTGGCCAGCCTGTTGGCGTAGGCTGTGATGACGCCGCACCTGCTCCCAGTGAACAGCTGGCAACTGTCAGGCACCCACGCACAGCTAGTCACCTTTGGAAAAGGACAAATCAAAGACTCACGTTACAAAGCATCAGAAATACTAATTTTCTGACAACGATTTAAAAAATATATGATCACAGAATTTGAGGTTAACATTTTACTTGAAATGATTACAATGGTGCAAAGATAGAAAAACAGTATTCTGTAACTGTTTCCAAGTTCAAATGCATTACAATGTAACATTTATGATTTTACAGTTTTCTGTACAAACATGCACAGCTGTGTGTTCCTCAGAAATTTAAACAAAATGATCCAAGATTGACTAGATCCAAGGTTCAGTGTGTGTGATGTGCGTTTATTTCACATATTTACTTATTTTTACTTTTAGTTATATTTTTTCTGGTTTTGTGGGGAAACAGCACATACAAACAGAGGTATTGCTTCTAGCAGTTTTAAAGATTGTTAAATAGGAGACTGATGTGGAGACAAAAATCTGGGCTTACCCCTTTCGGTTATGGGGTGGGCTGACCACGGACTGAAGGTGACACATCTCCCGCGTCCCCTCTCCCCCTGCTGACAACACCCTCACAAGTCATTAAGGAGATGGTGGTCACCAGCCACAGACCACACCCCCTCCGCTCCTGTGTGCCTCACACTGTCCCTGCGTCTTCTCTCGATTTCACAGAGGGAGCCCTGTCCACCTCGCCCCCACGTGCCTTGGAACCCTTGTCACCTCTTAGAATTTCAAACTGCCTTTTGCTGGCATCTTTCCCAAGACCTACAAGTGTGTTCAAGTGTCTGCCACCTTAAAAAATGACTTGCTTTGATCATGGCTCTTCTTAACAACATAAATCATCACAGTCCATTGGATCCAATTTTATCTTTGAGTTTCTTTCTTGAATAGTTCTAACTATTTGTAATGATTGAACTTCGTAACTTTGTTCTCAGAGGGCTTTCAAAAAACAAAGAGAACACGTACTTTTTTATATATAGAATAAAAATTCCATCTTGCAATTACCATATGGCTCTACTCAAATCTTTTATAAACCTAAGTTATATTACAGGATTTTAATAATCTTGTTTTTCTTCTCTCTTGAAACATTGTGCTATTTCATCATTCTAGGAATTAGTTCATCCCATCAATTATTCCTAACTTTGCTAAAACAAAACAGAAAAAAGCAGGAAATGGAAGAGTGATGGGTCTCCCAGAGGATAATGCAATCTGTGAAATAAATTGTCTTATTTTGGTTTCTTAATGCATTGTACAAAGAATGTTGCCATCTTTCAAGAAAGCATAAAAGGAGATTGGAGACACCATTTCTGAAGTCTGCTTTTAGCTTTCATTGAACACAATTGGAAATAAAGAATTTTCCATTTTCTACCAATAATAGACAAGAGAAAAAGAATATGTTCACAGTTATGAAATCAATCAGGAGATGAAGACAAAGAGACAGCAGGACTCTAATCCCTACTCAAGATGATGAAGTTGGTCAGTGTGTGAGTCAACCATACATTTCTAAGGACGAAAATGAAGTGCAGTACTCTCATCTGGCTAGTTACTTGAGGGAAGTACTTTTATCACACAGTGTCTTCCTAAAAGAACCTGAACCATCCTGCTTTGCCAAAAGGACTTACAACAATATTCTGTTAATCTTTAATGAGGTTGGTGTGCCAAACTTTACATGATAGAAATAACTTTGCAATGCTTACATTCTTATTAAAATGTCTAACAAGTCTGTTTTTCACTGTCTTTTATTCTTACTTTTGTTGACTGGTAAGCCAAATAACAAAAGGTGAACGTGACATTTTCTTTTCAGGTATAGTAAGGGTTAGGTAAACAAGTCATTGCTCTCCTTTCTTTACTGCCAAAAATTCCCCTGAAGCAACTTACTCCATTTCAGACCGCTCAGGGAATGGGCATAACTGACTGGACAAACCAACAGGCAGCAGGCGCAGGCGATGGAAGTCCAAACGGTAAGAGAGCGTCCCATGGGAGGACAGTCAAAGAAAGAAGGTTTCACATACAATTTAGGAAGTTGTGGCAGTACTGCGCATGTATACACATGTATGTTATATGGTTTTATAATTTCCAAAGTAACTTACAAAAGTTGGAAACATTTTTACAACAGCTCTAAGAGCAGGCAGTGGAAGTACATCATCCTGGTTTTAAAGAGGAGGAAAGCAGCTCAGGTTTGGGAGGGTGAAGTTACTTGGCAAAGGTGACACAGTAAATAATGAAGCTGGACACTAACTCAGGCCCCGGGGCTTTCGTTAGACCCAATGCTCTCTCTGCTGCTCGTGATGCCTCATACCCGGCCCATCTTAGGGAAAACCAGGTACAGAAGATGACAGAGGGGCAGGAGGCAGGCGAACCCTGAGGAGAAAGCAGTGTTGATTTTGTTCAAACATGGTGCCATGAGCTGACAGCTGAGAGTCTTACACTGACTCGACGAACTGCAGGTAGGAGACTAATCTGGGGACATAGGCAGAGTAGCAGGGGCTAGGACGTCAGTAAACAAGGTGCATGTCTAGCCCCACCAGCTTCTCGATAGGACTAAATCACTGAATCCCAAACACTGGCTATCAGTCTGACTCCTAGTTAAAGCACTGTATTTAATTATTGTTATAAAGTATTGCATAAAGAAGTTTACCTGATACTGTTGTGAGCTTTGTATAAAGTTTATTGGAGGCTCGCTTTGCTTACTCTTCAACCTTAAAATGTTGTCAGCGTACCCCCAGCTCAGGATGGCTGACCACTGGATGTCTGTGCTGTTCATGCTTCTCACGCCTGGAGAGAAGGAGAGATGGCTCGTCAGACTGCCCCCGCCAGCGGGGGTCCCTGGCAGCGCCCCCCAGCGGCAGGGTGAGGCTGAACACAGCGGCACTTGGGCACAAAGTCATTTTTACATCCTTAAGACAGACTGATTTATGTGAGCTTTATCCTTTTAATGCTGATGGGATTCTTTTCCATTCATGTTAAGAAGCTTTTATAAAAGACGATAATAGTCAAGCTTACACTCTTCATATTCTGCAAGTTTTTGAAAATAAATATGAACCAGGTGTTGTGTGAATAACTCCCTAGATGACCCCTGTAGCAGTGACATCGCCCTGAGGAGGGACAGGAGCCCTGCTAACTTCAGGAGTGCACGCGAGACCTTCGGTAAATGAGGTTCTGCTCTTTTTTCCTCCTCTCTTTTTTTATTTTTTAAAGATTTTATTTATTTTTAGAGAGAGGAGAAAGGAGGAAGAGAGGGAGAGAAACATCAGTGTGTGGTTGCCTCTTGTGTGCCCTCTCCTGGGGACCTGGCCCGGAACCCCTGTGTGCCTCTTGTGTGCCCTGACTGGGAATCGAACTGGGGACCCTCTGGTTCGCAGGCCGGCACCCAATCCACTGAGTCCCACCAGCCGGGGCTTGCGCTCTTTCTTTTTAACCTAGTTTTATGTCCTTTTGAGATAAAGATTTGGACATTTCAATGTTCCTTTTCAGCACTATTCATAATCCATGCTTTGCTGGAATCCTGAATGTACCTGTGGCAGCAGAAATGCTATGATGGGCGCTGCCCTGACACTTGGATGCTTTAAGCTCCTTAAGGAGAGAATGTGCATGGTGCCTGGCATATAAAGCAATAAAACGAATATTTGTTAAATGAATCAACAGCACATTGAAAATGTAATTCACCGATTTTTTTTGTTTTGTTAGTTATAATACCAAATGTTGACATCAGTTTTGCAATAAAGGAATTGGGAAACATTAAATATAAGCTCCTCTAAAGCTGCAGGGAAAGGAGCCGTGTTTCACGGCACCCAGGACCTCTCCTATGCTACCAGAACGTCTGGCAAGTGGCAGGTGCTCGATGGACCGAGTATACTTAATAACTCTTCCCAGTTTCTCACTCCAGTAATATAAAATGCACCATCTCTTTTTCCTTTTTTTAAAAACGAAAAATACACTTCTCTTTTTCCTGTTAGAACAGTGGATTGTAAATAGAAGTTTGCAAGAAAATTGCTTTTTCAGCATACATAGACTTGGGCCCAAGCCCTGGAGATTCTGACACAGTGTGTCTCAAGTGGGACCCAAACTAATACATTTTGAAAAAAATCACCTCAGGCAATTCTAAGGCACAGTCAATTCCCAAGTAACTGGCCTACCATTAAAACCATCCCAGTTCAGTTGTTACATTGACCATCCACATATAACTAAGCAAACCTACACAGTCAATTGAAATGACACTGCTCAACACTTTGCAGCTGCTAACACATGACTCACATTCCACCGGCTTTGTCCAAGGCTTCAGGGGAATGGCCAGATGGACTGCTGTGCGCTGGGTGCAGCCACGAGTGGCCACGTGGACCCTGGCCCCAGGTGCTCGCAGTTCTAGGGACATTTACTGAGCACTCAGAATGAGCCAGGCCTGTGCTAATCATTTCCTACACTATTTCACTTAAATCCTCAGAGTAAAGTACCCTGTGAGGTACATCCTTTTGTTATTCCCTTTTCATCGATCAAAAGCCAGGATCTGGAAGGCATGAGGAATTTTCTCAAGGTCACACAGCATTGAGTAGCAAACTTTGGCCCTCCTAAGTCCACTTCCCTGGACACACCTAGATTCTGGCAAACCCCAAATTCATTCTGCAAGGAAATAGTGTAATCTGAATGAACCCGGATATTAATAAGGGCACACTGAGGGCTGTGACTGCAGTGGTGCAAATTATATTTGCTGACAATTATATAGGCTGACAAATATTTAACATATTTAAATCCTATAATGCTAAGTGCTAATATCAACATGTTCTCTTCTGCTCAACAGACATGTACCTCAATCCACTCTAAGTAATTTTTTAAAGGTAAATTGTTCACACATTTTAGTACGTTTAAGTATTACCAGTGGTAAATTACTTGTGACACACTGAACAACTAAGTGCAGCATGTTAGTGAGAATAAATCACTGACCTCAAAATAATTACAGTTAAACAGATTTATCCTAGCCTACTAATTCATGAACGTTAGATGAGGTGGTGTGCAGGCTCTTTAGATTTACAACTATAAAGGCGACCACTCATTTCATGACAGAATTAAGAGAGACACTGAAAGACCTGTGGCTGGGCCAGTCTTAAACATGTCCTTCACGTGATGGATGACCAGCAGGGGACCCGGCGCCCCGGGATGCAGGGCTATGTGCGGTGGGAGGCCGTAAGGACCCCGAGGAGCACAGTGCATACACAGCAATGTTAAATGCTAATGTGACTGCTTGAGTGGCATCCAACCCAGGCCACACACTGGTGTCCAGGCAAAACTGCATGGACCTGATGTGAACAGACGGGCGAGCACCCCTCGCCATCCACTTCAGGGCCCAAAGCCCATGCCTCGCAGCTCGGGGGCACTCCCCTGCCCTTAGAGAGGTGGCTACTTGGGAAGGCTGAGGGATGACTTGAGTGGGAATGCCCCCGTGTTCCCGGGTCTAGGTGATATTAAGGAATGTGAAGAGGGCCTCCGGTGTCCAGCACTTGAAAGAGTGTGACTTTCAGTGAGTCGGTGCCTCGGGAGGGAGGAAGGTCTGCCTTCCAGGCACACGTGCTTTTAAACCTCTTTCCAAGGCTCTCTTGACTTCCTTGCTTTGTTTGGTTTGACTCCAATGACTGTATCGTCTGAGGATGAGGTTTGCTGGTCAAACAAGTCTATCTATTCTGGGATTCAAGAGCCTCAAACTGAACATTTCCACCCAGTTATCCATTGGTAATGCTTTCATCTTGTAAGAACCATCTATTCTTGTCCCTTTCAATCTCCTCCTGTCATTTCCAATGACACTGCATTTAATACCCATTTTTTTAAATGTATTATGTTTTAATTCCTACTTTGTACTACATAACCACAAATATGAGCAGTTTTCCCCAAAGACTCAAAAAACTTAGGAAAAAAAATCCAAAACAGCAGCACAGATGATAGGGAAACACTCAGGTCTCATGAAAGATACAGGAATGACTTTCACTGTTTTATTTTACCTTGTTCTTTGCTGTACGTCATCAGGAGGCAGAAGTTTCGGGACAAGCCACAGATGGCTCTGGTGGGCAGAGCCTGCAGGGACGCCAGCCTCTCTCCATGGGGCTGGCTGAAGCAGACCACAGGCATGGCGGCACTCGGAGAGCCCACGTACTCCCCCCACTTCAGGCCTTTTATCCATGACAAAGGACTCTAAAACCAAAGTAAAAAGCATGTTTTTTTAAAAGGTAGTAAATATAGAATTACTTCTAATTTAAGTCCTAAACACAGTAAGAGAAAGTGACCTGACTATAAGCCCATCATGGGCAAGACTTTGTACTTTTTTACTTCCCCCATGCTTAGCACACAGGGCTGAAGAAGACAAAAGCTCGCCCTGTGGAGCTGCCTTCTGGAGGCATGGGGGCTGACAGGCACATGAAGAGATATGTGTCTGGTGGTGGAAGTGCTGTGGGGAAAACACAGATGGGGGTGAGGCCTGAGGGTGACGGGGCTGCTGCTTCCCATGTGGTGGTCAGGGAAGACTCTCTGAGGAGGTGACATCTGAGCAGGGACCCAAATTAAGTGAGGGAGCAAGCTGGGGCTGTATCTGGGGACAGGTCATTCCCCATGGAGGGGGCAGTCAATGTGAAGGTCCAGCGGTGAGAGTGAGGACGGTTGGCACCATGTCCCCAGTGAGAGCCACACACTGTGTACGGCCTGTCTGCATACACTACTTACTTCACAGAGTTAACTAGCAGTAAGTACTAGTAAATTAAATGGCATTGGTTACTTTTTACGGATGTACCATTAAATTATTTTGCCATGTTAATGTAATAGATTCTAGTTTAAAAGAATAACCTTAGCAATGACAATGACCAAAATAACTTGTGAGGCTTCAAAATCTTCTGAGTTACATTGACAAGTAAACACAAAACAGAAAACACAGCTGTCAACTATGAAACACAACACTGGGGATGTGGTTTTAGCAAAACAGCATTGTCTATCACACTGATATTTTAAATTAGAATATTACTGGTTGTATAAATTTTGTTTGCATTGACATGAGCTATGAGAATGAAAAATTCCATTTAGTGCTCTATTTGTGTTCTATCTTTGGTGTATTTAAGTAATATTAAAGAAACAATTGGGAGGAATTAAGATAGCGGAGGAGTGCGTGGAAGTCACACTGACCTCCTCCCAGGCCCAACCTGGAATTACAACTAAATTGTGGAGAAATCACCTGAAACAAACAACTGAACAATAGTGAGAGAGGAGCCTTATAACCTCAGAGACAGAAGAATCGGCTTTAGCGCAATCTGACTGGTAAGGAGTGCGGGAGAGGCTTGAGAAGGCAGGCAGGGTGACCACGGGCAGCAGCGCCAGAAGGATATTGAAACGGCCAATTGGATCTCCCCGAGGAGAGTGGTGTCTGAACCAGGGGCGGGGATCTCTGGCCTGCAGCACCGGAGCCCAGAGAGTACACAGAGAACAGCCATCTGTGAAAAGCGGCAGGGTTGTTCTCTGCCAGAGACGGGCGGTTGGAGATGCAGGGAGCTGTTTAAACGGTCAACACATAAATTTTTATTTGCAGCCACTTACCCTGGTCTCCAGCAAAGGCATGGGCAGAGTGGGCTGGGAATGCCTGAGGAGAGACTAGGGAAGGAAGCTTTGGGGAGAGAACTGAGAGAGTGGCCAGCAGGATCTCGGTGCTGAATCATCCCCCAGGCGGCAGCAGCCATCTTGCTCAGCCAGAGACCACTCCCCCTGAGCGGCAGCAATGTTAGAGGACCCAATAACCCCGCCCCCAGGTGGGATTCTGCCCCACCCTGTGCTGTCTAAGCCGCCTGCTGAGTGCAGAGTGGCAGCCACAGATAGTAGATCCCTGGCTAAATGGGGCGCAGAGAGATCTAGAGACACTTGAGGAGAGACTGGGGATGGAGGCTTAGGGGAGAGAACGGAGAGAGTAGCTGGTGGGATCTTAGTGCTGAGTCATCCCCCATGTGGCAGTGGCCATCTTGCTCAGGCAGAGACCACTGCCCTGAGCGGCGGCAACATGAGAGGACCCAATAACCCTGCCCCCCAGGAGGGACTCCGCCCTGCTCTGTGCTGTCTCTGCTGGCCTGCTGAGAGCAGAGTGACTAGATTAACAGCTGAAGGAGACAGCCACAGACAATAGAGTCCTGGAAGTCTCAGACTGTGTAAGATCAGACAGGTACGACATCTGGCATCATCAGAGGCAGATCTGGAAAGTAAAAACAGCTGTCTCCTACCATAGAAGTTCACAACACAAAGTCAAGAAATCAAGACAGATCAATTTAAGAACCAGAAACAAAAGAGAAGAGTCTCACAAATAATGGGAAGACAAAGAAATACCCCCACTCAAAGGGAAAGGAGGAATCCCCAGAAAGAGAATGAAATGAAATAGAGGCAAGTAAACTATCAGATATTGAGTTCCAAACAACAGTTCTAAGGAAGCTCAATGAGCTCAGTGAGCTCAAAGAGAATTACCAAAACTACAGAGAAACTACGAGGAACTTACTGAAAACTGTATCAGCATGAAAAAGGACATAGAAACTATCAATAAAAGACCAGAGGAAATGAAGAATACAGTTTCTGAATTGAAGAACACAGTAGAAGGAATCAAAAGCTGGCTAGATGAAGCTGAGGACTGAATCAACAAGCTGGAGGACAAGGTAGTAAAAAGCTCCCAGAAAGAGCAAGAAAGTGAAAAAAGACTCAAAAAGAATGAAGAGGCATTTAGGGATATGCAGGACAACCTGAAACATAATAATATCCATATAATAGGGATACCAGAAGGAGAAGAGGAGCAAGGGGTAGAGAACCTGTTTGAAGAAGTAATGATGGAAAACTTCCCTCATTGGAGGAGAAAGTCACACAAGTCCAGGAAGCACAGAGGGTCCCATTCAAGAGGAACCCAATGAGGCCCACTCCAAGATACATCATCATTAAAATGGCAAATATCAAAGACAAACAGAGAATCCTAAAGGCAGCAAGAGAGAAAGAGGTAGTAACATAATACGGCTCGCAGCTGACTTCTCAATAGAAACACTGCAAGCCAGAAGGGAGTGGCTAGAAATATTCCAAGTCATGAAAAGCAAAGACCTGCAACCAAGACTGCTCTACCCAGCAAGGCTCTCCATTAAAATGGAAGGCAAAATAAGGAGTTTCCCAGACAAAAGAAGGCTAAAAGAATATACCTCCACCAAATCAGCATTGCAAAATATGTTAAAGGGACTGCTTTAAGATGAATAAGAAGAGTCTATGAATATCCAGTTCCTTTCACAGTTGCCAATACTTGATATTACCAATATTTTTAATATGTATTAATCTGATTGTGACAATGATGTGTTATTTTAATTGTTCCTTTATTATTTGTTGAAACTAAACCTGTTTTTGTATATTTCTTGCCTATTTCTGTTATTTTTAAAAAGCTTTAAATTATTTTTTGGTATTCTTTATCCATTTATTGATTAAAGGTTTGTAGAATTTTTTCCCTAAAAAAACAAACAAACAAACAAAAAAAACTATTAGCCCTTTTTTTAGATGTGCAGCAAATACTTTCCCATTCTATTACTTGTCCTTTAACTTTTTTTATATGTATGTTACTATCTAGTCTTAAATATTTAATATAGTCATATTTCAATATTTTACTTTAGAGCTTCTGGATTTGAATATTTTACTTTAGGGTAAGAAAAATATTAGTTTGTATTTTCTCCTAAAACTCCTTAGACTCTACATATTGATTTTTAACTCACCTGAATATTTCTTGTATAATGTGTGAAGTAGGGTTCTATATTTGTTTTATTTCAAGTAATAGTGGTCCATGCAACTCATTTGTTGAATAAGCCTTATTTCCCCCATTGATCTGAAATATCAATTTAATCATTTATTACACTGCTAGACAGATATATATGTTTGTTTCTAGAATGCTCATTATATTTCATTGATCTAATTGATTATTTCTGTGTTGGTTTCATGTTGTTTTAATTGTTGAGAATTTATAATGGTTTTAAATTTTTTAATATTTTATAATTAACTTTGACATTTAAAAAAATAAAATCAATCTGCATTTAAGAAAGAAGGAAAGAAAGAAAGAAAGAAAGAAAAATAAAAAAATGGAACTCCAATTTTTTGCGACAACATGGATGGAACTGGGGGATATTATGCTAAGTGAAATAAGCAGCTGGTGAAAGACAAATACCATATGATCTCACCTATAAGTGGAATCTATTCAATGAAATAAACTAATGAACAAAATACCACAGGCACGGAAACATGAAGCAGACTGAAAGTGACCAGAGAGGATGGGGAAAGAGGACAATGGTGGAAAGAAGGGGAAGGGACTAGACAAAGAACATGTATGAATGACCCATGGACATGGACAACAGAGTGGGAATGGACTGTGGGAGCAGAGGATGGTGGTGGGATGGGCGGAAGGGAGTAAAGGGGGAAAAATTGAGAAAACTGTAATAGAATAAACATGATTTAAAAGTTAAAAAATAAAGTATACAACTAAAAAAAAAAGAGAAACAGTTGTCAAAACAAGGTCTGTGACAACTGTTTTCTCTTAAAATGGGGCACATATCAGAGTTTGAGCTACGCTGCTTTGCTTCACCCTAAGGTCCCTCACAACCCCTCCCTTGGCTTTTCATTTTCTGCGATTCCCCTCAGCCAACCTCCATGGGCACTTTACCATCCACGGCCTCCCATTTTAAGCTGCTTTTATAATGAAGAATTTAGTTGAGGATTAGAATTTATTTGACTATTAAGGTTTTCTTCCTTCATTTTTCTATTTCAAAGTAAAAGTTATTCCTGCTTCCTATTTTATGAGGCAATACTTCTTATCGTTACAGTCTGGGGAGGCCAAGGAATATGGAAGGTTCCTGTTAATTGTAACCCCAAACCTTCACACCTGTGGCCAGGACCTTTGGGGGGCAGTGATCGCCAGGGCCCTGCCGCACATGTGCACACTGGCACATCCACGTGCAAATGGTCTCCAGTCCTGGACAGTGCCTCACCTCTCTGCATTTTCCTGTCCCTGTCACTGCCTTGTGAGGCTTTCCCTGGTAGTAACTCTCAGAGGTCACTTTCTGACCTGACCTCCCCCAAGCACTCTCTTCAGATTACTAACCCGGCATTTGCTAAACACAGAACACAGCTGGTAACTGCAGGTATGTGTGCTCACGGGCTGGCACGTACACCTCTAGGTTGGGGCCGGGCTGTTCACATGGGGCCCCTACAGCCTCAGGGCCCGATGTTTCTGGAGGAGAATCAGTTTCTGCTGAATTCTGTTGCCATCCACATGACGTACCGGATAGGTGATTTCCTTGACCTGTTCTCGGGTCTCCCTGAAAGCCAGCTGCACTAACAGCCCCACGGCTGCAGGAAGCTCCCCTTCGATGTTGAGCTTGGTCCCAGGTCTGCTCACGTGAGCCGACTGGAACAGCTGACGAGGGGTCTGGCCGTAGGTTTTGATCATGGTTTCCAGAGCTCGTCTCTGAACTGGATCTTCAACTGCAGAGACATCCATTCCAAAATATGTCTGAAAGGTAAAGGGGGAAGGGAACCAGAAGTTTGTATAAAGCAAGATCGGTCATAACACCAAAGGGGAAGCAGCAGGTACTCTGTTCTCCAGTTCATGGTCTACTCTTCTGTTTCAGATGGAAATGCTTTTGATTAGGTTCATAATCATTAATGGACTCACTAAGATTAGAAATTAATATTTCTGAAGGGATGAGCAATAATACTGCATCTTGATTGGTTGGTGCTGATTGTTTATAAAATTGATTTTTACTTAAGACCAGAGAATACCATATAAGACTTCCTGTCTAATACTAAATTATTGAAAAAGTCATCTGTCCAAGGTAATTATAGGGAAAGGCAAAAATAAAGTTAATATACAATATTGGTAGGTTCAAGAGTGTGTCATTCAGGTTCTAATGAAAATTGTGAGTGAATCTGAAAGTGCAGAAAGTTCCAAGCTCTTTAGTGTGAAGGTGTCAGTATACTAGTTATGTGTACAGACTTCCAAAGCTGGCCACTGGCAGCTGGGGACAGATCTGTCAGGTTCTGCACAAACCTACTTGCCCAATTTACCTTTTAGCATTGTATCAGTCATTGCAAGTTTCATGTGCACACCTGGATATACTATTTCTACAAGTACCAAGATAAAATCTCACAGATCCTTCAGCAGGTTAAGTAGTTCCCGGCACCACTCCCTCCTAAGACCACTCCTAGTCAACTACTTGTTATAAATGCCCATCGGAGCGGGTGGCTCTTCATGGATGCTTGACTGCACGGAGTGAAAAGTTCAAATGATGGCGGGAGCCATCCTCAAGACAGAGCTCTTCTTTATTCATATTAAAATAGTGCTTCTTTACATTCTGTGGTGTCAGTTTCTAAGCGACGCCATAGATTAGTGAATGATGAATTGATGTCAAAAGCATTTCTATATTCTTTTTAAAAAATTAACATATATTTGTACTTAATTGCATGGCAGACATTATCCTATATAAATGTCCTCCCTTATTTATGAGGTTGGTGTTATTGTTCACATTCTACAAATTTGTCCATTTAGGTACAGAGAGACCGAGCTATTTGCCCGAGGCCACACAGCACGTGTCAGAGTCACAAAGCGAGGATGAGAAGTCAGTCCTGAATTCAGAGACTGTGCTGCACTGTTTTGCTCCATGAATTGAATTTTATAAATTTCTTAGAGCAATGGCATAAATTGTCCTTTTTAAAGTTCTAAAGTCCCAAAGAATTAGTGAAAAAAATTCTAGGAAGATGAAAATTGTGTGGTATATTTCAGCATGCAGATACTTTTAATGTGAAATTTATTTCAGAATAGTTGGAAAGATGGGGCAGGATTATAGGCACAGAGTATACTGAGGTTAATGTCAAAATTGCTAATTGCTTTTAAAATTACATTTTAGGTCAAATACGAAGTTCAAATATTACACCTGAAGCCTTGCCTTTATTTTATACTACTCTTAATTATAAAACTATTATTTGTCAACCAAACTGTATTATTCCCCCTTTCAGAACCCTTTGTCGTAGCATTTATCTTGTATTCGAATCATCAGGAAACCTGTCTTATTCTCTCTTCCAGACCTTAGGTCTCTTAGGAATCTAATTACCTTAGAGGTACTTAAAATAAGCAATGAGCCGAAGAGAATTTTATTTTAAAACTACTATTCAGGAATGTGTCTCTGGTATAAACAGGCCCAGACACAGAGCATGTTACTGCAGGTTCTAGGTGTGCATTTCAGCTGTTATTTGTTATAAACACTGATGAATCTACACAGAAAATCACACCTGAAGGGGAAGGACAAGTCCAATCTAATCCATAGCCTAACTTCAAAGTTAGGTAAACAAAGAGGCCGCATGTCAAGGCAGTACATTAATGGTTCATCTGCTATATTTGTTGTCTTTGAGTAGCCACTAGACAACGTCAGGAAATAGCTTTTTCCTCTTAATTTGCCCTTTGACCCCTCACTCCCTGAGGAATCTCCTTTGAGAGGCCTCATCTGGACTCCACTCCCACTCTCCCTGCTTGAGTCTTAGTCACCTTTACATTCCCAGAGGAAAATTAATGTTTCCTGAATACATAAGTTTTTGGTAGCTTATCTAACAATATCAAAAAGGATGGGTGAAAGTGTAACAGTGCCACTCCGAGGAATTTATCTTAAGGAGATAAAGACACACAGAAAGAACCTCAGGAATATAAATTTTAAAAGCAAACCAATACTAACTAAATATCCAAGAATGGGGGACTGGTTAAAGAAATTACTGTATAGCCGTACTTGGGAAAAGTAAGTTGTATTAATAGTATATAAATGGAATGATATAGAGAAAAAAGTCTAGAAGGTGGTTCTGGTATTTATCTCTGTAAGGTGTTACCAAAGTTGGTTTTTAAATTTCCTCCTTTTGCAGTCCGTATCTTGTACATTTTCCTAACAAGGCACAATTCCTGTTTCTGCAGTCAGAAAAAATGATGCCTCATTGAGACAGAACATGTCCACAGGACAGCGTGCCCAAAGGACAGTGTGCCCACAGGATTTCACATGACAGGTCCGGGTGGCTCCCCTGGAGGGGTCTGCTCACAAGGCTGGCCCTTGGCTGGGTGTGGGAACGTGGCTCTCAGGACAGCTCCCGCCACCCCTGACAGAGTGGCTCCCTGTGCCAAAATGGTCTGCACCGACAGTGTGGTTTGTGCTGGACACGTGCTTTCCTTCTGGGAGTCCAGAAGTTCCGTGCATGCGTGAGAGAGGGGCCTGATGACCAGCCCCCAGTCAGAACCTTGCGCATTGCGCGCCGAGTGTCCCTGGTAGGACATCACACGCACTGTCACAACTTGCAGAGAAGGAAGTGCATTCTTTGTGATTCCCTGGAGGAGAGTCTTGGAAGTTTGCCCCAGGCATCTTTTCCTTTTGCTGATTTTGCTTTGTCTGTTCCTGTAATAACCTTAGCTGTTAAGTCTGACCATTTGCTGAGTCCTGAAGTCCTCGGCCAACCTGGGGCTGGTCCTGGGAAACCCCGACAGATAGTATCGTACTTATTTTTAAGGAGGGGAAATATAAAACCTAAAAAACCTTGGGTAACAGTTTAGTGTCATTGCCAATTCTCTTTGATAACTTCAGTGAAACCGGATAATCTTTAAACGTTCAGGTTCTCCCTTATATAAAAGCAGATTATTTTAAAAGAGTTGCTTACAGCAGGATGGAAAACATTGATGGCCTGAACGGAAGCCTTCCCTTTCTGCTTGTACCCGAACACCAAGTCAATCCACTGACAGATGTTCTGAGACACGTGCTCAGACTCCAGAGCCTGTCGATGGATGAGGATGAAAAGGCGAGGGTCGTTACGTGCCCACGGCGGGAGGTTGACGTGATTAACCCGTTCACCATTCTGACGCACACCAAAATCAAAACCTAAAAAACAAGACTAATATTAATGTTTATCTCCCCCAAAGCATGCTTCATGCGGCCCACCGACAGGTCTTGAGAGTTCACAGAAATGGCTGCCGAATGCTATAAGCGGGGAAAGGGGCAGCAAAGAGGCCATGACACCATTGCTCACCCACTCACCTAACAACCACCACATGGCTCAGTCCTGTTCTAATCAGCTTGCAAATCTTTCCACTTTATCCTCCTGCCACTTTGTGTCATATCAAAGAAAAATCAGAAAATCACTGCCCATTGGATAATTCCAATATCCACGAATCAAATCTCCAAATGCAGTAAGTGCTTCAGTATCTATTCAACTGTCAGCTTGATTAAAATTAAACTAAGACTTGTATAAGTATTTCTGAATTAGTGGTGCTAATAATAAAGTTAAGATCATTTATATTTAGTAAGCATTAGTATTTTGTAGTTAAAAAATGAAGCTAAGCAAAACATACACACTTCTAGAATGAATGTCTGTCAGTGAACTTGATGGAAAGTCTGCAGGTCTGCTCTGACTTCATTTCTACCAAACATTCTGTGGACGGACAACTATGGACTTAAGTTCTAAGACTTAGAAAAGCTATTTTTATTTTTGGAAAATTATAAAATAAGTACAAATGCTCAGAAAAATATACCAGAAATGATTTATTGTCATACCTTCTCGGTTAACTAAGAACTCTGGGAGATAGAAAAATTCTGGGATAAGTTCTTTCACATCGGTCATGGATTCAAAGGATGAGAGACGCCAGGTTGTATTCATGGAATGAAAGGTTCTGTCTGGAATATCAAAGCTTTGATCTATAAAGAAATATAAATAATAATTAAGACACAAAGGCCTGATTTCATTTGAATCCTATCATAATTTATTTTTGCTACTCCAGAAAGGATCAAAATGATGTTCATTTTGTTTATCCATAGTTTAAAAGAGGTTATTCACCTATTCTTGGGAATAAATATTTCTATACACAATTTGAGACCATATTATAGTATATTATTTAAAGTATATATTGTTTTCATAATACATAAAACTAGATTAATTTATATCATTTGTTTAACTGATGACTCTCTACTCAAGTAGAAAAAGAATTCCATAAAAGCAGGGACCTGGCGTATCACCCACACGTAGCACATATGAGGTACTCAATAATGGTTTACTTATTGAATGAATGTAAGTAAAATTAAAGTTCAAGTGGATAAAACAGCTTTTTCCCCATCAGGAAGCAAAATTATTCCTTTACCTCTAATTGTTAAGACTTTTTCTTTTTTCTTTTTCTTTGGGCAGGAGTGCAAGAGGGGCATTACTTTTTAGATGTTCTAATTCTGTACTTTGCTAAGGTTTTCTGGTGCCGATTACGAATCACCAAGAGCTGAGTTTTGGCCCATGTCTCTCTGTCGACAGCTATCAGACTGTCTCGTACTAGGGCAGGCCTGGGACATGAAACGCACCCAAGGCAGCCCCTGGGAACAGCAGCATGGGTGCTCCCTGGGAACCGTGTTGTTCCGTCCACAACCCCTCCGAACTCACTGAAATTTGAGCACACTTTTTCATTTGGAAACTCTCACAGATGACTGCCAGCATCAAGCGAGCACGTTCTTTGATGAGATGCGCTCATTTAGTCCCAGCGCCGGGGCTGCTCTGCGAGCACAGCCCCATCACCTTTATTACTTTCTTATCTGGTCCGTCGAGCCCGCCAGCACTGCCTGGCCACCATGTAAAACCTGCGAGGAAGCGAGGTTTACAAATACGGCCTTCTCCTCAGAAAGTAGGGAGGGCCACTGGAAGAAATATTTACTAACTCACTCAGGAAAAAATGTTATCAATCTAAACGGACTGCAGAAACTTAAAGGCAATTCTGTGAGGCTACAGTGGAGACCCACATCCGGCATGGACACTAGGAAACTCTGGGACAAGACAAGACAAGCACAATGGTTCTGTTACACACTGGAGAGCTCTCAAACCACTTCCAAAAAATTCTTTTTTTTTACTCTGACAGCCACTTTTTAATAAGGACATTCACAAATCAAAACATGTCCAAAAAGACGATCAGAATAGTGACAGGTTTGGAAACCAGAGCCAAAAAGGATGGCTTAAACTGGGGCTGGAAGGCCCTTTACTAAGTACAGAACAGTCCTGTCTATTTGTGTGCCCCTGGCAGCAGCTGGGGTAAGACCTTGCACTCAGGAGCCTCTCGGCCTGATGTCAAATTAACCAAGGATAATTAGCCTGGGCACAAACAACACTGAGCAGGAGAAAGGGGTCAGGGCAGTGCTCTTCAAATATTTGAACAGCTGTCCTGTGGAACATTTGTTTTGTGTTCTTACAGAGGGACAAACATAAGAAAGCCGTTTTTACAGACAAAAAAGAGATTTCTTCCTCCAAGAGGGTGCAGATGAGTAAAAATAAATACAGAAGTAAATGGATGGATAATAATTCTACAAAGGACTGCAGAGGCCACAAAGAACCAACAGCCCCCGCCCCCAGCCTAAAGCTGTGGTTCCCATTGGCAGCCAACAGGTGAGTGTGTGTCTGCACACCGGTCAGTTGGCCTCGTTCTAAGCATCTTCCAGCCCGCAGGCTGCCACTTAAAATGCCAAAGTAGGGGATTATTAACTAGAAAGTTACTATGGCAAAAGTTACTATGGGGATTATTAACTAGGAAGTTACTATTATTTATTTAGGAGTTATTTATAAGAAATCACAATAGCATTATTTCCCTTTAGGACTCAAAGATAACCGTGATCTGAAATAATTATTAAGCTGAACATCTTTAAAATGTGAATTGCATGCACTTTTAAAAGGTAAAAGGGGTCAATTTTATGGTATGTGAATTACATCCTAATTTTTAAAAGTGAACTGCATTTTATAAACTTAGATATGTTTAATTTGGAGCTAAAATTTAAGACATCAGCAAGATGATTTGGCTTACTGCAGGTGTTCTGAAGAGAATTTTGTTGAAGGATTACATAGAATCCTTTTTCCCGTGGTTTGATTGGTCCAAGACCTTCTCAGGAAGTCGGCCAAGTTTTCCTTCGGCAGCTCTGACACAGCCTTACCTTGATAGGCCAGGAACATCCTGGTGAAGGGCGGCATCCGGACCAGGAAGTGCAGCACCGTGCCGCTGTTGGAGTAGTGGGAGCCGTAGTGGTACGGCTGCACCGGCGGCAGCGGGTCGTCCTCTCTGGCCCCTTTGCGGTACTCTTCCTCCAAGTACTGAAGGACAAGGGGGACCCAGAGAATTCATGCCGGTGAGCTCCACGCAAAAGCCTCCCTCTTTCGCTTTTCCATCCTTCCCTACCAGCCCTGTGATACCGTTCTCTGTGGCTGCCCTCCCCTCGTGTTCAGACCTCAGCCACCTTGAATGTCTGGGGGCTTCCCCTGGGGCGCCCCACTGAGGCCCGCCACCTGGAGGCATCTCCCAGTCCGCACCCTCCCTCCCAGCGCCGGCCCCACTAAGGTCTCCTCCTGTCCAGGCTGATCAAGCAGCTCCTGCTGCCAGGGTCATCTGCACTCTCCCAGGGGGACTCAGGGGTGATGCTCGGTTCTGTCGGGCAGTGCTTCTCTAGCAGCGGAGATGCAGCAGAAATGGAAAATCTGTATCACAACATTGGAACTCTAGCTATAACATCTTACGGCTGTTTGGCAGGTAGTTACACCGAAATAAAACATATGGAGACTCTTCATGACTCCTATCTTCCCATCACAGAGTGGGAGGCCCAACTACGTATTTAGTATCTGTCACTATTCTCTTCTCCTACAGCGCCTGCCTGGCTCTGGTAACAAAGTCATGCGACAGGGATTTTCGGGAGTCACTTCTCCCTGGCCCCCACAGCACTGCCCCATTTTCACTGCAGAGTACTATTAAGCTGCGACAGTTATAAGATGCTTGTAGGGAACTTTCTGGAACTCTGACATGATAATGTGGTAAATTTAAGAAAACTCCTCCTATCTGGATACTGTTGTGAAGAATGCAACATGTTTCTAATGAGTTTATTTAAATTTGAAACAGAATTTCATTAATATTAACTTCAGAGAAATAGGCCATTTCTTTCTCTTTTAAAATTTTAAAATCTGGTAAATTTCTGCTAATAAAGTAATGCAAAACTGACTAAGAATAATAAGGGATTATGATGTATCACAAATATACTAATATTGTTATAGAAATAACACAGGGACGATGCATCCCTGGAAATCTGTGATTTTTATAAGGAATATAGTTATTTACGTATTTCAGTATCACAATGGGTTACTAGCTTCCAGTTTAGGTCACTATAAGTATACTTCTTTTTCTGGGCAAACTGTTTTCAGAGAATTGAGACAGAGTAATATTCGAAATCATGCAATGATTTCCAGTTGCCTGTCAATCAAAGCACAGGAAGTGATAAACAAAAATCAATACTATACACTTAAAATTTATAAACACAAGTCTATAAAATGAAGCTCCAGTTTTCATTTATTGAAAATGAGGAAAAACTGAACCTACCTTGTATGTGTCCACATAACGATCTTCCTTTTCTTTATACTGCACAGCTATGGGCTTGGAGAGAGTTCTATAAAGGAAGAGATGATGAGAAGTGGAAAGTATTCTGACGCCGTCAGGATTAAGCTGCCCAGGAGTGTGCATCATTCAAGTAGATAAGTGATTGACAGAGCACTTGGCCCTTAGTTTAGGCTTGCACATGTTACTTTGCAACTAACAGTCACCATTCAAAACTACAATTTCATAGACTGTTAGAGTAGGATTTTCTAAACAGACCCACGCTGGTATTAGGAATCCCTGACGTGCGAGCAACCACCACGAGAACAGCACTGCTATTCCTCTACTGGCTTCGCCCTCTTCCTCCAGACTCGTGATGGGGGCTGCCTGTGGCAGCTGAGTCCTGCCAGGCCCTGGGCTTCTGTCCCCATTTCCCAGACTTTATTTCCCAGGCAGTGAAGCCTGAAGGGCAGCTGGGACAGGAAATAGGATCATGAGATGTTACATAATTATTAGGATGGTTAGTAAAAACTGAAGAAGCTACATACATATGCTTAAAACGACCGAGTTGATATTTGGAGTGTGAGTACCAAAATAAATATTTTGCTATCTAATTCACAGATCATGAGTGATGCCATGTGTGACACATGTGGATGTGTCTGTGCTGCTGTGCACACTGCACCAGGGAGCCACAAGAACTCAGGGAGGAGCCCTCACTTGTACGAGAAGAAGCAAGAGCTGATCCTAGGGGAGCTGGTCTGGCACCGGGACGGGGAACCTGAAGTTTCAATATCTGGCACTGTACTACAGCAACATCAAGACTTGCCCAAATTGCAAAAAGTCAGGCCAGCTGTTGCTATATTTATTTATTTATTTTTGGTCATTATTTCCTAGGGATTTGCAATTAGTGATGGTAAATACACTAATTTTGCTTTTGAGACCTTTCTAATCTTAAAAACTTGGTTAAAAAGTAAAAACAGCTTTACAGAATAAATACGAGTCGCATCTCAATATAGGAGAAATAACGTTTATGATCCCAGCAAGCAATTTTTTCTAAATTGCATAAATAGGTTTTTTTTTAACACAAGTAATATTTATTGTTGTGGCTGAAAATCAGAAATTACTGATGAGCAAATAGAAAAAAAGACAAAACATCAGCCACACTGCTATAAGCCACAGGTACAACATTTTGGTATCACCCTTCCAGATGTTTTCCCGCATATCTGCGTATGTGTATTCACTTTTTAAAGAAAAAGAACAGCTTTCTCTACCTATAATGTATATTTGTATGATATGATTTGTAATCACTGCAACATTTAACAATTTACTTTAAAACATGATGTAAGGCGTGTCCTCAAGGCTGTCTTTCAGGTACAAACAACATGATGATTCGATATTTGTATATGTTGCAAAATGATCACCACAGTAAGTTTAGTTAACATCTATCACCATACAGAGTTCTGGAAGTTTTCTCTTGTGCTTAGAATGCTAGAGATTTACTCTTTTAGCAACTTTCACACAAGTAATACAGCCTTATTAACTACAGTCACCACGCTGTGCACTCCATCCCCAGGGCTTATCTATTTTATAACTGAAAGTTCGTATCTTGTGATCTCCTTCATCCACCCCTTGTCTCCGGACTGGCAACCACCCAAATGCTCTCTGTATCTACAAGCTAGGTTTTATATTTGTTTGTTTGTTTTTGTTTAGATTCCACATATAAGTGAATTGTATGGTATTTGTCTTTGTCTGACTTATTTCACTTAGCATAATACCCTCAAGGTCCATCAATGTGGCCACAAATGGCAAGATGTCATACTTTTTTATGGCTGGATAATATTGCATCGTATGGATATACCACCTTTTCTTTATCCACTCATCTATCGATGGACACCTAGGTTGTTTCCATATCTTGAAACCTGCCTGAACTAGGCATAGATAGCTATTATAAATAATGCTGCAATGAACATAGGGGTTCAGATATCTTTTTGAAGTAGCATTTTCATTTTCTTTAGATAAATACCCAGAAATGGAATTGCTAGATCCTATGATAGAGCTATTTCTAATTTTTTGAAGAACCTCCATATTGTCTTCCACAGTGGCTGCATCAATCTACAATCTCACCAACAGTGCATGGGGTTTCCTTTTCTCCACATCCTCACCAATATCTGTGACTTCTTGAGTCTTTTTGCTAATAACCAGAGAATATTTTTAGAACTAAATAAAGAGATTATTCTCTCATCAACTATGGCAATTTGGTAACTCTAAAATGCAACTCATTCAGGAAAGGCAGGATAAAAGCTTAATTCTTTTCCTTTAATTACCAAGTTTCAAAAATACAATATTGGTGCCCTAGTTATATCCAGTGACAATCAATGAGTTTAGTTTTGCTTTGTTTTTGGGACTTTTAAAAAAGTATTATGATTAAGTATTTTTTATTTACATGTGTTTCAATCAGCTGTAGTTATTAATCTTTTTGATGCTCCAATTGCCATATCTTTGGCAGTGAGAGCCATTTTCTAGCTGTCTCCTGAGTTCTTTATTTTTTCTAATTGTAGTAAAAAACACACAACATACAATTTACCATCCTAACTGCCCTCAAGTATACAGCTCAGTAGTGATAACTGTGTACACATTGTTGTATAGCAGGCTTCTAGAAGTTTTTCATCTTGCAAAACTGAAACTCTATACCCACTGAGCTACAACTCTCCCACTCCCCTCCCCATCTCCCAACAAGCACCATCCGCTTTCTGCCTCTGTGAGTTTGGCTGCCCTGGACAACTCACAGAAGGGAATCACACAGTGTCTGACTCTTTGTGGTTGGGTTATCCCACCTAGTACATTGTCCCAAAGGCTCATCCGTGTTGTAGCGTGTGACAGGCCTTCCCTCCTACTTAAGACTGAATAATATTCCATTGTCTGTATCTACCACATTTTTGCCACCCATTCACTCATAGAGAGACACCTGGGCTGCCTCTACCTCTTGGCTACTGTGAATAATGCAGCAATGAACATGGGTGGGCACCTAAGGTTTTTTGATAAGACTATATTGGTTTCTTTGCTCTCTAACACAAATTAGCTCAGGCTCACCTTGTATGTTTTCTGCTAATAAACATAGAGGAAACAGGAGAATAGGAAATCACCATCTTATAATCTCTAGTGAATTGAGTGACTCAAGCAATAATCATCCATGAAAGAAACAAGTTCACTAGTAGCCTGAACCCACGTATCAACATGAGTGTCCTTGTAGTGGGACATCACACCCTTTTGATGTGAGGCCACATAAAATCCATATTACTACCTGTACAGGATTCTGCTCCCCTGCCCTGCCAAAAAAATAAATAAATAAAAGTTGAACCTGAATCTAAGCAAATCTTTAGAATGAATTTCCAGTCTTTAGGAAATATAGAGGTTAGAGAAAAAGCTAAGTACTAACATGAAATGAGGGACATCTTACAAAGTAATTTTATTGCTTTTTTCAACAAGTCATTGTTAGGAAGGCTGTTTTAGATGTTTATCTTTAGAGACATAGCAGCCAAACGTGACAAGGGGCCTGACTCAACTAAACCAACTATAAAAGGACATCTTGGTATCATCAGGGGACATCTGAAAATGGCTGGATATTAGATGATACCATGTTAATTTACTTAGGTATGATAATGGCACTGAAGTTATGTAAGAAAATATCCTAGCCCTGGCAGAGTAGCTCGGTTGGTTGGAGCATCATCACATACACCAAAAGCTTGTGGGTTCGATCCCCGATCAGGGCACATACCTAGGTTACACATTCAATACCCAGTTGGGGCATGTACGGGAGACGATTGACTGATGTTTCTCTCTCTCTCTTTCTCCCCCTCTCTAACAAAAATCAATAAACATATCCTCAGGTGAGAATTTTAAAAAAAGAAAGAAAATATTCTTTATCCTAGGAGATATGTACTGAAGAACATGGGAGTGATATAACAAGGTGTCTGTCATTTGTCTTAAAAAGAAAAAAAAAGATGATACGAGTTTGGCAAACATCTTCATAACTTGTGATGGGGTGATGGACATACGGTGGTTCGTTCTATTTTTGTTCATGTTGTGCATGACTGAGGATATTCATGAAAAAGACTTTAATGAAATAAACACAGCATGTTGACAAAGCCAAAAGATGATGATATTTTTGTTACCTGTAGACGGAGGGATCACTGAGGTCAAGGGTCTCACTAATGTAGTCAGCGAGTATGAATGGGAACACCGGATACTGCATGAGATCATTGAAGGATCGGCCAGCATGTTTGTTTAAGTGCGTCAAATATTCGAAATTAGTAATCTGTCCAGTATACCATAAATTTGTCAGGGCGGTGATGTTGCCATATTCCAGAAGGTTTGGGAGGTTATTGGTCAGTATACTGTGGTACACATCATCACGAACCTACAAGGGCAGAGAAAGAAAACAACCAGATTTAATTTTTAGGCTTAGTGACACATTCCTCCATGATATTATAGGCATGGTGCTAATCTTGTCCTCCAAGACACCACTTTTTACCCGGTAACATGAACTGGTAGCGAACTGAGACTCATATGCGCTCCTCCTCCAAAGCTTGGGCTCTGAACTGCTGTAGTGTGCTTCTGGAGAATCCGTTAATATGAAACTAAGGAGAAGTTTATATAGAAAAATCACTTAAATACAAATCCTTAGAAAAAAATTTCAGTGAAGGAAAAAGCGGAGTCTTCATCTAAATGAAAGCAATATGATGTAGCAACAAGAGTATGGTTTCCTGAATTAGATAGACCTGGTCTATTTTCCTGCTTAAACCCTTTGCGCTGCCGTTACCACATCTGAAGGATGGGGGTAATAATATTTATTTCATTAAAATGAAATATAATATCCTATGCAAAAGAGGATATTTGATTTTCACAACTGATTGAAAATACAAAAGTACTGTCCCAGAAAAGTGGTATTCTCACTTCTAAAGCAATTTACATGATGATAATTAATAAATGGGAAAAAATTAGAGGAGCCAGGCCTTTGATAAAAACGAATTTGTGAGTACGCTTCAGGCTTAGGAAGAAAAGACACAGGTGTGGGTACTCAGAGATGGTTCTAAAAGTAAATGAGAAGAATAAGCTAAGGTTATGAAACAGGCAAGATCACAGGGTGTTTAAGAACCTAGTCTGGAGATCTGTTCAGAAGAAAATGTGAATTTAACTCTACTAAATTCTATGCTTAAAAATGGCTAGGACTGTAAATTTTATGTTATGAATTTTTTTACCACTTAAAAAAAAAAAAACAAGTTCAAGGCCATAAAAAAAGAAAGCAAACCCCAAAACAAAATCAAAAGCAAAAACTTAAACGTGTAGTTTAAGTCTGAAGGCTGTCCACTTCCACTGCTGAAGCTAAGGCTGATGGGAGGGAATTAAGGACAGTCTGCATACCAAACTCTGCGAGACGCAGGAAGCATTCACTCATTCGACCACTGTTTCCTGAGCACCTACATGCCAGTGTGTTCAGGGTGCTGTGAGCCAAACAAAGCCCAGATATTCTATTGGGGAGACACTGTTGTATGCCATTAAGTCCTGGAAAGAAAATAGAGCAAGATAAAGGCAGGCAGGCTTGGGGGCAGGAGCGGGAAAGGCATTGCTGTTTTAGTAGAGTAGTCAGGGGTGGTCTTCTGAAAAGGAGCCATTTGATCAAAGAACCTGAAAAAAGTAAGGGAGTGAGTCCTGTGGATTACCAAGAGGGAAAACATTCCAGGCAGCATGCAGGGAGCTGCAAGTGCAAAGGCTCCGACATCAGTGTGCCTGCTAAGTTCAAGAAGACAGCACAAGTGGAGAGGAGAGACTGGGGTGGAATGGCAGGAAGTAACGTCAGCATTAACAAGGTGCCAGATTATTCAACACTTTGTTAGGCTATGAAAGGACTTTGGCTTTAACCAAGTAAGGCAGGGAGTGATAAAAGGGCTTGAGCAGCGGAATGGCATGATCCGAGCTGTCTCAGCTGCTGTGTTGAGAGTGGTCTGATAGGAAGGGGAGTATGGAAGCAGGGAGGCCCATTAGGGGGCTGGTGTGATGGTTTCAGTGAGAGATAATGGGTGCTTGGGCCAGGATGGCAACGGTGGAAGCGGTCGGATTCTGGATGTAGTTCGAAAACTTACTGATGGAGTAGATGTCAGGGATGAGGAACAGGAGGAAGTCTGGGATAATTCCAAGGATTTTGGCAAGAAGAAAGACCACAGGTTGCCATTTATTGAGATGAGGAAAACTGCAGAGATCTGGGGGGAAGACTGAAGGTTCAGATCTGTACATGTTAAATTTGAGATGCCAATTAGGCTTCTAAGTGGAGATGTCAAGTGTGGAGCTAGACATTTGAGTGTGGCGTTCAGGGAGAGGTTTGGATAGAGGTACAAAGGTAAACTGTTCGACCATAGAGAGTATTCAGTCACAAGGCTGGACGAGAAGAGAAGAGGCCTCAGAAAGCGCCCTGAGACACCAGAGGCACTGTCTACAGGCCAGACTGAGAGGGCAGGGCTGGTGAGGTGAAAGTGGAAAGAAGACAGTGGTAACCCAGAAGCCCAGAGAGAAAGGTCTTTCCTTTTTTAAGAATGAGAGAAAAATCGCTGTGTCAACGCTGCGGACACGTCCAGTAAGATGATGACTCTGAAACATGAGCACAGGAGCGGCAACATGGAGGTCCCTGGGGACCTGAGCCGAGGGCTCGTGGAGCAGTGAGGAGGAAACGTGCCTGGGGCAACTCCAAAGGGACTGAGGGGGCCCGGAGGGGTAAGCACACACAGCTTTGTCCAAGAGGTTCTCTATGAAGGAGAGGGGACAGGTAGAAGCTGAAGGGATGTGGCGGTCAAGAACGGGGTTTGTCAACAGCAGAATCCAGTCTCAAGTTTAAACTACTCCTTTGGGTTGCTTATGCATTCATTCATTCACTTTTTACAGATAGAGACTCTTTGGGGAATCAGAATTTAAGTTCTGGAGGACAACAATGATCCTAATATAACCAAGGGTTTACTTTAGTTAGCACTGAGAAATAAGGCAACTTTTAGTTGGTTTCAGAAACAGTGAGTGGAAGTTAAAATCAGGCCAACCTTCACTTGAGCAGCATGAGTAGAGTCACCCTGGTGCCATGAGCTTTGGAAAGCACGGTCACGAAGCCCGGTTTACCTTGATGTTGTCGAAGGCTAACAGCAGTGTCCTGCCATTGGTCAGGAAGATTTCCACAGCATTTTCTCTCAGCTGCCACCAACGCTTGTGAACCTCTTTGATTTCTTCATATGTCCAGGAAAATGATGCTGGTTCCAATTCTCCCTGAAGGCTCTGGGACAAAGGAAGTTGATGAAAATATTTGCTTTACATGATGAAAATATAACTATCATTTTTAGTTATAAATTTTTAAAAAATCAAGATACTATAGCAAGTCTTCCTTTTGTAGCAAAATGGCAGATGAGAGTCTCTGAAAAATCTTCCCATTACTATATACTTCAAAATGTTGAGTAAAACTTAGAAGTGTTTTTTAGTTAATAGGCTTTACTTTTCTTGTAACAAACTTTATTTTTCAGAGCAGTTTTTTAGGTTTAAGAAAATTGAGCAGAGAGCAAGAGTTCCCATGTGTCTCCTCTCCCCACTCAGCATCCCTGTTGCTAACATCTTGCATTAGTGTGATGCTTGTTACAAATAATGAGCTAATACTGATACCTTCCTCCTAACTAAAGTCCATAGTTCACATGAGGGTTCAGTCTTGGTGCATATATTCTGTGGGTCCTGACAAATGTGTAATGACATGCATCCACCAGGACAGTGTCATAGAATAGCCTTCCTGCCCTAAAGACCCTCTGGGGTCCCCCTGTTGGTTCATCCTTCCTGGCAATGCTGACCGTTTTGCTGTCCCCACAGTCTCCCCTTTTCTAGGACATAGAGTTGGGTCATACAGTGTGTAGCCTGTTCAGACTGATTTCTTCTACTATGAAAATATTCTTTTACATGTATCCAAGAGCCTGCAAGAAGAGTAAGAAAAATGAGACCTCCAGGAGTCACAACAAAAGAGGAATTTGAAACCAGCAGCAAGGAGGAAGTGACACTTTGGCCTGTTCTGTGTGTGATTTACTATCTCACCTGATTCTTAAAAGTAGACTCGGGAAATCCATTACACATAAATAAAATGTCTTAATGAAAATGTAATTTTTTTCATCCTTAAAACCAAATCCTTCCTATTTAGCTACAACATTCAACATACAGTCAATTCAACACTCACTGAGCACCTGCAGAGGTGCCCCTCAAGGGCTGTGTGTGAAGCAATCCCATGTAAGATGAAGGGGACAGACATTTGGACACACATCTAAGATACAAGACAGCAAGTGTCACATTAAGTAAGGACAAATGCTACAAAAGTACAGAGGAAGGAAGGAGCCTTTAATCTATTAAAAGACGAGGATATTTTTAGGAGAGTTTCAAAGAAGGAAAATGTTATCTTTGGACTCAGAAAAACGTTGGCTATATATCAACTATTTGTTGGTTGTTAAGAAGACACTTCTCGAAAAATAAAATAACTATATTTTTACTAAATAGTATAAATGCTGTGGTAGTTGCTATTAAATCATGAAAGAATGCCTACTCATTCTGGGGGGCTATATTCAATATTCATACGAATTTTTACCTTATTTCTTTTACAACTAAATTTTATTTTCTCACTTATTAATTTCTTTGAATCAAATATGTATTCACCATTAAAATGTACATAATTTTTTTTAGTATATCCTTAGGAATGTCTAGCTTCGAACTTTTCAGAAACAAAAAGCCTTATTTCTCTTATTACAAGGATTTCAAAACAATATTTTAATGACATGTAAGTGAATTCAAAGGAATAAAAAGCTTTACTATATAAAATGTGTATTGAATCATTTTATTATTTCCTACTATCAGTATTTCCAGAAGAATGAAAATTATGATTACTAATCTATGTGACTATCAGGGTAACTCATTTAATTATGCGATACTTTCCTATCTTCCTGAAGGCAAGTGGACTGGGAAGTGAACCGGAAGTGGCAGGAGTAGTTGTTTGTGGCCACCGAGAATAGCGGTGAGGAACAATGGGCAACACGGAAATGACAGGAGCGACTGAGAACTCCACTCGAAAACTAATGGCTGAGACTCAGACCATGTGCCAGCAGAGACGGCATGGTCTTCTTGTTACAACGATCTTCTAAAAAAAAAAGTTTGAAATTCAGATAAATCGAGATATTAAGTCACAATAAACGAGCTCTAATAGTTCTGCCTGTTTTGTGGTAACACTGAATTTACCATCTTGGGAATTTGTATGAATTTAACTAGTGCAAACTTAAGCTCCTACTCACCGAACTTTCAACTGTATCCGAAGCATTATCTTCCACAAAATACATTCCACATTTACCTGCAGAATAGAACTGTATGTGAATTTAAAAATGTATGTGCACTGTTACCTGATATGGTTACAAGCATGCCCTTTGGAGTCAGTGGCCTGAATTCGAATAGCATCACCCAGAAACAGTTTCTGACACTCACGACCTATTTTTGAACAGCATCCATGAGATCTCAGGCACGCTGTTCAACCTCTGCGTCTTAGTTTCCTTATAAAAAGAAGAGGGAGGAGAGGACTCTATTTCACAGGGTTACTGTGGGAATTAGATTATATGCAAAATGCTTATTAATAGCGCCTGGTACTCAGTGCTAAAAAAGGCTGGCTATTTATTATCACCAGTATTCTTACATTACCAGAGTATTATCTTGCTTTATTTTGTCACACATTAACTGAAGTCAAGTTGTAAACCAAATTTCCTAGCACAAGGGGAATTCTTAATTATTTTGCTGACTTAAATGCTCAAGAAGGCAGAAATATCTTAAGAGATCGTCTTCCAATTTTTCCTGCTTCACAAGGAGTTGATAAGACACGTCCCTACATCATGTATCCCAAAGGCGGGAACTGCCTGGGCTCTGCACCGTGTGCTGGTCACGTTTGAGCACTGGCCTGGCTGGCTCAGAAGGGGCACTGTCCCAGCAAGCTCAGAGCTCTGCCCACTGAGCCCTAGGGGCAGCGACACTCACATTTGAGGGCTCATCAAAATGCTTATGGCTGGGACCCTCCCCAGAGTTTCAGATTTAGTTGGTCAGGGCTGGCGCCCAAGAAAATGCATTTCTAAGAAGTCCCATGTGATGCTACTGCTGCTCCTGATCTGGAGACCATGCTCTGAGGACAACCAGCCTACAGCACACAAGCTGGTTCTTTGAGGGAACAGACCAGGTGCTACAACTTCATTCCTTCATATCCCGAGGAAAACGCTCCCCACCTAATGTGACTATATAGGTCTCCATGAATTAACAATAGAGAATATAAACTATAAATCTCAAGGTAGATATAGGTCATAGGTGTATCTGTTAAAACAGTAGGCATATAATTATACTATTAATAATAATTGTTCACTTTAAAATCAAAATTGATATATAATAAAAGGAATGATTAAATATAAAAATGTACTCATGAAGAAAGTCAACTTTATAAAAATTAAAATGTTATTCATACACTTTCCAGGGACAAGGCTGTCATTTCTCCACATTCATGAGCCAATGCATTACATACAATGTTAAGGCAAAAACACCTATGTGATGGTACAGAAAGTTTATCTCAAGTAATGGCAGTGTGTCAAAACAATGCTGGAAATTATCCAGAATAAAATAACACGGGGTTAGCCTGTGTAAAACTCTTCAGAATGTGGCTCACCTAATAACAATTCGCCAGCTGTCTCTCTAGATGGTGCAACACTGATACATCTTCGATTCACTCTGTCAAAATATATTTAAAATTACTATGATTAAATGTTTTGACCAGTTTTAGAAAGTATAAGCTTATTGTATCTAGTGAAAAATTTCAGCAAAGCAGACAAGTTTCAAATACAAGATGTCTTGTCAAAACCCACATAAAAATATTATCTCATTCTTTAACATTCCAGTAAAGGAAAAAAAAGACTAAAACTTTTAGAAAAAGCTAATAATCCCTATATTCTGTATGCAGAATACAGGATTCAGTTACTGAAACGAAACTTCAATATTTTATATTTTCCAGTAAACAAACAAACATTGGGGCATGCCTCTGGTACTTCAAACACATAAAAGAAGCCTAGTTTCTAGGAAACACAGGGGATTCAGAGTCAGAAAAGTTCTTCTATTCTTTAATCAAGTCGTTTACGTTCTGTGAGTCTCAGTTTTTCATCTATAAAATGGACAGGGTAATAACTGACCCGTTTACTACTCAGCAATTCTATGATATGTTGGGCGTTACCACCTTCCTCCTGTACCAACAGATAAGGAAACTGATACAGAGAGGTAAGTAACTTGCCCAAGATCAGAAAGCTAGTAAGAGCAGACCCAGGACCTGACCCTTCCTCACTACTCTGACTGCCTGTGGATGTCACCAGCAGGGCTGTCTGGACCCCAGAGCTAACAAGTCACTACAGAAACACGTATGCAAATGAGGGCCAGAGCACAGGACCGAAGTCCAAGGGCTCCATTCTGTCAACAGTGTCTTTTCCTTTTGGATTCTGGCCATTCAACCTTGTCCCCTCTTGAGCCACGTTTAGGACCTTTCCTAGAACCACACAGCATTGTCTAAAACAAATTATAGACAAGTACTACAATAGACTATAAAAATCTTTAACTCCTCAACAAAAAAGAAAGCGCCTTAAGGATTCAAAGTTACCTTATAGACTCACTTGCAGCTTTGTCTTTTACAGTAGAAGAGAAAGAAGAATGAGTTTTGTCTTCAAAGAGGTAAGAGAGTGGTGGTTTGACCACATCTGCTGAGGAAAAGAGCACATATTATCTTTACCTAACGACCATAGTTATCTGCTCTATTTATATGTTGATCAAAAGCCACTATTACCTTCTGATTTCTGCCTATCCCTAAGGAGATACTTGTTTGGAATAGTTAAGTAACATCTCTGTAAACGTCTTCTCTCTCGATTTGGCCCTTCTGTTGGATCCAACTGCCAGGAAGTTGGGTAGTAGATGGGGTCATACCAGACTGCTCTGCAAGTCAAAAGAAAAGAACCTGTTAAGTCGCAACCTGTAGTACCTGTAGCTGTAAAAAAAAAAAAAAAAAAAAAAATCATTGTATAAATTGAATAAATCAAAACTGATCTATTCAATTTAAAAAAACTATTAAAAAAAGAAAAAGAAAAAAACCCAACTATTTATATAATTAGGCTAAGAAATACAGATACATAGAGAAAAGAACAACATAAAAAATTAAGTATCTCAGTCTCCTCGTTCCCCACCTAGAAGAAAGTTCTGCTACCAGTTTCCTGTATCTTAAAATTTTAAAAACATATAAATGACTACTATGAATGCTTTAGCAACATGTATGCTTTAGCAATACAGTAGGCTTAATATGGTTAACTTAAAAAAAGACATTTTCCAAATTAATCTTTTACATATTCCATTTTGCCTAATGTAACTAAATTAGTTCACTTTTGTAGTATAAATCACATTTATTAAAAGATTTCAAAATAAATTAATATTTTAAATGAAATAAAATAGGATAATATTAAATACATTTTTAGAAATAAATAAAAGAAAAAAATTACCCTTAATCCTACTACCCTAAACATACAAAAATTTTGGTAGTGGTTATTTTTTCATTTTTTAAAAATTGCAGTTATACTTATTATGTATGTAAACACATTTCTAAATCTTACCTTCTTTCACTGAACACATGATAATCTTAACTATCATCAGTTTAAGTGGCTAATATTGCATTGAGTGGCTAATGTATTTAACTCTATTACTATTATTATATATTTGTTTCCAATTCATTCACTAGCATAAATAATGCAAAAGACAAAAACTTTTATGTTCATTGTCTTTCCATATTTTAAATATTTCCCTTAGGATATAACCCCTAAAACAGGATAACTGAAGCTAGAAATAAAATGTTTGTAGGGTTCCTGACATATAATGTCAAAGTGGACAAAAATCACCAAAAATGACCAAGGACTGACAAGTTTCATGGAAATTAGCAACTAATGATTTCTTTTGTAACATAAAGGTAAAATCTGGTATATAAAAGTTTAAAAAAACCAAATTAGCCTCTAGTGATATTCACTGTTTTATCATCCTTTTATTAATTCTTTTTGTCTATGTGAGGAGTATATTCCATATCTTTTGCTCATTCAAACTTTGAAGATCTTAATATTTTACTTTCAAATCTTTATGAACTTTAAAATGATAAAAATATTAACTTTGATATATTTGCTGAAGATAAATTTTCGCTTGTTATAGTTGTTAATCACACTGGAAACAAAATCCAAATCCATTAATTTCTTCTCTGTAGTTTCTATGGTGTTCAATCTTACCCTATTTACTTTATAAATTTTCTTCTACTTTATAGTTTTCTTCCACTTTAAAATTTTTCCATTCACCTGGAATTTACTTTAGAGTATAACATTTAGTGTTTTTTTAGCACCCCAAAGACATACTAATCACTTATCTTATGGCCAACACACACATGAAAAGATGCTCAATATCACTCAATCATCAGAGAAATGCAAATCAAAATCACAATGAGATATCACCTCATACCTATCAGAATGGCTATTATCAATAAATCAACAAACACCAAATACTGGCGAGGATGAGGGAACCCTTGGGCACTGTTGGCAGGATTGTAAATTGGTGTAGCAACTATGGAAGATAATATGGTGGTATCTCAAAAAATTAGAAATAGAACTATCTTATGACCCAGCAACTGCACATCTGGGTATTTATCTGAAGAAATCCAATACACTAATTAGAAAAGATATATGAACCCCAATATTCATTGCAGTGTTAATATAATAGGCACTACATGTCCATTGATAGACAAATGAATAAAAATGTGGTGCATATATACAATAGAGTATTACTCAGCCTTAATCCTGTCGTTTACGATAATATGGATGAACCTAGCAGGTATTATGCTAAGTGAAATAAGTCAGACAGAGAGACCAATACTGTATAACTTCACTTATATAGGGAATCTAAAAAATAAAACAGAAATAAACTCATAGACACAGAGAACAAACTGATAGTTGCCAGATGAGAGGGAAATCGGGGAGAACGATCCAAGAAGGTGAGAGGGTTCAAAAGTACAAATAGGCAGAGCCATGAAACACTCGTGGGAATGTGAAGTACGGCACATGGAGTAGAGTCAACGGCATTGTCGAAACGATGTATCATGCCAGGCGGGTACCAGACTCATGAAGATGATCATTTCATAAGCTGTAAGCATTTCTACTCACTCTGCTGTACACATGGAACTAATATGATATTGTATGTCAATCATAACTGAGAAATAAACTTAAAATAATCTAATTTGTTATCCAAATTTAGAGACTAATACTTTAATTTCCATCTTCATTATTTTTGAAGCTTCTTTTAAGTATTATTAAAGTCTTAGCTAGAGAAATATCTACTTCCCAACTACACTGTTTCAGTGATTTCTCAATTATTTTACAAAGATCATAGTTTAAAATTCAAGCCAATCTGTACATTTTACTTGCTGGAAGAGCTAATGACTCTCTCTACTTTTATTTCTCCTGACAATTAAAAAAACAACTCTCATAGGATTATTCATCAAGATGAAATAAATCACAAATGATTAAAAAAATTTAAACTAATAAAATAATGTTATGACTGTTTATTGTGGAATGAAACTGGTATTTAACATGGACATGTAAAATATTCATGCAAGACAACCTGGACACCCTCGCGCTCTGCTCACCTGTCATGTGTCAGCTGCTGACTAAGTTCCTGCCAGTGTCGGCTGGCACTCAGATCTCCTTTGTACATCCCTCTGATGTGCTGGATCACCTTTTTTCTCTCAACTCCTTGGGAGAAAGACACTGCTTGGGTGATGTCTGCAGCTATTTTAGATATATCCTTTGATTTTGAATCAAGACGCTGAAAGAGACTAAACAAACAACATTGTTCATAAGTTAAGCAAGTGTGGAACATGAAATGTGTATCAAAACATGATCCTTAAAAACTAAAAGTATATGTGAAATCTAATGGAGTCCTAAAAGACATGACTTTACAACCATAATCCTACCTTTGTTGATTATTATTAACTGTTTTCTGCCAGGTAGCTTTAGTCACACCTTCTTCAGTTTCATATTTCTTTTGTTCCTAAAAGATTTAAATAAGAATGTAGTATATAAAACTTCTTATTTATCATTTAACACTGGCACAGAGCCCAATAAACTAATTGTAAAACCAAGTTAACAAAGGAAAAAATATTGTCCCCAGAGACCAGAATATTAAAATACATCAACCACTTAAAAAAATGCGATAATTCCCCTTTGTTTCCATATAATTTGGGTCACAGGAACTAGCATAGAATAGTTAACCAGGGTTGCCAAACCCGATGGGTTTGCATAGGTGCTTGCTTCCTGATTTTGCGCTTTCTTAAAGAACCCATAACTCACGGTTGGTTCTTCCACTTGCTTGTAACTGTAAAAATCTTTCCCTCACTGAAAGCTACTGGTAACAGATAAGGATGACCACTGAGGATAAAGCATTCCTTAAATAAGCCTGTTTGCTTTCTCATGGTAAAAAAGCAATAGACAGAAACTATTTCAAATTCATGATCAATGATACTCTGTAATTAAAAAAACAAGCCTTCAATCATTCTTTCATTATATTCAATGGGATCTTCTAAGAAAAGTTTTTGTTTCATCATCTTACCTCTTTGATCATTTTAAGAAGCTCTGGTTTTGTTGCTGCACTGGGAGGGATGCATTTGTGGCCACATAACTTTAAAGCATTCATAAGCACTTCTGCTGTGTCTAGTTCTTCCGGAGTCAATTCATCTTGGTGATTATGTATCAACTCAGACAAATACAAAACTAACTTGGCTCCATGCTTTAAAACAAAGTAACAAAGTTTTAAAGAATTTTTATTCCTTACATTTAAATTATTTACCAGTAATTAAATTAAATTATATTGCTAGTTTTTTTGGTTAGATCTGATTTGAATAAATGAGCTAAAAAAAGACACTCTAGGGACAACTGAAAAAATTTGATTATATACTGGACATTAACGGAGTATGCTAATTTTGCTAGGTATAAAGTTTGCTATGTTTATATAAGAAAATGTCTTTTGAAAACTGTCACTTCTATCATTTACTTTAAAATATTTCAGAGGAAGAAAAAATGATGCCAATATAATAAAAATATTAATAATCATTAAATCTATGTGATAGTTATATTCCATTCACTTTATTATTCTATTTTCCTTAGTGTGTTTGAAAACTTTCATTGTCAAAGGTAAAAAAAGGGAAGAAAAAAGAGGGAAAAAGAAGAAAGGGAGGAAGGGAAGGAAGAAAAGAAGGAAAAGAAAGGCCAGCAAGCAGGCTTTGGGGGAAGACTTCTGGAGAGGATTAGCTAAAGAAATACAGGAAATAAGGTTGGAATAAGGGGAAATCATTCTTAGTTTTTCTCATAGAAAAATTTAACTGGAAGGGGAACTTTCCTTTAAACATTAAGGGAGTTTTGCTTATTTATTCTTTATCCTTTGACTTCTGCTTGGTAGAACAGAAGTTGGTGAAAATTCCAAAATGAAAAGCTATCTTTGGATAAGCTTTTAAGGACTCCCTAGGGAGAACTCTAAAATCAGGGAGACCTCTGCACTTGTGAACATCCAGAGAAGGGTTGGCTTAGGCCAATCTTTTATGAACAGACCCTATAACTAAAATTAGAGTGTTGCTACTTAAGGCAATTACAACTGTCTTTCATTGCATGAACCTACACCAAGCTTTGACTCATGATTTTTTAGGTGGCTCTTCTATGCTCCAGAAGTTACACCCAATTATTATGTGTACACATTAATTCTGCCAACAAGTTAAACATGCATAATTTTACTTTTTAAACATTTGCATTAATACAAATACCACTGCATTTGGCTTTATGACATTTAAGCTGTGAATAGTATTAAATGTCAACAAATGGATTTGGAAACTATTACATTTTGGGTGATATTTACATTAACATGCTGAATCACATCATGCCATTTCCTGAAAGCATAAGATGAACATATGCATGATGAAAATAGCAAAGCTCATTTTGATGCAACATTTTAAATGAGTCGGGAGACAGCTGCTGCCCGACCAAAAGAGAAAACTGAGCAGATGCTCTGTGAGTAAAAGGCCCAGGGAGTTGGCAAATAAAGAGAAGTGGTAAATGACTGGAATATTTTCACGTGTGTCTTGAAGGCAAGGTTCTTAATATAACTGCAAAAATATTTCCATTTAGTATTCAGGGACATTCTAAAATGATCTTGAGAAACTATCAGAAATGTTTTTATTCACTCTGAATATCCACATAACAGATGATTTAGACACTAAAGTTGTTTCTAATAACTCATTTTAACATTCTCTGACCAATCATTTATTGATTGTGGTTCCTGGGACTAGAAAAGGTATGACTGGGGATTGATTAAAAAAAAAAAAAGAGTCTTGTTTTCAGATCTCAAAAGGCTAATTTTTAAAAATTATTTATTTTTAGAGAGAGTGGAAGGAGGGAGAAAAGCATTGATGTGCGAGAGAAACATCGATCAGTTGCCTCTCATACACGCCCATTCGGGGACTGAATCTGCAACTCAGGCATGTGTCCTGACTGGGAATCAAACCAGCGACCTTTTGCTTTGTGGGATGATGCCCAGCCAACTGAGCCACACCAGTCAGGACTCAAAAGGCTAATTTAAGGAACTGAATCTATTAAACAGAAATCCATAGACAATAATAAAAGGCTAAAATGTGTAAAAATACAAATTTCCATTAAAGTATCTATGAAGAAAGAGTCCTGAGTGGACCAGAGAAAGGGAGGAAGGTTTTGAAGTTGGAACGAAGTGAGCTGGGTACATGGATGAATGGATGGAATGGCAGGTAGACAGACACAGGAGGGGTGAGAAGGTTTTTCAGGCTGCAAGGACAGATGCAGTAAGCAGCATGTTAGCAGGAATACACAGGCTGTGAAGAGGGTACAGCAGAGATGAAACGCTCTTTGAAAGGAGACGTTACACACTGGAGAGTTAACCAGACTCAAGTTGTAGCAGAGGAAACCTAGGGCTTTAAAAATCACGCAGATTACAAAAGGATACAGCTTGTAGGCAGCTGTAAAAAGAAAAAAAAAAAGACAGTATATATTTATACTGCTGTGGAATGATCTCTAGGATACATTGTTAGTTGAAGAAAACAAAGTGCAGAAGAGTGTGTACAGCTTGCCATCTCTCTCTGTGTCAAGAAGTGGAGGAGATCACATACACGTGTGTGTGTGTGTGTGTACAGAATGACTCACATGGCCCAAAAGAGTAAAGAGCAAGTAAAGATGGTTTCCTACAGGGAAAGGGAAAGGGTGAGGGAAGGGCCTAGAGATAAGAGCTAGAAGCCCTCTTAATGTGCTACTTTCACAATTTTGCCTTTGGATCCATGTAGACATTTTACATAATTAAAAATGAAATTAAATGCAATGGGATCCTTAAAAATAGAAAATGAATTTAAAAAAATCTAACTAGTTAGTTGAAGTTCCTGGCATAACCTAATAAAAAAATTATTTTCAGTGCTTTTACCATATAGTATTTTCATGGTACATCCATAATGCTAAGCTAAGGACAAAAATAACCACAAGAGATCTCAAAATGCATTCAGTGGGCTTGTCACTAGTGATACGGTTGGTCATCTTATTTTGAAGATAGATATAGATGTAGAAAGATAAAACAAATTAGTATGTTAATGTCATAAGGAAGATTACAGGTGAAATATCAGTATGAATTCATGATTTTTTTCTAAAAAAGATACATATTTCCCAGGCTTTCCTATTAAAAAGGCTGAGAAGAAATGATAACCTAATATAAATGAATGTACCTAGTCACTGAACTGTGGTCTTTAAGTACTATTATTTCATTAAAAGAAAGTAGGGGCTTTTTGAGGAAAAGTCTGGTTCCAGGTTGGGAATAAACACAGGAAGAGCGTGGGGAATTCTTCTGTTCCACAATGAGGAATTTAATCACATTAATGTGTTCAAAATTAAATGGCCATGTTAAAAGAACATAACTACTTGAATCTACAGAAGTGTTAATTTAAATATCAAACAGAACAAAAGCTACAACAGTTTGAAACTGTAAACTTTATAAAAAAAACCCTGAGTTCATAATGATACCTCAAAAATAAAAACAAATATGAAAATTAAAGGTTGCTAGGGTACCAATTCATTTTCCTAAAAATTAATAAATAAGGTAAATAAGTGTTTATCTTGCCTTTCCTATAGACTATATTTTAGGGTAGTCAAATCGTTGATAAGGGAATATTCTTTCCCACAGATGAATCAGAATTGAGAGCTGCTGGGGGAATAAGAAACAGAGAAATTGCAATTTCGCAGCTCCTAATGAAAAGTGGATCGTGGCACCTATCATCAATGGCTGCTACAACTATTAAGTTAAAGATTGAGGGTGAACTTTATAATGGATGGCTCAGGCTGACAACCATTTCAAATAGCAGGGCAACTGGACATTCTCTGCCTTCTGCTATGATGTGATGGAAAACACACTCCTCGTAAAGTATTCTTTAAAAAAACAACCATAAAACCATAAAAACAAATATGAAGCCAAGAAATGGAATCTAATCAAGGCTCTAGAAATAGAGCCACAAGGATATAATCAGCCAAATCCAGAATGTGGGAAATTCTACAGGATAAACGACCCAGTTTCATCAACAAATAAATAACATTAAAAAAAAATGGTTGGGGAGAGTAACTGCCACGGGTTAAAAATATTTAGCACACACCAAACGAATGCAATGTATGGGCCTTGTTTGGTTCCAGAAACAAGCAAGCTATTTAAAAATTGTAAGAGATCCTGGACAGGTAGCTCAGTTGGTGAGAGCATCATCCCAATACGCCAAGATTGTGGGTTCGATCCCTGATCAGGCACATAGAAGAATCAACCAACAAATGCATGAACAAATGGAACAACAAATCAATGTGTCTGTCTCTGTCTCTCTCTAAAATCAATCAATAAATTTTTTTTTAAATTATGAGAACTGTGAGAAACTTTAAATGCTGATTGAAAGCCCTGGCTGGTGTGGCTCAATGGATTGAGTGGTAGCCTGCAAACCGAAGGGTTGTTGGTTTAATTCCCAGTCAGGGCACAGGCCTGGGGTGCAGGCCAGGTCCCCAGTAGGGGGTTGCATGAAATGCAACCACACATTGATGTTTTCCTTCTCTCTTTCTCCCTCCCTTCCCCTCTCTATAAAAATTAATAAGTAAAATATTTTTAAAAATGCTGATAGGGTATTAGATGATAATAAGGTACAATTAATATTATTGAGTGTGATAAGTTTTAAAAAAGCCCTTATTGGTTAGAGATACATACTGAAGTATTTACAGGTAAAATGATTTGATACCTGGCATTTGTTTCAAAATTATACAAAGACAAAAATAAAAATTAAAGCTGGCTAATGATCATGTGGGGTTCTTTTATGATTTCTCTTAACTTTAAGGCACAAATATTTGAAAGTTTCCATAATACACTTTAAAAAGTCAGGTACAGTCATTTGGTCTTGAGTGCAAAGGTATCGTAGTGATCTGAGCATAGGGGAGAAGTCTGAACTTGGATGAGTGGGTAGACTAAAGAGACAGGGAGAGAGGGTGGTGACTAAATAAATCCCTTTCTCTGGTGATGAAATGGATACAGGAGAGAAGAAAAAATCAAACAGAGTTCCAGTGCTTTAGGCCAAATCAATAGGGGCACAAAGACAGAAAGGGAGTTGCAGAGGAGGGGGGCCGAAATGAGGAAACATGACTGTTAACTAGGGTTGGCTTTGACGGATGGCACGTCTGCTGACGGTAAATGAGGGAAAGACCACTCCACATTCTCCAGGGAAGGAAACCAGGGGCCTGGGTGTGCTTCTGCTGTGGAAAGGGAAGACAACGCCTCTCATGGGCTTGAGACAGTCTTGATATCAGAAAGAGCACCTACAAGTGTTACTTTAAAGCTATAACCTTTTGGTTCCTAATATGATACACCTGGGTTTCCCAGGGATTAATAGGGACACCTGTCCTTTCTTATACAGGGTCCAGCACAAATAACGCCCCTTTTTTATTACAAAATCATAAGCATGTACTTCTGTAACATAACAATATCATGCTTAAGCACACAATATGGCATTTTAAGTGAAATGTCCAAATGAAAACTATAAATTATTGCACTCATATTATTACCCTACCAACCACACTCAGGCAGGCGTTGCTTCTGCTGGACTCTGTATCTCATCTCCTAGTTTATGTATAGGGGTATAGTTTACATACAATAAGCATACAGACACTAAGGGTTCATTTCTATGCGTTTTGACAACAGCGTATACAAAATAAGACAGAGTACATTTTCATCACCGCAGAAAGTTCTGTACGGCTCCTTTTCAGTCAACGCCCTTCTCACTGCCTCCTCCTCAAAGACGACCGTCTATCACCGCACCTTACTTTTACCTGCTCTTGAACTCTCTTGTGTTTGGTTGTCCCCTTTGCCAGTGCAATGTTTAGAGCTTCATCCATGCTGGCAGGTATAGCAGTGGTCTGCTCTTTTTTGTGGCTGTACAGACTCTATTGTATAAATATCTCACACTTCGCTTACATACTCTCCTGTTGGTAGACATCTGGGTTATTTCCAGTATTTGGCTATTAGTAAAAAGGCCGCCATGAATATTTTTGAACAAGTCTTTTTACAGATGTATATTTTAAATTCTCTTTGGTAAATAAAAGTGGAATTTTAGAGTCACAGGTTAAGTGTATGTTTAATTGTACAGGAAACTGCTAAACAGCTCTCTAAAATGACTGTAACCATTTAAACTCTCCAACTATCCTTCTTGAAGTGATAGGATTTATTATACAGCCTGAAATTTTAAAAGGTATTTTGGTTTTGATCATTCCAAGTGATCAACAATTTCTTTCTATTTTAACTTACTGTAAATATTTTAAAAAATATGTTATATGTACTGTTGTTTGAGCTATTCAGTATAGATGTTTCATGGATAATATAATGCTTTAGAAAAGGCTCCAAACAGTTCTTAAATACTTTAAGATTTAGTAACAAGCTACAAATGATCTTCCTTTAAGCACTGGAAAAGAATGGGAAATAAGTAGGTCAAATTGAAACTGGAAGGAAGACCCCAGGTGATGTTTGGTAAGAAAACTATATTTATAATGTTTCACATGAAAATACAATTTAATTTCAGTTCTTGTTTTGTACAATTTAATGTTTCACCAATAGTTTTTGCATATTAAATACTGAGATTCTTACTTGCAGGGATGGGCTAAGACAGTCCCGCAGTATTTCCTGATGACTAGGTTCATGAACTATTTCAAATATTTGCTTTCTCTGTTGTGAAGGGTGGGCTGGTGACAAAATATGTGTGAGCAGTCTCCCCAGTTGCATTCGGAAGGTTTCCTTACATGACCATATGATCTTCGTCCACTGCTGCTTGGAACCACTGGTTTTACTTGAACCCTTAAACCAAAATAGAAATGAATTAGGATCAGGCTTATTATATACTAACCTCAACACAGCCCTAAAGAACATCATGAAACATGTTTTATTCTTGATTTTTAAAGATAGTGTAAATTAGAAAGACATAGACATCCGTATAAATGGTGTTTAAAAGAGACAGACATACACCTTTGTTCCAAACAGTCAAAAGGCAGAAACAATCCAAATGCGCATTGATGGATGAATAAATAAACAAAACACAGTCCATAAACAAAATGGAATGTTACTAAGCCTCAAAAATGAATGAAATATTGATACATGCTTCAACATGGATGAACTAGAAAACAGGATGTTAAGTGAAATAAGCCACACAGAAAAGGACAAATGTTGCATGAATTATTGTATTATAACCTATATGAAGTATCTAGAAAGTCAAGTTCATAGAGACGGGAAAGGAGAAGAGTGATTATAGGGGCTGGAGGAGGGGGAATGGGAATTAGTGTTTAGTCAACACAGAGTTTCAGTCTGGGATGATGAAAGATTCTGGAGATGGATGGTTGCACAGCAACGTGAATGTACTTAATGCCGCCGGATTGTGCCCTCACAAATGGTTCAAAAATGGTTCAAATAGTAAATTTTATGCTGTGTATTTTACCACAATTTAAAAAAGGAGAGATGGATGAAGAAACTGAAGTCCTGAACCACTTATAAAGCTACCTAAGAACTTGGAAACTAAAAAAAAAAAAAAAGAACCATCAGAGGACAATGGTAGGTGAGGTCCCACTGATTTTCGCAATACAAAAGAGAAAGGATTCATAATGAAGACTTGAATTAGTACTAAAATATATTGAGTACAGTAGTCAGAAGTAAGGACTGCATATAAATTGATCACCAGTATTCCGTAACAAATAAAAAAAGAAGCGTTCTGACTGTGGCCCCAGTAAGGCTAACCTAATCCTGATCAAATCTCCTGTTTAACATGGAAATCAGTCCATTTTAGAGTTTACTCTGAGTTTTGGAAATTGCTCTCTAATTACTCCTAGTCCTGAGGGCCCTGTGTGAATTGAATGACTCAGTTCTAGTGGAACCCTCAGACACCAAAATCTAGTTTAGATGTAGAGACTGGCAGACTCATGATTTATGAGCTCAGCTGGAATTAGATTGGTCTTTGGTGTCTATGGAGTGTGCTGACCCATTTGTTCCCTGTGGTCAACTGTAAGTGACTCACAGAAACCCAAGTGAGTCAATGATGAATGGAGCCTGACACTTGCCCATATTCTCTATACAGTTCTGAAGGAGTTGGATACACTTAAGCCAAGATCTAAACTTCATAATAATTCATAATAATAATCATTCAAAAGAAAATAGGTACAGATAAAGTACTTTGAAAACAGGCTATTAATTTAAACTTTCACAGAATCTGTTAAAGCCCAATTCTTTTCTGATGCTGCTTGCTCTTACTAAACTATAATATTAGAAAATGACTTTCAGGTCACAGACTTAAAAACCAATGCTGCACCCAGAGAGTCCTTTCGGAAAGGGTGACTCAGCAAATATTACTCCACTATTAAAAATTCAAGTTGTCTGAGTTTCAGAAAACTCTGTGAAAGAGTAGAAATATTTTGAAAACATTAAATACAGACATAAAACTTCTACTCCTTTTGTGTGACTGAACATTCCCCATTTAATTAATTTACTTACAATAGATACTTTGAATACTTCTACCAGGTACATGAATATTTCTTTCTGAAATGGATTAAAAACAGAAATATGTTCGTGATGAATATTTTCTTCAGAAACTTCAGTCTGGGAAACTGAGGTCTTGCTTTGATTGGCATTTTCTGGAGTACTCAAAATGTCAACAATGTCTGGATTAAACTCTGAATTAAAAAAAGAATAAAAAAAATTAGTCAAACCACTAATACCTAGCCATTACAAATGTAATAATGCTGGTAAAACTATTCTATGTAATTACTAAGTCAGTTGTCACAATATAAATGTGTTGTTGGTATATTAATTGTAGAATATACTGGAGAAAAGTGACCTTACTTAAAACAGTGTAGAAATTTAAACATGTATAAGCCATGCAATTCTAAGTTAAAGATTTATTTTACTGATGAAGATGATTACGCTGCAAAATCATTAAAGCCACAGGGTTCTAGCACAGGTCAAACGTGCAGACCATGCAATGTTCACACTTGGTGGGCGTGCAGAGCTGCATCTCCTGTGCTGTCCCTGTGAGTGTTGTACACGTGATGAAAATGGCTTAATTTTGAAGTTCAGCCTGAGGGCCAGTTGCTCCAAATATAAATCAGAGAAGTTTTAAAAGAAAATCTCGGGTCTATTATTTTTCTAATGATTAACAAATACTGCTTTCTTTTTCCTGCCTTCTTGGGGTTATTTGAACATTTCTTAGAATCCCATTTTGACTTATCTATAGTGCTTTTGAGTATTTCTTTGCAGAGCTTTTTAGTGGTTGCTCTAGATATTATATTTTATATATAAATATGTAAATCATTAGCCACTATAGAAATACAAATTGAAGCCACAATGTGATATCACTACACATATCAAAATGACTAAAATTAAAAACAGTGACAATTCCAAATACTTAAAAGGATGTGAAAAAACTGGACCATACATACAAAATTATATAGTCACTCTGGAAAAGTTTGGCAGTTTCTTAACTAGAAGAAGGCACATACTACCACACAATCTAACAACCGCACTCCTGGGCATTTATCCCAGGAAAATGAAGACTTATGTTCACACAGAAATCTGCACATAAATGGTATAGCAGCTTTACTTGTAAAAGCTCCAAACTGGAAACAGCCCAGATAGTCTTTCAACAGGTGTGTGGCTAAACAAATCACACTAATCCATACTGTGGAACACTACACAGCAAAAAATAAAAAAATAAAAAAAAAATAAAAAATGTAACTACCGGGCCAACTTTCTAAAAAATTATGCTGAGTGAAAATAGCCAAGGCTATATTCTGTACAATTCCATTTATATAACGTTTGAAATGACAAAAATATAGGAATGAAGAACAGAGTAGAAGTTGCCAGACTATGGAAGCTTGGGGTAGGAAGAGAGTGAGTGTGACTATAAAAAGGCAGCATGGGGGGGCCTTGCACACTGTCCCGAGCGGCGCGCTGAAACCTCCCGCGCTGTCTGGGGTGGGAACCGCCCCCGCACCCAGCCCGTCCTCGCTGCAGTCGCTCCCTGGCTGTTAGTCAGCTCGTAGCCCTCTTGACTATCAGACTGACTGTCGTGGCATCACAGCGCTTGTGTCCAAGTCCCTCTTATTTTACTTAGTCATGGCCACAAAGCTCCATAGTAGGAATGCTGGCGACTCGGCTGTGCCAAAAAGAAGCTGAAAAATGCTTCCTTTAAGCGAGAAGATATGTATGTAAAGGAAAAAGCAGTATATATCAGGGCTCACTACCATCCATGGTTTCAGGCATCCATTGGGGGGGTTCAGAATACATCCCCCGTGATAAGGGGGGGACTATGGCCTCTTGAAAAAACTTTAAAAAGTCAATCTATGCCAGCATTTAACACATTGAAAAATGGACTTTATTCAAAACTATTATTTCCAAATAATTCTTTTAATAGGATGGGAACCTATTCAGTTCCCTCTAAAATTATTTTCCTTTTAGTTCAAAATCTGAGCAAGGACATATTTATTCTCTAGTCCCACCTTGATAAATAATCCTGTTAACGGCCAAAATGGTGAGCCTCTGCAGTCTCTGTGCAAGCTCTGCTTCGGTGGCCTGGACAGGGTTCTCCTGGCTCATTCTCCGCTGCATCATCACATGAAGTTCATCACTCGCCACTGAACGCATTTTCATCAGAAGGGAGTCAGTTTGAGCAAGGGGAAATTTCAGAGGACCTTCAAATATATAAATTAAAACATCAAATGCCACAGTTAACAAGATCAAAGAAACTATTTTTGCAGCAGTTTTTGATCATCAGAGCAAGAAAAGAACCTCATTTAATATAAAGTTAATTTACAGAAAGGAAAGAGAGTTATTAAGAGAAAGTGATGTTTCCCCCTCTTAAAAGAGGTGCAACAGTACCTCTGATCTCAAAGTCCTAAATAAGAATAGCTTAGGAAGATGGACACCATTTGGCAAAATTTGAGTCTCCTGAAAAACTCCAAGAATTAAAAGGGTACATATAAGTAGTTCAGAATATTTTGACAAAATATTTTCAAATACTGTTGCACTTCCTTGTATTCTAAAATAATCAATAGATTTTTATTTTTTATTAAAGATTTTATTTATTTATTTTTAGGGAGAGGGGGAGGGAGGGAGAAAGAGAAGGAGAGGAATATCACTTTGAGAAACACCAGCTAGCTGCCTCTCATAAGCACCCCAGCTGGGCACCGAACCCGCAACCCAGGCATGTGCTTTGACTGGGAATCAAACCTGTGACCTTATGCTGTTCGAGACAGCACCCAACCAACTAAGCCAAGCCAGTCAGGGCATCAATAGATTTTTAAAGCATATTATATTTTAGAAAGAACATTACTATTTCTGGATAACTGAATTGTATGAAATAGTTTTGAAAAGTGCACATAGTGACATAGTAGAAATCAGTCAAATGAAGGTGAGGAGATCAGAAAGGTGAATATCATTCCGGTGACTTGCTAATAAATGATTTGCTGCACATGCATCGCTTGAAATTTAATCCTACAAAAGCATTTCCTGAGAAATGTTTCCTCAGATTGAACAGGTAGAACTGGCATTCAGGACCATTACTGCACCTGCTCCGAGAGGTACCACACAGGGAGTGGATCCAGGAGAAAATGGGGGGAATGAGTCTTGATTGAACGCACTGAAGGAAAAGTGCATCGGAAGTTGACCATAGGAACGAAAATGGCGTCTTGGTAGGTGAGGAGCAGTGGAACCCTTCATTGGAATTGAACCTTTGTTTTAGATTATGAAAACATATATCAATTTCCATAAACATTCTCTATACACATTACTTACATATGACTAAAATATGATATTTTAATGACTCATCCTGCAAGATACTTAAATATTTTAATAGCATTTTAGATTGTCCACTATTTTAGGTAATCAGTATTTTTAATCAGTTAATACATTTTGGTGGGTAGAGTCCCCTTTGAGACAAAAAACCCCAAAGCAAATAAAAAGAAAAAATTTGTCTCTGTGATATATTCAAGAATAGTATTTCAGACTCTGCCCTTAGTTTAAGCAGACTCTCCCTAATGTGACCCCTCGGACAGCCTGCACCTACGTGAGCAGCCGACGCCCCTGGCCCCGGGGCACGGCCACACACTGAACGAGGGGGTGTGAAGTCCTCTGCAGGACTGTGCGTCGGCAAAGTGGAGGGCTGCACTCATGCTGTGAGGCTGCACAGAGCTGCGGTGGCCCTAAGCAAACTTTTTCTAAGTTTCAGTTTCTTCATATATAAAGCATGGGGTAGGAAGGAAAATAGAGCCTTACCCACGGGTAGACATTTGTCACTATCTGACACTATATTAAATATATTTCTTTACAGATTTAATGATCATTTCCTCCAGGAAAATATAAGTTCCATGAGAGCAGATACAATAACTGTTACATGGCGAATGCTCAATAAATATGGTTGATGGTCGGAAGAATGACTAAAGAGAATTGTTCTGTAGATTAATAAAATAATGGCCATAAAACACAACACTTATACAAGGAATCAAAAGCTGTTAATAGTTGGTAATATTATTAATGGTTGAAATATAAAGGAAATTCATACACTATATATACACACATATATATTTATTTATGACAGTTTAAATTTATGTGTATCCCCTTAAATAATGCCCAATGCTTACCTTCACATTCATGTATCAAGGTGATATGTAGTTTTTCAAACTGATAAGCAGTAAAAATATGTATATATAAAATAATGTACATTACATTACTACCCTGTTTATAATAGCAAAATCAAAAAAGGAAAAAAACAACCTTTGTTTTTTAATAAAGGTTAGGAAAGACAATCATGGCAAGTGGATATAACAGATTATTATGCATTTGTTCAACATAAACAATATTTACAGTATATGGAAAGATGTCTATAATATATTTATTAGAAACAGAAGCCAGGTACAACCAGAGGTAGAGTATCACACTGCCGAGGCAAAATTACACTTTCTCTTGTGTATCTCTCTACCAAAAACCCACAAAGGCCAAGCAACTGGTGCCCTGTTCACTGGGTGGTAGGGAACTGCCGGCCGTGAGCGGAAGACAGGTGCATGTGAGACAGACTGTAACGAGGCTGGCCCGACAGTATCACAGCACCTGGCTCCTCCCAGTACAAGACCTGAATGTGGAGGTCTGATGACAGCACTGCTCAAGGCACTCTGGCCCCAGCCCACGGACATCCTGATTCCCACTCCAAGTCAACCTGCTTATTGTCAAAGAGCCCGGTGTGGCCCTAACAGAAGCAGCAGCTGCTGGCTGTCCTCACAAGTCCTGCTGGAGAGGCAGGAGTGGCAGTGGGGCTGGAGGTGTCACTTGTCTCAGCAGTTCTCAGTAAATGCTAAATGAGTCTGTTTAGAAAAAAGCCACCCCCACATTAAAGAGGAAGCTTGTTTTACGAGAGACCTTCGCAGGAACAGGGCATCATCTACACGACGGACACAAGGGCATCCGAAACCCCGCAGTCACTTTCATATCATGACAAACGGATTCAGAAGCCTCAGAACCACACTGCCCAGAGGAGAGGGGCTGCAGTGTTTGAATCTTTCGTACCCACAGGGTGGAGACCCAATATGTTTGACAATAACATTCACTAACAGTAAACAAACAAACAGAACAGAGTCTTTCCTGAATGCATGTGTAAAACAACATGGAACTAAACAGCAACAACTTAACACATAAGAAGTGGTATTTTGTGACAGGACTCAGATGTACTTTAGTTAAGGTTGTATTTAAAATCAGAAACTTCTAGAGAGAGATTTAAAGAGATAGGTCTTAGAGATCTGACAGACCTGGTATGAATGATACAGCTGGTATAGGTCACAAAAAGAAAAGTAGGTGTGAGTGATGCTGCTGGTGTAGGTGTGAATTGAGGCTGGAGTAGGACACAGAGGGGAGAGTGTAGGTGGTGCTGTTCCAGCAGCCTGTTGTTCTTGGGCTCAGTCGACCTGTTAAATGAGGAGCCTGGACATCTTGTCTTTTAAAGTCTTTTATCAAGTTCGAAGTTGGTAGGGTCTGTAAGCCTCATCTGGTTGACTGCAACTGTACTGACAAAGAGAAAAATATAGGCCCAGGAGAACTGGCTAGGAAAGTCAGGAGAAAAAAAGAATGTCGTAGAGAACGGACTAAACATTCTTTATCCACTTTAAAATGACAAACAAACAATAAATAGCAAACTTGGAGCTAGGTGATAAAAATGCTAATGTCTGAAGAAACAGAGGGGAGCTTGTTAGAGAAATCACAGAGAAAACAGAAAGCAACAAGAGGGCTAAGCGTAGGCTGGGGCCCAGAGTGCTGGGACACTCCTCCAGGGACCTAGGGATAAGGGGGAGAGTGAGCAGTAGCAGCAGGAAAGAAAGTAGTAAGAAAGTAGTAGAAAGTGTGGACACCCCTACGTCCACAGAGGGTGGGTTCCACCTAAACAGTCGCTGACTACATATGGATTCCTGCAAAGGAAAGGTACTGCCAAAGCCATCATTTGGCATGTACAAAGCTGAGCATTACTGCCAGACTTGGTGTCAGTGAAATTCTAGCTGGGACAAGAGGTACAACTGGGAAGCCAGCTCCAGAGACTGTTCGGGTGTTCAATTAAGGAAGGTTGTAGAGGGCAATGTGGATGTCTAGAAGTTTTATTTATATAAGCTTTTCCCCAGCATAATCTAAACATACTACTGCAAAACAATGTACATTTAATAGTTTTCTCTTCCGATGAGCCTTTTTCCACATGTCTTTTTAAAATCTGGCATAGAACTGAACACAGTGAAGGAGTATAACACATGCAGAAGAAAAGTCTGTATTAAAAAGCCCTTAAAAATTCAAGGGTGATTGAACCTCAAATAATTTCCCAAGTACTCTGATTAGAGATATATGTGTGTATACATATATATCCAGTATTCAAACACACGTGTGTTTGTGTGTGTGCACCATACAGATCCAACGTGTGGGGACGGGGTGTTTTATGCTATCTTTCTGGATTATGTGTGTGAAATTCATAGCGAATTTTGTGGAAACATAAGGGAGTTTAGCAATATTAATGCTTATTATTTGATGCTTTGTACTAATTTACAGCAAGCCCTGATGTCACACACGTTCTAACCACTTGTGAGCCACCATCGCCTCCTGCCTGGACCCCCAACCCCGTCTCCCGCTCTCCCCTAATCCCCCGCCGCGCAGGAGCCGTAGCGGTCCTTTACAAACAAATGAAAATCTGAGTATGTCATGCCGCCTGTTCTACACCTTTGCCAACACCCCACTAGGACGATGGCTGAACTCTGGCGCACAGCCACTGCGACACATGCGCTAGCCCATGCCAGCGGGGCAGCCTCATCCGCATCACTACCCGGCGCTCCACTCCGGCCAAGGGCTTCCCTTCACTTCTGCGCAAGCCCTGCTTTCTCCTGTCCCAGTGCCTTCCTGTGAGCCGTCCGCTCTGCCAGAGACACACGTCCTCTGACCCCCTCCCGGGCTAACTCCTTTCCAGCCATGTTTAAATCTCACCTCCCTAGACACTTCCCCACCTTCTGATAAACTGGTTACCCTGTCATTTCTACTCCCTATAATTCCCTACTATTTTTTAATCTCTGCAAGGGCTGATTCTGTGTCTGTTCTTTAAATCATTGTATCTTCAACATTTAACGCAGTGCTTAGCACATACTAGGTACTCAAGAGGTAATTAAATTGGAAGAGCACTGAGAAGAAGGCAGTGAGTAGCTTCTTCTGGAAGGAAAACTTTCTAAAACCTTATAGCTTACGTTTTTAAGCTAATAGTATTTAAAAAATGTGAATGGCATCCGAATATAGGAAAGCCAAGCTACCTACAACTCACAATTATTACAGTGTTAGTCCATCACTCACCAGCAATGCTCTTCCGCTTTTGAGATACTGTATGAGGGGGAGCAGAAGGTAACTGGAATGAATTTGTAAGGTTTTCTGAGTCATGGTTTGCGGTGGTCCTTATAAATTCCATAGCAGCCTGGAGAACTCTGAACTGCAGTGCAACAGCCATATCTAAAAACAAAAGGAACTAGAATGTTTTCAAGCTATGTGGTTGTCAATTTTGATTGTTACATTCATACAATATCTAAACTGTCAATAATGGTTTATTAGCATAAATTAAAATTTTTATTTTATTTATTTATCCACACCTGAGGACATTTTCATTGCTTTTAGAGAGAGAGGAAGGGAGAGAGAGGAACATCGATGCGATAGAGAAGCATCGGTTGATTGCCTCCTGCATGCGCCTGGACTGGGGACCATATGCACCTAGACTGTGCTTGAACTGTGCCCAAGCTAGGGATCAAACCCACAACCTAGGCGTGTGGCCTGACTGGGAATCGGACCCTCAACCTTTTAGTTACAGGATGACGCTCCTACCAACTGAGCCACACTGGCCAGAGCTAAATACAAAATTTTAAATCAACATGGGTTCTTGATGGTAGTAAACATTTTTTAGCTGTCTTTTAAAGCAATTTTAAAGCAAATTTTCAAATGGTCACTGTAAAATACTAACCCACAAATTTATTTCATTTTATGTAATTGTTTTAAAGAACAAGCTTTTTAATATATAAGGCAGAGGTTTAACCAAAAATTTTCACACTTTTCTGTTTAATATTTGCTAGTAAATAAAACAAAAGGGCATTATTATTCAAAATAAGCCTTTTAATTCTACTTGGTAAGAAAAATCAGCAGCTCCTTTTAATATGTTGCCTGCTACTAATTAAATAGAGACATTGCTTTTTTAAAAAACCTTTTTTTACCACTTAAAAAGGCTTCTTTTTAAAGCTGACACATATCATCACAAATTAGTAGAAAGTTTCCAAGAAGAAAGAGATGAGGTTCAAAGAGCATTTTTTGGCTACTATACAATTCCCCCCGAACTTTATCAAAATTAAATCTTACTTTGTGTCCTCTCGTTTTTGCTATTTTGAAGATATCCAAGCAATACTATAAGGTCTTCAATAACTCTAAAATATTGTGAGCCCGAGGAACTGCAGGCATGGATTGTAACGGCTATGAAAAGTTGCTGTATATCACAAGCAAGCAGTCTGTATTCATTCAAAGGCATGCTAAAAAGGAAAAGAACTTAAGGTAAAGAGAGCTGGTTGAAATTCTTGTTCTGCCAGCAGTCATTAATGCATACATTCATTCAATATTTACTCATGCTTATTCTATGGCAGGTAATACGAATTGCATGCTGGAGAAGATGTAGGAAGGCACACTTTGATTCTTATCAAAAAGGTGATTGTCCTGCAGACAACCAGATAAGTAAAGAAAACTATAAACAGTAAATCACGGTAAATGTAACAACAGAGGTTAACACAAGCTATTATGGAAATATATAGGTAGGTTCCTACCCTACACTAAAGATGGAGATTTTGTAGGTATGAATATGAACACTCTGCAAAGATTTCTCAGAAAAGATAAATTTGAATGTATTAGTTAACCCCTCTGAATCTCACTTAAATTATAGTTATTTTAAGGATTTGAAGAGATAATAGATTTGAACACATATTACTCACTCATAAATACCTAATATAGATGAATTAGTTACTTCTGCCCCTCAATTTTTAACCTTGATAACCTACCTTAATGTGTGGTATTAAGCATAAATACTTATATCCATTTACTTTTCCAAATCAAACAAAAGTTAGATATTGGCTGCTGTTTTGTGCCAATTAATAAAGTAGCTTATTAAGGACATCCAGCAAGTATAACTTATGTTTTAAAAATAACAACAACAAACTACTCTTAGGAGAAGCTTACATGTACTCTTTCTGAATTCTACCAATTTCATGCTTTGTATTGTACTCACGATTAAGTGTTCTGAGGAACTATAATACTTTGTATTTCTCATATGCCTAGCACACAGATCCTAAACAGACCAGGTGCCCAATAAACACTGAATTGAGCTGAGTATGAGGAGTGTCTCTTGTACTCAGAGCCTCCTTGGTCTAAAGCAGTGATTTTCAAACTTTGCTGTCTCATGGCACACATAAACTAATTACTAAAATTCTACAGCACACCAAAAAATATGTTTTTTGATGATCCCAAAAAAATGGGTATAATTTTGATTCATTCATACTGGACGGCTATTGTTGTGTTGGCTGTTGTCATTTTTTAAATTATACTTTATTGTTTATACTATTACAGTTGTCCCAATCTCCCCCTTTGCACCCCTCCACCCAGCTCCCCCCACTCCCTCAGGGAATCCTCACTGTTGTCCATGTCCAAGGGTCATGCATACATGTTCTCTATTCCTTATGCTGTGCTTTTATATCCCCATGACTATTCTATAACTACCAATATGCACTTCTTAATCCCTTCACCTTTCTTGCCCATCTCCTTAACCCCCCTCTCATCTGGAAACCATCAAAACATTCTCTGTATCTATGATTCTGTTTCTGTTCTGTTAATTCAGAAATCAGAACAGAACAAGGTTTTATTTTATTTTTTTATCCATACCCGAGAATTTTAGATTCAATTGTTGATAGATATGTATTTATTGACATTCTATTGTTCATATTTTTGATTTTCTTCTTAAAGAATACCTTTTAACATTTCATATAATACTGGTTTGGCGGTGATGAACTTAATTAGCTTTTTCTTGTCTGAGAAACTTTTTATATGTCCTTCAATTCTATACGATAGCTTTGCTGGGTAGAGTAATCTTGGTTATAAGTCCTTACTTTTCACCACTTTGAATATTGCTTACCAATCTCATCTAGCCTGCAAAGCTTCTTTTGAGAAATCAGCTGACAGTCCTATGGGAACTCCCCTGTAGGTAACTAACTGCTTTTCTCTTGCTGCTTTTAAGATTCTCTCTCTGTGTTTAATCTTTGGCATTTCAATTATGACATGTCTTGGTTGTTATTTTTTAATTTGACAACCTAAGGAAAATGAAGTCAGGGACCCTGACTAAACAATCAGGTATTGCATGTTTTAAAAATGTCTCTGGCATACTGGTTGAAAATCTCTAGCCTAGAAACTCACCAGGATATTCTCTGCCTTCTCTGCACAAATGGAGATAGTGTTTAATGTTTGAACATGCAATAAGATGGTGCTTCTGGAGATTTATATTTTAATGCTATGCTAATAAAAATATTATACTGTACATCATATATGCAAACACCAAAGGAACAAAGCTCAAATAAAAATATAATCTCCTACATATTTCTTAAAGCCATTAATCAATTTGGTAGGCAGCCACTTGCCAATATACTTTGGCAATTGGAAATTAATTTATGGTAGAAGACATAAAAGGAGACTAGCATATGAGTTCAAAGCACAGGCTTTTATAGTGAGACACATACAGTCTCATGTTCTCTTCTTTTTACTAGCTATGTGATCTTCAAGTGACTATATACCTCTCTAATCCTTAATTTCCTATTGCTGATGGCATAATAATTTTTATAAGATACACCTGGAACCTTTGTAAACATATAGGGTGGGGCAAAGGTAGGTTTATAGTTGTGAGTATGCAAAACACAGAGTTTATTATGTTATTACACTATTTATTAATTATTGTGTTATTTTCCATATGAACAACTGTAAACCTACGTGTGTCCCACCCTGCATTTGAAGATAGTTAAATTTATTCAACATGTCTTCAGGTTCCAGATACCTAAAAGTAGGTCATATAAATACCTTCTTATATTTTTTTTTATTTAGGGGAAGGGAAGGAGAAAGATAAGAAGAGAAACATGGATGTAAGAGAGAAACATCGATTTGTTGCTTTTGCAGGTGCCGTGACCTAGGCATGCGTCATGACAGAATTGAAATCATGACCTTTAGGTTTGCAGGACAGTGACCAGCCTACTTAGACACACCAACCAGGGCTAAATATCTTCTTTTAACCTAACTGTGTTGAAAATGATGGAAAATATGTCCCCTCCAAATTTCATCTAACTTAATCAGTTTTGTAGGAAAGTTCCCTATCCAAAGTATTTATCAGATGTAGTTTTAAATAACGATTTAAAACTTACTTCTTTTCTAATCCATTCAGGGCTGCTACTGTATTACATAACACGTAGAGAAGACCATTATCCAGCAACATATCTGCTACCTTAGAACAAGAATTTAATATCTGGAGAAGAAACAGGAGAGCAGTGTGCAAGAGTGTGTTGTCATATAGAGAGGTCTCTATTAGTCCCAGAACAGGAATGACAGCCCACTTCTGAAAAAGTTCCATGTTCTTCACATCTTCCAGATCAAATCTATAATATATAATACACAGATAAGAGCACATTAGAAAGACTTAACAACAAAGTAAGAAAAAAATGATTGTAATATTGCCCATTTTAACTTGATTTTGAAGCTTTAAAAAATAAATTTGAGGAACAAGGATTGTTAACCTTTTTTAAGATCACAGACCCCCTCTGAAGATAAAAGGTATTGTTAAAAGTATGTCCCAAAGTACAAGCACAAACACACAAATGAAACATATAAACAATTTCATGGTTTTATACGACTCACTTTAATTCATCCATTAGCCACTTAGCTGTCCAAAGAACCCCTGCTTTGGGGGTCTATGTAACAAGTGCACTGGAAAATAATAATAATAATAATAATAAATTATTATTCTCCATAGAATTTGACAAACTGAGTTAGTAAAGAGAGGTCTAGAAAAGAGTCTTGAGCTCTTGTCCCAATACTATTGCCTGTCACGGAGGAAGACTCTTCAAGCATTTTGCACCTCATTTTCCTTACCTGTCAAATATGAGTGGTGATATCTGCCCTACTCTTTCCCAAAGATGTTGTGGGAATGAAATGAGATAATGCAGAATCACTTTGAAAGAGCCAAAAGCTGTATGCAAATGAAAAGTCCTGCTGTCATGACCACAACAGCTAAATTTCTCAAGGTCTAAATCGGTCTACTTAATAAAAAGAGACAATTAATAATAATGATAATAATGAGTCACTCATTTCTATCACAGACAGAAATAATAGTTTATCTTTCCTGTCAAACTTCTGGTCCAGGAGAAAACATTCTTTTATTTTTGTGCATGTTTGCTAACCCTTCCGCATTATGCCAGGGTCAGAGCTCAGGAACCAGTGCGCCAGGGTTTCCAAGTACGGAACAGCTCTTCCTCAGACAACCTGAGGGCTCCAAGAGGCAGGGGGCTTCTCCATGGATTACTCATATCATCTGCTGCTAGCACACGAGCCACCTCTGTTCAATAACCTTCTCCTGTGGATGCTGGATATCTAATCTTAACTCTCACTTTCATCTGATGCAACATTTATGTTTCTAGTCTCTAGCTAATGAATGAAATACAACGGGAAAAATATCAGAAAGAATATCATACGGAAAATCATAAGTTGATTCACCTGGAAAATGACTTTTAACAGATTTTTTCTAAAAGTGACCAAATAATTTTGTTAAGAGCCAGTTTCTTAAGTTTTACATTTAAGACAAAAGATCTTCAAGTTATGGTGGAGGAAAGAATGCACTTACTCTTCATCAAGGCCAATATGTCGACCAAAGAGCATTTCTATGAAGCACTCTAATAGCTCCCGAGTTCCCCGATGAAGATACAACTGATTGGCTAGCAAGGAAAAGCCACGATTCTTCAGAAATTTATCTTTTTGCTCCTTAGATGCTCTATTAAAATATGCATCTAATAGCTGTGGAAAAAAGTAAGACAATTTAGATAACATATTAAAATTTTATATAATGTATACAAATCAGTTAATATACTTGTTAGTTATTGTTTAATTTCATGTGCGTAGACATAGAAAGCTAAAAAAAAATGCCACCTCTATAGCAAAACAAAATAAACTTTCTCTCTGACTACTACAGAATGCTAAAAATGACTCTACCTTCTGAATATATTTGTCTGAATATATATATATATATCTGAATATATTTGAATATATATATCTGAATATATTTGTGATGGGAAAACTAGCTTTTTAAGCCAAACATGAACCCCTAGAGGACTAACAGCCTTAGTTAAGTATATGTAGAATATTTGTGCCTAATTCTGAAGGAAAAAAAATTAGTCAACACTGCTCTGTGCTATCTGCAAGTGCACATGCACATGCACATGTGCATGTGTGTGTGCCTAGACCTCTGTTTCTGGACTTCTTCACAGATTATTTATCATAAGCACAGGCCCACATTTCCACCCTTTCCTAGCATCTTAAACACCAATACATATAAAACCAAATTAATTCTTCTGCTTTCCGAACTCATGTCTTGCATGGTTCTGTTCTTAGACCACAGTAGCACCATCCTCCCAGGCTTCAGGGCTAACCTTTTCCTGCCCCGACCCTCTGCGTGTAATTATGAAAGCCCCGCTGCTCAGCTCCAGACAATGCTCTCCAATCTGCGCGTCCCCGGAAGCCCCACTTCCCCGGATGGGAAACTCGTCCTTGCTCCCCGGACTGCTGTCCGGCCTGCTCGGGGAGACCGCCTCCTGTCCTCCTGCGAGGGCTCCTTCACAGTGCTGACAGGCTCTTCCCAAAACACACATTTATTTACTGCCCCACTTAAAATGCTTTCTAATACCAAATACACATTTTGCACGAAACCAACTCTGGTTCCCCCATCAGAATTAATTGCTTTTCCTGTGCTCCCCCTCTTCCTTATTAATACTGCCACTGAAGCACTCATCACAGAAGTCCTTACATTTTACTTAGTTGATATGTGTCTCTCTTCCTCACTAGACTATAAACTCCTTGAATGTACGGGCTTATATTATTCCCCTTTATATCTCACATAGCAGCTAGCCCAGTGTTTTGCACATGAAATGGAAGCTCAATAAATACTGGGTTGAACTGCAAGTGATTAAACAATATCCTACATCTATGTATTTATCTATATTTACTTAATACCTACCATATACCAAACACAAGATGCCTACCCTCATGGGGTTTCTGTTTCAGTGTGGGAGATGAAAAAAACAAGCTCACAAATAAACAAAAAAGGTAATTACAAGGCATAACTAGGATCCATGCTAGAGTAAGCAAGCATAGGGCGTGAGGGCAGCTATTTCAGAAGGTGATCAGGAAAGGCCCCTGAGCTGAAACCTGAAGTGAATACCTATACTCTGAGACTACACTGCAGGAGAGATTCTAATGAGCTCTGTTTTCCTCATAATTGGTAGACTTAAAACATATATATAATTACGTGAATCAATAAATGAAGAAGGGCTTAAAATTAGATGATAATACATAGGAAAATATGGATAAGAAGTCACAAATGCAACAGTTGATTATTCCCAAGTATAAAATAAATCTTTAGGTTTACTTTAACATATATAATTTCAAAGCATAAGTCACGCATTTATTTATTTTCCGAATTGAAACCACATCCAGTCCTTGCCCTTACTTTAATAACTCCTTGCTGTATAGCAGGTGACGGGTGGTTCACGAGGACCAACAGCACGTCTGCTTGAATCAGCTTGCCCATCACATCTTCAAGCATAACATCAGGCAGCACGAGGAGAATGCCACTTAAGAGCTCATACAGTCCACAGCATATGGGAACCAAGCAATCTTCATTTACACTACAACAGACCAAAAGAGTCTTACTAACACAGTATCCGGGGGACGCGGACACGACAATTCCCTTATGACCGGGCTGCATTCTGAGAGACGCTTCATTAGGCGATCTCATCTGTGAGCAACAGCAGGGCACGCTCACCCACTGGACGGCGCAGCCCGCTGCCCACCCCAGTTAGAGGGCACACCACAGTTGTGTGTGTGGTTCTTTGTTGATGGAACCATCATTATGCAGCACATGACTGTTGTCATAATTTTAACATGTGAAACAAAAGTTCATTATGTTAAATTAAAAAATGTTTCCAAATTTAACTGTGATTCACAAATTTGCTATCATTTTGTTGTCACCAGTATCTCTCAGGCAGATAATCTCCTGAACGCTATTCTACTCTATACCTATGAAGTCCAATACTGTAGTCACTAGCCACTGGTGCTATTTAAACTATTTAAAATTAAATTTAAAATATTCAGCTCCTTGCCCTGGCCGGGTGGCTCAGTTCATTGGAGCATTGTCCTGTACACAAAAAGTTGTGGGTTTGATCCCTGGTCAGGGCACATACCTAGGTTGTGGGTTTGATCCCTGGTCAGTGCAGTGGTGTACGGGAGGCAGCTGAGCCATGTTTCTCTCTTACATCCTTGCCCTGTCTCTAAAATTAATAGACATTTCCTTGGGAGAGGATTAAAGAAAATTCTGCTCTTCCTTTGCACTAGCCACACTTCAAGTGCTCAACAGGCACACGTGGCCAGTGTCTACTATGTTGGGCAGGACACGTAAGACATTTCTGTCCTCGCAGTTTCTTGGACTGTGCTACTTGAGAGACTTCTGGAAGAAAACTAACTCTTATAATTTCCATGACCTGAAGAGTTTTTCTCTAATAACCATAAGAATTAAATAAAACACAAGACTGTTTTCTTGAGAACTATTTATGGTTTAAGCTTTTTGTTAAATGTGTAATTCAATATTACCCAGCATTAAAATAAGGAGGAAGGTATCTTTCTGTTTGTCATTAAAATGTTTTTTGAGGGGAGACCCCAAAACAGAATTTTTAATAAAAAACTGTGTATTTATTCTTACATGTTTAAACTGCAGTCACCTTCAAAGTACCCTCCATTTGATGTAATACACCTATTGAGACTTTTTTCCACTGTTCAATACAGTTTTTGAACTTGTCAATTTTGATGCCCTTTAGTGTTTCTGCCATTTTTTCCACATCAGCAAAATGTTTCCCTTTGAGGACTTTTTTCATTCAGGGAAACAAACAAAATGTCACTTGGGGGAAGATTAGGTGAACAGGGAGGGAGGGTGGAGTATGGGGGTCATGCTGCTTTGGTCAGAAACTGCTAAACACTCAGTAAGACTTAGGCAGATGCACTTGTAAATCACCCATCATGAAATGGGCAAACGCACTGAAAGAGTCTTCAAAAAAATAATTTCCTGAAGCCAAACTCAGCCTCTCACAACAATGCCAGCTGGTCCACTGGTACTGATGGGTTCCTAGAACACTCACCTAGAGGGGGAGGTCTGTACTACAGGGGCCCGCACTCCAGAAGATAATTCCGGTTTTTTGAGTCCCTCCTCGTATTGTAAGAAGTGACAAAATGAAGACATTTCTACAAGTATAGAATTCTTAAAAGAATAGTAAAAAATGTAGAAGGGGGGGGTCAACGTGCAAAAACATGTGAGTACCTGAGAGCATTTGCAGTTCGATTGCGGTTTGGCTCATAACCAGGAGAAAAGGCTAAGTTTTCCCAGTCCTCAGTGCTCCTGTCAACAAGACTTGGCCAGCGGCTGACGGCTGTGGACCCGTTCTGTGAAGGAAAAGCCAGCCCCAGGCTCGCAGTGGTGCTGTGGCTTTGCTGGAATGAGGCCAGCCCCCTCAGGTAATCAGGGCGGCGTGGGCAGGACTCATCCCCAGGGCTGTCACCATCTGTTCTGGGTTCCGCTTCCAACTCTTTGTGATCTCCTTTGGCTGGAAACTCCGATGTTCCTTTGGGGCCACCAGTGACAGAGGCTTGTCCTGAAGGGACAGCTTCCACCTCACACACAGCTTTTGCAGACTCACAGCTACTGAGGAATGTGTCCTCTTCGCCTCTTTTCAGTGTCTCTGAACTCCCCGGAGGACGCCCTTTCACGGGCCGAGCAGCAACGTGATCGCTTGCAGCACTCTGTAACCTGTCGATGCCGCCGTCTGAGCTTGCTGTCAGTTTCTGTGGCCGCATTAGAGGAGAGGCAGGAAGTGCTGGCAGGCTTCTAGAGCGCCGCAGGCTGGCAGCCTTCTGCAGTGGAATAATTTGGGGGGAACTGCTTCCTGGTAAGAGTAGACAGAAAAATACTGCCTGTTAAGTGGGAGCACTTCCTTTCTACACTACCAGTCACAACCAGAGCAATAACCTGTTCATCCGGCACCGTTAAAGAATCCATACAATCAATATTCCTAGTAACTAATGTTTGAAATTCTCAAGTGCCAGAATTATTTTTCTTTTAACTACTTTTTATTAAAATCTTCCAAAACTCTGTCTTTTCCTAGCTACTTAACAAAATACAGTATTGATAGAATGACTCAAAATCATGAGGACTGATGATTCTACTGTAGTGGAATCAAGTGAATTAAGTAAAACTTAATTCCCCTGCAGTTACTAGGATGTAGTTTGACATAATGGAAAGAATGGGCTTTGCAGCTATAAGTGGAGTCAGGTGATCGTTCCGTTAGTCCGGTGTTTTTGGGCAAACCACTTAATTCCATGAGTACTGGTTTCTACAAATGTAAAGTAAGCATCTGGAAGTATCTATCTTGAGGCTGCTGTAAGGCTTAAGTGAGGTATTTGCGATGTGCCAAGCACAGTGCCTGGCACAGAACAGGTGCCCGGTAAATGGCAGTAATCATTGTCTCGTTGTCATTATTATTAGACTGAGTGAACCTAGGCCGTTCTCTCTCTCCATTTCTGTAGTCACTTCTTGCTGCTATTAGTGAGAAGCAATCATTTTTTTCCCTTCTTGCTATAGCGCTCCTATTAGCTTCTAATATTCTATGAAGGAGACCAGAAAAAATCCCTCATTCTAAGAGCAGGAGATATAAGTGCATGCTATGGTGTGGTCTGCAGACCAGCGCCCCCTGCATGACTGTTAGGGACGCACATGCGCAGGTTCCACCCCAGCTCTATGCAGGCCCAGGAATCTGTTTTATTTAACAAGCTCCCCGGCTGATTTTTCACAGGCTAAAACCGGCGAAGCCTTCATATAGAATAAATGGGCACTGAATGAACTGCTTTAGGGCACAGACTTTGTGCTAATAAAATAGCTCCACAGCTCAGATGTTTTTCCTAGTTATTTCTGGATTGTGGCTGGAGGGCTAAGCCTGCTAAAAGATTCTGTTCAAAGAGCTGGGGAAAATGACTGTATTTGAAAATGTTCCAGAATGATGTACAATGACTTTTAAAATAGACATTTGCTATAAAATAAAATTAATTAAAACACAGCCTTAAAATAGTATAATGCAAGGCTATAAAATGTACTAGAGAATAACTGAAACACTTTAGGAGAGAAACTGGAGATTCATGCCCATGTATCTCAACCTCAGCTGCAGTGTTTAATAATTTGTACTGCAGCCCGTGACAAGACCAGATGGGGCTGACGATCAAAGCAACGCCCAGCAGTCAGCAAAGGAAGATGCACAGCCAGTTCACAGCCAGGACACACGCACCTGTTTTTTCTTTATAATGGTAGAGATGAGGAAGTCTGTGAGGAGTAAATCAGGAAGGTAGCAAAGCATTGTCAGCTTAAAGACTTGAACATACTTGCTATGAAAACAGGAGAGGGAATTAATTCTGAAAACTAGGAAAGTCAAGGGCAGCCAGCATGAAAGGCTGGCCGCGGGTGGAGACCCTCGTCACGGCGGGAACTCCGCCATGACTTCCTCCAGCAGCTCTCGGCAGTGAGTATGGAGAGATGGAGGCAAGGGTGCTGTTTTTAGGCCAAGAAGGCCAAGAAGGCAGAGAGGACAAGAAAACTGAAGACAGTGTTCGGAAAACTACTGGTTCAAGGGATCTAGGCTGGATAAGGAAAACAGGCAGAGGGAAACCTGGGAGGGTAACAAGAATCCAGAAGGCAGGCGCCTGATATTAGGGAGGTGGGAAGCGCTCCTGCTGAGACGAAGTGCAGGACAGACGTACCCATACTGGCAGACAAAATAGAGGGACAGGTCCCCAGGGTCAATGACTATGAGGCTGGACTATTGGATGGCCATTCTCACGGCAAGTGAACTTGTCTAGAATGATATGTTTAGGTAGGAGGAAAGGGTGAGCCAAACAAAGCTTCCGAAGACAGTAGGAAAATACATCAGAAGCTTAAAGACAAATGACTGTAAGAGGAGACAGAGAGGTGCAGAGTAAGACAGCACGAGCCCATTATTTCCTAAGTTCTCCTGAGCATCTCCTGTTACACCAAGTGAGGGTCATTGACACTAGAAAGTGAAATGGATTCTATAATTTTTGAGTGTAGCCTTTCATTTATTTAATCTGAATATCAGTTTGTACTGTAGTGCTGAAACATGGACACTTTATATATCTGCTACTACTCAGAACTAAATTGGGGAGGTTTATACTTTCATTCTCATTATTTTTACCTTCAGGTGCTGAGGCAGTAAAAGCTGACGGGCTTATGACCGTCAGCCCGGGGCCGGGGACAGCCTTCCCTCCGCTGCTAGAATGCCTCAGGGACACGATCGACTCCACTTTCTCCTGGAAGATCTTGCCATCTAGAATCAAAAAAAATTGTGAGGTAGTAAAATTTTTAAAAAGGATAAAACAAAACTTCAACTGTAAAAGCAAATCATTAAATACAAATTTTTACAAAATTACAAAAGATGTTCAAAATGAAAAATATGGCATACTTTATATTAATGTATGTTTGATCTGTGAGTACCGGACAGTTTCTTACTATAGACATTTTTGTGGACTACTACTATTTTCCTTGAATTCCTGCTGTTGTTTCTACACTTGAACAGCCAGCTGTCCATTTTTATGTTAATCTGATCTCTCTGAGGAGACTGTTCACCTTCTCATTCACTGAGGAAAGGGCTGTGTATTATATTTTTATATATCTCCTACAAGGTCCAAAATGACTCCAGAATTCATAAATACAGCTTCATCTTCCTTCCTGAGCCTCATACTTGTAAATTCAACGGCTTGATTTCTTAAACGCAACATAAATGCAACAAATCTAAACCTGAATCATCGTTCTGCCCTAAATTCACTCCTGTTCTGTTCTCTGGTTTGGTAGAAGGGCCCGTTTCCTACGCAGAAACCTGGGGCCACCTTTGAACACTGCCTTTCCTTTACCGACATCAAGTCAGTCTCCAGGTTCTGTGGCTTTCTTTCCTGCTTCCTGGACTCTTCCGAGCCCTTGCACGGTCCTAGAACATAGGCTCTACTCCCTTCTGACCTGGATTACTGTCACAGACTTCTAAATGGTTCTCATGACGGACACATGGCCACCTCCAATCCTCCCTGCCACAGTGTTCTGTCTAGCAAATGCCACTCCCTGCCGAAAACCTCCCAGTGGCTCTCTGTGGCCTGCTTACCACTCCGCACTTGCATGCTGTCTGCAAGAATCTCTGTGAGCTGTCCCCAGACCCCTTTCCAGCAGTTTTTTTTATATTACACCTTCACAACAACTACTTCTCACAGTTCCTTCTCGGGCTGTTTGCTGTGCCTGGGGAGGCCCTCCCTTCGCCTTGAAGCAGTCAGTGCCTCCTCAGGAAACAGCCCTCACCACCCTTTATGTTACCAGAAAACCAAAGGTTTCCACCACCCTGCTTTCCACAATGTGATGGGTCTGTTCATGTCTCCCTCCCCTCTTCTAGGCTGTGAGGTCCTTAAGAGAGGGAACCATATTTTACTCATTTTTGCAATTACTCTGTACTCAGAATCTTGATGGTACTTTAATCACTAAATGAATGCTGAACCTAACACAAAATCATGCTGTCTAATTTCATGTGGATTTTTACTGCTGCTGAATTAATTTATTCCATTTCTTTAAACGGCTGTTTCACAACCATTTTTCCTCTCTACGTTTACTATCTAGCTTTCTCATAGGTACAGTCTTGCTTGCTTTCTTACCATGTTACCTTTTCCTAGTTCTTTTAAAAGTCTCATTAGTCCATCTTTCTTTTGCACTGATGACTCTTTCTCATCCTGCCCTCTCAATAGTGTTATCACCAATAGTTCTATCCTTGGCTTCCTTTTCCTTCTCTCTCTCTACTTTTCTTCAGTGGTCTCATCTGTGCCTAGAGCTTTCATTCACTTCTGTGTGGGTAGTGCCTCTCTCCTGGTGCCTCCTGTCTCCTCCTGGGCTTTTGGCTTCCCTGAAGGCAGAGCCACGCCTGGGCCACTTCCCCGCCCTCTGCCCTGGCCCAGCCACAGCCTTAGGGCACTCTGTAGCACACACAGGCCATTCGATGACCTTCAAACAAATGCGGATGAAGTGGAAAGGAAAAACAAAAATGGAGATAGCCAAGATCTGACAAAAATGATTATACTTACCTATATGCAAAGAAAAGTAGAAGTTTGTTGGGTTGTGACAAACATAAGTATTAGTAGGAGGGTGAACTGCCAAAAGGAAATTGAAGATAATTGTCAATAATTCCAAGTCTGGAGGAGATCCAAGGACTTCTGCTATAATTTTCACAAATGATCTACAAACCTCTAGGGGTATGGATGTAAGCTGCCCCTCTTTGTGTTCCTGAAAAAATAAAAATCAAACTCTCTTTAGATTTAACGAGAACTGTCAACCAACATTTTTCATTTATGAAAGATATTCCTTTTAAGAAAGAAATAGTAACTTGAACTTCAAGCAATTCTGTTATTAAAAACTCATTAAAACCCATGGCAATTTAATTCTAGCCCATTCATCTTAATTGACTGAGGCAAAGCCGTAGCGCAGCACCCCCAAGCAGGGACTCAAACTGCCTAGGTTTACACCTGGCCCCTTCGCTCACCAGCTGTGTGACCTCGGGCAGGGTTCCTAACTCCACACCTCACAGTCTAATATGGGGATAATACCCATATTACTTCAGAGGGTTGTATTAAGAATAAATGACAGTGCCCCACAAGTAGGCGTTACTACTATTGGCACTATGATCACTGCAATCACTACCACTTCTGCTCCTATGGGACTGGAGAAATTTCTGATAGACAAAACCAATGATATTAACACGGTGTGCCCCAGTTTACAAAGCACTTTTTACAGCAGCTCTGAGAGGCTTTATCCCTCATTTCTAGAACACAAAGGCTCAAAGTGGTTATGTATATGACAACTTGAACCACACAGAAAACACGCAAGTAGTGTGGCACTTAGACCTCTGCCATCCTTCCATGGTGTCATCTGCTGCCTGGAATAATGAGACCCGGCAGACTGCTGGGGAATTACTGAGAGTAGAGATGGCTATAAAGAAACTGTATCCTCCATGGGTAGCAGCAGCCTCTAGATGAAGGCGAAGGGAGCTAAACATCCTCATCCTCCCTCTCCCATGCCCGAACATCTATCTCAGCATCCACTCTTCTTCTCTTGCTCTGCGTATTGCTCAATCAGCAAACGGGACATCTAGATGGTAACTTGGACACAGTTTAGTCTGACTGCCTCAGATGCAAGAAGAGAACGCTGAGTCTGCAGAAGAAGCACAAAACCCCTTGGCCACGTCAAGATGAGAACACAGGTCTCCAGGTCCCCCGACTTCCAGCCTGGTGCTATTTCTGTTATGACCAGCTGCTCTTTTTCTAAAATGAACTGTCCCAAATCTCCTGGTTGCCACCTCAGTCATTCATTCCTAAGCCCATCCCAGCCCCTGTTTCTGCAATCTTGCCCTCTCCACGGACTCCTTACAAATGTCACTGGTGTCCTATTTCATTAAAAGAGAAAAATCCCTGAACTTGACCTGCTGGAACCCTTTCTTTAACATTCGGTTTCTTTTTTCTTTTGCTGCTGGACTTTTCATTTATTATTTATTCTCACTGCTTCCAATGATTCTACTGCACATACTGCCTAAAGTCCCCAACATTTGGCTTTTCTTCGTCTTCTGAAATCCTGCCAGCCATTCAGAACAGCCAAGCCAACGGCCCTTCACATCTGCATGCTCTCCGAGCTTCTGCACCATTTGGCGCAGAGACCGCCTCTTTCTGGACGGCTCTCTCTTCGACGACTTTCTGCGTCTCTGTCTGTATCTCCTTTGTCCTCCACACGCTGAGATGGGTGCTTCCTGAGGTGCATGCTCCTCTCGATACACTTATTTATCTCTACTGCCCATCTATCCCAGGGCTTCGCCCTTCACCAGTGCAGACCAATCCCAACCTCGCTCTGTAATTGGCTCCCACCTCCAATCCTGCCCATCTCAGTGCCTAGCGGTCACTGCCACTGAACATCCACTGTAATTTCAAATGCAGAGGGTATGAACAACAAAATGGCATGTTTCGTTCTTTCCTGGACAGTGCTGCCATTCCTCTAGTCCCCCAGGGGGAAATTTTACATGGTATATGTGATTCTCCTGCAGCTTATACTTAAACAGAGTTGAGCTCCTTCATATTTGTGCCAATTCTTATCACCCAAATTCAGGTCTCCATATTACACACATGACCTAGTGGAACTGCCTCACATCGAATATGTCACCAACGATAATCTCCCTTAAATACTCTAAGATACCTTAAAGGCAACAACTGAGTTCATTTCTTTAAGTAATTCACACAACACATAACATAACTCTATTGTTAATAAATGTCAATTTAATAAACAGGCTCTTTGAATGAAGAAGGATAAAGAAATACACTTTTTCAGGAAAAGAGTAGTACCTAGATTTTTCTAGCATTTTAGAAATAATATGAAAGTGAGAATATATATTGAAATATCCAAATTTATGTGTTACTTTTCTGACATGGTAAGACTGAATAAGAACTTCACAATGTCAGATTAATTCACTGAAAATTGACCAACAAGTTTCTAAATGGATATACAAAGAAAGTGATCTAGAAGACCACTGACATGTAAGTGATACATAAAATACTCAGTAAGCAAGAAGTCTGTGAGCATTTTATGATATTCCCGAAGAGAGGAGTCTAATTTACCACAGTGGCCAAGAAAGACTAAATAGTGTTGTTGTTTTTTTTTTAGCAGTCATTCATTCAACAAATACGGGGTGTGGCAAAAATAGGTTTGTAGGTATTCCTATGGAAAATAATGACCTACTTTTATAGGCACCTCAGTAAACCTACTTTTGCCCCACCCTGTATATTGGTGTCTGTATGTACCAGGCACTAGAGTTACAGTGTGATGAGCAAAAATGTTATCGCTGCCTTCAGGAGGTTTATAGAGAGAAATAAACTGATGTCATAATCAACATAAAACTGACAAATCGTGTATCTTCAGAATAGAGAAAGGGGAAAGGGTTAATTGTACTTGTTATTTCAGGAATGTAGAACAAGGTTTGGTTGACAATAATCGCGTCTCAGATAAACCTCATCAGCTACGATCCTGCCACTGTGCAAAACTTGGAACACGTTAAACTTTCACTACTGTTGATGTTCAAGAGACTACAACATTATTATTACATCCCAATATAAAGAAACATCTCAGAAATTCAGTAGTTGTTATTCTTTTGTAATTGAGTTAGGAACAATGACAGTGTGAAGATCAAACTGCAAGAGGCAGGGGTTGAGAAATTCTCATACTATCTGTCGGAAGAAGGGATCCGGGAGAATAGGGACGAGGGAAAAGAAGAAAATTCCATTGAGAGTCCCACAAAAATTTGAGTTCATAGTACTGAGGTATTAAACAGAGGTAATGGCAAAAAAAAGTCTCCAAAAGTAAAGCTATATGAAAAGTACCTGTAAAACCTGACAAGTCAGGAGAAAGTGATGAACAACTCGTGCTTTCAATAACTGCTTAACGTTGAACATCTGCTGTTGGTGATCTGCTCGGATGAGCACTTCCAGAGCCGCTAGCAGAGTTTCCCAAACACCTGGCTGAGGAAGCAAGCACACACCCGTTAGTACACAGTGACTGAAGAACACGCCACATGCTCTTCAGAGGACACACAATAGATCAGGTTACCAGTGTGTATAAATTAGGGGTCACAGATTAAAGCTGTACAGAAAGCAAATCTTTATTCCTGGGCTACATTTTTTTTCTTTGTCAAAATGTTGTTTTTAAACATGTATATTACATGAAACATGGCATTAGGTGCTTTAATACATTAACTTTCCTGTGGTATAAAATGGTGGATAGTATTTTCAAAAAGTGAATTATCTTGAAATGTATTCAGTATAGAGAAACAGACCTTTTCAATATAATTGTTGACAATTTATTTTCAAAAAGCATTATTAAAAATATATAAACTTAAATGTTAATTTGTGTATATAGCATTTAATCAAACAATTTTAAAACTTGTACTAAATTGGAAAAAACCACTGACAATGTGAAAATTCTGCATTTTTTGGATTAATTTACTTCTAATCCCAAATAATAGAATTCTCTGCTTCCATTACCTGATGGTAATGGACAATCAAAGGCCAAGGAACTGACAGCTTTATCACACAATTCTACTGTTCTACCCACGGCCGCTCTCTTCATGAGATGGACCAAGATGCCCTAAAAAAATGGCATAGAAAACTGGAACACAAGGCAGTCCAAGTAAGAAAACTTGATTCAGGTTTGAAAACAACACCAAATGGAATAGTGCTAAAATAAACAGACACCCACAACAAAAAAAACAAAAACAAATCCAATTAAAATTAGAAAAGAAACCTATTTAAGACCCACACAAGTATTTATATCACTTTTAAATTCAATAAAAATATTTTGTTTTTTAATCAAACCACCCCAAATTAGCATCCTCCTTTGAAATACTAAAACAACTGTCCAACATTTATTAGGTTAGATCTTCTAATCTACGATTGAGCTCATTCCTCACTGTATGTTTATGTTTATGCTGCCTTTGATCCAGTTTGTTTACTATATGCTGTAATTATATTCATTTGCTTTCTCTTCTCGCAACATTACACTTTCATATCTACATATATATGGCTTTTTATTATGAAAGTTTTTATTCAGATGAGAAATCACAACAAATTACAAAGTTTTAAAAAGTCACCAATAAGATCCAGAAAAAGCAACAGTGTAGCTAGCTGCTTGACATGCCTCTCTAATCCTTTTCCCTAAGTCTTATGGCTGCATATTCTTTGACTTTTCATATGACAGCACTTTTGCAATAGAATTTTCTATAGAAACAATAGGAAAATAATTCTTTCCTCTAACACATTTGATCAAAATTTATTTTTATTAATGATAGATTAGCAAACTTCCTTTCAGCTTCACAACTCACTGATAATGAGTAAATTTTTTTGACTATTGCTAAATTTGAAAATAACCACTTCTTTTAAAATTCTAAAGGTATACACTTTAAACTGGTCTTTAATTATGTTTGATGATAATGTTTTTATAGTCTAAATCACTCCAGACAATCTCCGTTGTACACTAGCACTAAGAAGTCTGCATGAGCCTATATACTCTGACGAGTGTTTAGAACCTGGGCAGAAAGGAAACAGCTCTGTATTCATTCCCTGGCTGGGTCCCCGTGAAGACCAGCCCATCCATCACGTTGTTGAGATGCTGTGCCCAGAGCTGATCAAACCATGCTCCTCAGCTTATGTGTACGATGAGGCCAAGACTTCACGGCCTTGCCCTGCATACCCTGGCACAGCTCTGTGCCCCTGGGGAAACCTGGCTCCACCTCTCAAACATGCGTCCATTTCCCTCTCCTTGGTCTGATTCCCCAGACTCTTAGCAGGATCCCCTTTCAGAGTTTATGGTAAATGCAAGTCTCCAACTGACTCAAATGTGCCCCATGTTCTCCAGCCTGAGTTCTGATTCTGATCCAGCATTACTCAAGGCTGCTCAAAAACTTGCATGGGAAATAACCTTCACATTTCCATTTACAATGAGTATTGCATTGAAGCAGTAATTTGTTCTGTTCTCCAGAAGAAGGATTAGATGAATATTTAGAAGTACATGGCTCTCTGTGCAGTAAAGGAGACAATTGACAGAATAGGAACAAATATTTGCAAACCATACATCAGATAAGGGATTAATATCCAAAATATATTAAAACTCCTAAAACCCAATAACCAAAAAATCAAATAAACCAATTAAAAAATGGCCAGAGAACCTAAATGGACATCTTTACAAAGATACACAAATGGCTAAGAGGTACATGAAAAGACACTAACCATCACTAATCATCAGGGGAATGAAAATCAAAACCACAATAAGATGTCACCTCACACCCAAGAGAATGGCCACTATCAAAAAAAAAAGAAAACCAAAACACAAAATAACAATTGTTAGTGAGGATGCAGATAAATTCGAAGCCTTGCACATTGTTAGTGGGATGGTAAAATGGTGCAGCTTTTACAGCAAGTTGTATGGAGATTCCTCAAAAAATTAAAAATAGAACCACTATATGATTCAGCAACCTTACTTCTGGGTTTGCACATTCAAAAGAACTGAAAACAAGATCTTGAAGGGACATTTACACTCCCATGTTTATTGCAACATTATTCACAATAGCCAAGATAGGGAAGTAACCCATATGTCAATCAACAGGTGAATGGATAAAGAAAATTTGGCATATACATACAATGGAACACTTTTCAGTCTTAAAAATTTTGTCATATGCTAAAACATGCATAAACTTTGAAGACATAATGCTAAGTGAGACAAACCAGTCACAGGTACTGAATGATTCCACTTAAATGAAGTATCTAAAGTAATCAAACTCATAGAAACAGAAAGTAGAATGTTGGTTGCCAGGGACTGGGGGGAGGGAGAAATGAGGAGCTATTGCTCAGTGGGTAGTTTCAGTCAAGCAGCATGAAAAGGTTCTAGAGATGCACTGCACAACACATGTATATAGTTAACACTGTACTGTACACTTAAAAAGTGTTAAGAGAATAAACTTATGTCATGTGTTTTTTTACCATAAAAAAAAATACGTGCCTCTGCTCTATTCCATATCTTCCAGTCAAGCAATAGCTCCTCAAGCAGTTTAACATCCTGGATTATAGCTTTGGACTCCACATCTAATTTAAACTCTCCATTCTCATTGATATGAATAATATCTTCACTACAGCAACCTTCGAGAAGGGTCTATGGAAAATTAACATCAACACAAGCCTCATTAGTAATCGATTAATTCCAAAGTTCAGCAGAAACATTAAGCTTTCAATCTTAGCAATCTTAACATTAAATCCAAAGGAAAACTGGTGAATAATTTAAAAATTTCACAAAGTATCTTTAATTTGTTTTGCAAAACAATTCAAATAATTAGAAAAAACAAACTTCTAAATATTTGTACATGATTACTCAGTTCCAAACATGAGGTAAAATAAGCCACATTCTGTTTTTATTTTTTAAATTCAATAAATCTGTTAGGCTATAGAACCTTTCCCAAAAAGTGGCAAGGATTCATGCCGCAAGTGTTTTGATCTCACCAGTGTGAAGACTGGGGTCGGGGCACAGGCTGAGGTGATGTCTTTTGCTTCAGCACTGGACCCTCCTAGAGAAATACTCTCGCAACGTTACTAACTGCTTTTGGCTAGAAAGGGTTTTAGATATATGACGACAACTAGATTGTAATAAGAGCTAAGATGGCTTTCAGACACTGACTGTACAGCAGCACGACCTCATGGAAATGCTCAGCACCAGGCGTCTGCAGACTGGGAAGCAGAAGCAACAACAGCGTCTCTGAGGGTCTCCATTCCTCCATCCAGAGGATGGGGGTCGGCAGAGGACAGGTCTCTGGGCTCATGCAGACCTAAAATTCTACAACTTTATTTTTTCCTCTTACTCTTCTTATTTAGTTTTAAATAAAATAAAAACGTAAGTATTTAAATGATTTAAAAAAACCAGAAGAGTCCCTCAGTTTGATTAAATTTATACTATTGTGATTGCTTCATTCTTCAGGAATAGCGGAAACACAGGCTCTGTTGTTACTGGAGAGACAAAAAATGGCACATGAAATTGGGAGAATAAACTTTATGAGGACATACCTTCAAAATGTGAAAGCCAACAGCGCATTTTTGTTTGATTAACACCTGATGAATCATGGAAAGGCCATCACAGTTTTCTAGTTCCTGTATTCTCTGTTGGTTGTATTTAATTAATGAGAGTACCACTCTCAGGGCCAATGCTTGAGTTTCTTCACAGCTACTGAGTTCCACAACCTAAAAAAATGGGTATTATTTTTTCTGGTTTGTTGAGAGTAAACATTTAACATGCGATTATCTACCTTTATTAATCAATCCCTCAGTTTCATTTGAAAGTTTATTTTTTATTGTTCACACTTTGTAATTACTTAAGAATTATAAACAACATGGAGACAAACTCCATGCTTTTTAGTCTCTAAAATATACTATAAATGAACTGAATAATATTAACAACATTAGAAATCATGTATCATTTTATTAATGATCTGAAATGGCAGCGAAATGCCTGAAATTTCTGTTGATGAGTCAATCGGCAGACAGGCTCTGGCTCCTGCTGTGAGAGACAAAAAGGAGTAAAAGGCATGGTGCCTGCCCTCCATGGGCACATGGTCCAGTCAAGTGAGATGAGTTCACAAAAGCTGTGAATTATGCCTTGTCTGTCAATTCAGCCAACAAGTTCTCACAACTACTACAGGAGAGAAACACACCTTCCTTCCATAAAAGGCAAAGAAGAATGGGACACTGTGAATGCCTCCAGGGCACGAAACTGCTGAGCCTGCTCCATCTGGGCCAGGGAAGCGCAAACTAAGGGAAGATGGCTGGAAAGAGCCACGTCCTGGGTGGATGGGTAGCCAGGGCCAGAGGCCAGTCGGGGGAAGGAAGGGTTAAGGTCTAAAACTGGAAGCTCACAGTTCATCGGTTTGTTGAGGAAGCAGCAGGTCTGATCTGGCTGGATGGTGGACATTAGGCTCAAAAGCTGGGCTATGCAGTAAAAATTTTACAGAGGCTGACTTTCATTTTTGTAGGGGAGGGGGAAAGATACTGAACAGGGTTTCTAAGTTTTAAATGTGAAAACATACTTTAAAAATCTTAAATATATGTGAAATAAAAATTAACCATTTTCTCTAAGAATGTAGTCACCAAGTAGCAATGATCATAACAAATTTATATTCAATAACTTGATGAAGAGGAAAAACTAAAGGTATATACATTTTGAAATTATACAAGTTATCAAAGTAGACTGCAAAATGATGAGTAGTTATATAAAGAGCTTTACTTTTAAAACACTAGGGGGAATCTTCAACTAGATATTCAATGCAAAAAAAAGTCTGAAAAAGGCAGAGGAGGATAAAAAAAGGCAGCCCAGGGTATGGTGAGCCAAATGCTAACAAAATGTTTACCAGAACAGTAATAACAACAACAAACACTGATATGTCTCTTATTGCAAAATTAATAAAAAATGGTTCCATTAAAGGAAGAAAGCCAGGTAGGAAGACTGGAAATTTGATAATGTTGCAGAAGTCATAATGAGGGATGAGGTGGTGAAGATGAAAGACACTCAGAGTTGCTCTAGCTGAACAGGGATACGAGTGCCCAGGGATCCGAGTGCCCAGGGATACGTAGAGGTGGGTCATACAAAAGTGAGTGCACTTGTGTCCCCCACTTTAGACCTCAGCCAACCCTACGGCAGGCACTGCCTACTGAGTGACGGCCTCACCGCGTCAGGAAAGTACACTCCCTGCCCTCAATGGAACAGATAACTACACAATTTATTCTAATACAGGGCTCACAGCACTAGTCCAGCTTTTTATATTTCTCTTTCTCTTAAAAAAAAAACACTTCAAACCCAAAAAATTAAATTATTTTTTGTACTTATTTGTTGATGCTTTTTTTCCCATACAACTGGAAGCTTCTAGGGAAAAACAAGTTTCACAAGCCTTATTTTGAAGAATACATTTCTTCTATGTTGTCACTACAGCATGCTTTTTTTCCTCATAGGCCATTTTAATCTTATAACTTAACATTTAATTGTCCTAATTACATTTTGGGATAAAAGAAAACTTCTAAAATCTTCATGAATTAAAAGAAACTACCTGTGCCAGAAAGCTTGGTGACACCTTAAATAATGTAATTATTTTAATCTTAAAAGTTTAACACAGTCGATGTATAGCTTTTTTGTACTCAAAAAGAAACCCTAAAATTTATCAACAATTAAAAGTTTCTCTTTAGATAAAACTATAATCTTACCCTAGCAAAGAGAAAAACAAATATTGTAGTTCCCCCAATCTCGTGCAGAATGCCTTGGAGAGTTTTACATTCGGTGGGTTGGAGATTCTTTAGGTGATGAAGTTCCAATGAGATGCTCTGAACATCTTTGGAGCTGAAGGGTCTTTGAGAGAGCTGGGCTTTCACTTGGCCTTTAAGTCTAATAACTGGCTCATAGATGGTGTACTGAGCAGGACAGCATGTTGTATAAACAATGGAAAGGCTTTCCTGAAACACAAATATTTTCTCTCAGTAACGAAACAAAGTTTAAAAAGTTATCAACTAGCAAATAAATACTCTAACGTAAAAAGACACCCAACAAGTCTTTTTCTTTGTTTTAAAAGACAGATACTATACTAAACAAAAGTGAACATGAGAAGCTGGGTGGCCCCCCACAAAGGAACAGAAAGATGTGTCACTGAGCGCTGTTCAAGAGTTTACACCACAGCAAGGCTGAGAGATTCCTGCTTTGATCATTTTGGAACAGACATGAAATTATACTTACTATTACCCCTAACAACAACTAAATCTTGTACTATGCCCATCACATACCAGGAGCTGTTCTCTGCACATAAATATTAACCAATCTTTACAATCCTATGAGATGAGAACTCGGGATCAATGTATTCAGTTTTTTCCCTTTTGCTTTACTCATGGGCTTGAACTTAAAAGTGACTCTACACACATGCAATATACAGATGATGCATTATAGAATTATGCTTGAAACCTGTAAAATTTTATTAAACAATGTCACCCCAATAAATTTAATAAAATTTAAAAATATAAAGGTGACTCTAATCGGCCACCTAACTAAAATTGAATAGAACTTCTAACATCTTCCCGTGCGGAGGGTAATTTCGATCAGCTTCTGGCTCCCTGTCAGGCTTCTATTAACTACAGTTGCCCTTCCCTTATTCCACTGGGGATGTACCCCAAGACCCACAGTGGATGCCTGAAACCATAGGCAGTACTGAACCCTGTATATATTGTTCTTCCCTATACATATATTCCTATGATAAAGTTTGATTTATAAACTAGACAGAGTAAGAGATTAACAGTGACAACTAATAGTAAAATAGAACACCTAACACAGACTGTAATGAAAGTTGCGCGAATGGCTGTGGGGCCATCCATTATTCAGTACAACACAGGCGACCCAACCATGGCACTGCAATACCGCAGCAGTCAGCCCGGTCACCTGCGCGCTACTGAGTGACTCCCGGCAGGGCGGCGCTGGACAGACGGATGAGTCACTCCTTGGGGGGCACGGAGTGGGACTGCGTGAGATTTAATCAAGCTTCTCAGAAAGGGGTACAACCTAACATTTATGAATTGTTTAGTTTGGGAATTTTCCATTTGATATTTTTGGACTGTGGCTTACTATAGGTAACTGAAACTGTAGAGGGGGGGGTGTCTGTACTTTAAAAATTATGTTAATTTTTTAAAGATTTTATTTATTTTTAGAAAGAGGGGAAGGGAGGAAGAGAGGGGGAGAAACATCAATGTGTGGTTGTCTCTCAAGCGCCCCCTACTGGGGACCTGGCCTGCAACCCAGGCACGCACCCTGACTGGGAATCAAAGCGGTGAACCTTTGGGTTTTTAGGCTGGCGCTCAATCCACTGAGCTACACCAGCCAGGCAATGATAAATTGAATATGCAGAACGCAGTGGGAGGAGCTCAGGCCTAGCGAAAGCACAAGCTGCCCCCTCAGTGTCTTCACGCAGAAGCTGCAGGGGCCTTGGGCTTTGGTCATTTTCAACCTACTGTGATTTCAGGGCAGTGTGATCAGACACTATCTAGCAAACCTGCACACCAACTAAACCGACTACAATGTCTACAGTAGATGATTGGACTGGTGAAAACAAACTTTTAAACCTGTATAGTTTTTGTCACACACATGACTGATGCTTCCATACCTGAACAAGTCCCACCTGACGACACCTTTCCAGGAGGCACCATCTGAGCCTGATGCTCACTCCACTCATGACCTCATTACCCCAAATTACTAAATCAGTCTTAAAATATTTGCTTTCTAAAAAAGGTTTTCACATAAAACCCATAGAATTTTAACTTGTGATAATTTATGTTAAATTTTACAACTTATATAACTTGTATTCTTTTCAGGCAAATATAAAAAGATTAAGGAAAATTTCTTTGGTGTGTGAAAACAAACCGATTAACTAAAAACTAGAGAGTTGCTGTTCTTATTTGAATACTTGTGTGCACTCCTTGGTCTCATGTGTGGTCCTCAAGCATCAGCATCACCTGGGAATTTTAAAAATGCAAATTCTTGGCCACACTTCAGACATCCTAAATCTGCAACTCTGGCCCCGCAATCCAGGTTTCCAAAAGTCCTCCTGGTGACTCTGATACACGTTCAGGTTTGGGAGCCGTGCCCCTGAAGCTTGTGTTCTCAGTGGTGGGACAGTTCTATGTGGGATGGCACTGCCCATGCAGAACATTTAGATCCCCGGCCCCCAGTCAGTAACAGTGGACAACCAAAACGTCCTCCTACCCTCATTTTTAAAATGCTCCTTAGGGGGAGAAGACTGTATGCCTAATATCAGATCTTTAGTTCAAGTCCATAGGTATTGACATCTACTTTGCCACAGTTACGTATATATTTAACACCACCGAAGACTTACAAGGGTTTTGCAAAATATTGTACTAGGAATTTTTATTTACTTTGGTCAAATGTTAAAGCTTTAAAATATAATTTATTTTGATTGGGAGATACACACTTCACTAACAGCAACAACGAAACACATTCCGAAAGAGCAGCCTCCTTCAGTCAGAAATCTCCCAGCCCTGTAGCCGCACCTCTCAGAACAAGCGAGAGAAGGCGGGACACAGTTTGCTGGCCCCATCTGCTAGTTTGTAGCAGACCTTCTAAGAATACAAATGCTCAGTTTTCTAGTTGCTATAATGAAAAATATCCTTCACAAACTCCTAAAGTGTATATTAGTAGAACAAAATATTGAAATATATAAAAGCAATGTGAGAGTCTTATGTGAGTAGTAGATTTAGCAATATTTTAAAACCAAAATTCCTACTATTACTGATAATAAAGAATATTCTGAAATCTGAATATATGTAATTAAAACTAATATAAAACCTAGCATTTATATTAAGTATGGAAAGAAAATACAATGAGCAATATTTTTAGGTTAATGTGTTCTATTTTCACTATATCATAAACATTTTTTGTTGAATATTTGATAGGTATAAACTAAACTACATTGATACTTAGTAAACAAATATAGTTCCAAGGTAAACGGGATAAAAATTTGAAACCTGAAAACAAATTCTGAAGTCAAAGTATTCCTTTTTTTCTTTTTTCAGAAACAAAAACATTCTCAGGAAAGAAAATGTTGAGAAACAAAAAAAGAAACAGTGGAAATCTATTTCATAGCTAATTACATATTCAAGAAACACACATATGTACAGTTACTATAAAGTTAAACATAAAAGGAAAACTTACAATTAAGAGACCAATATCCACATCTTTGTTGGTCATAAAAAGTTCTCTCATTTGTTCACACTGCAGAATTTCTTTATTAATATATTTGGAGTAGTCATTCACAGGCTTGCCATATTTACATGGCATTATAGATGTATGGTTGGGTCCACAAGCATATAGATAAAAGGCCTCTTGTGAACCAATCTTAGCTCCTGAATGCAGGGAAAAAAAGTCATTTACTTAAAACATTCCAATGAGAATTTTCGACAAAAAGCAAGAAATCAAGAATTTTTTTATGCCAGATCCTTTTAGTTGACCATTATATCTTATAAAATTGATTCAAGACACCACTTCCAATTTGATAGAAGATAAATTTATATACGTACAAAGTTAGCTCTTGATAAAATAAAATCATTAAATTTCTATTTGCTCCTTAAATTATAAAACCAGTTTTTGTTGTTTTGTTTTTCAATAAATGGAAAGTATATCTCGGTAGATTGCTTTTTAAAATGATATGTGAATTGGTATCTTTATTCCTTCCATCCATCCATCTATTTAATAAACACTGTCTGATTTAGTGATGTCAGGTTTGGTGATGTATTTTTTTAAAATGTTATTTCCCTTTTCCCTAAATTTTGGTATTTTTATAGACTATACTGAAATTATAAATAAAAGAGACAATGATTCTTGTTTACCTGTCATAATACTGCATTTTTCAAGATTACAAAATAAAACTGATTTAATATAAGCTTCGTTTTGGGAGTGTAAGGGTAAGAAGTGTACTGCTGCATTAAATGTATATATCAATTACAAGAAACATCTAGATTATAAAAATGTTAAAATATTTAAAAAGTCATCTTGAGCCCTTGGCTGGTGTGGCTCAGTGGATTGAGTGCTGGCCTGCGAGTGCTGGTCGCTGGTTCAATTCCCAGTCAGGGCATATGCCTGGGTTGCAGGCCACGTCCCCAACAGTAGGCACGTGAGGGGCAACCACACATTGATGTTTTCTCCCTTCCCCTCTCTCTAAAAATAAGTAAATAAAATCTTTAAAAAACATAAAAATAAAAAGTCATCTTGAAATCTAGGAAACACAGTACTTATTAAGTACAAGAAACAGGATATTTTATCCAGGATAATATACTTAGTTTAAGAGGAAAAATATACCATTGAAGAGGAGTAAATTTCCCAGGTCCCATTTTCCAGCCAACTGCAAAAACTCTTCTTGGGATGATAAACAATGGCCGATCATGCAAAATGTTTTATTGCTATCAGATGACAAACTTGTTTTTCTTGGAAGGATAAAATCCAGAGTAACATCAGGCTTCCTATATTATAAAAACAAAGTTAAGTTAATTACAGCATGAAGACTCAGTACCAAATATTTTTAAAGCATGAGTGTTTAACAATGGGAAATTCTTAAGCGATTTTTTTGGTTCAATATCAAACAGTTGGTATGGGGATAACTGGTTCTGTTGTCTTGGTCTAAGGTGCTGGCTGTGCCCAAGCCCCAGGAACTAGGGAGCTGAACAGGACGCCTGAGGATGCAACACCAGGCCCCAGGAAGTGGCCTGACGTTTGCTGAAAGTTTTCTTTGCCATTTGACTTCTGCATATATACCTTCTGGTTTACAGACAAAACCCAACCACCTCCCCCTAGTTTTACCCACATGTCTCCCATTTTGGTAAAAAAATGCCTGAAAGCTCAGGCATTCAAAGACTATGAGGCCTTCAAAGACTATTCGGAAAAAAAAGATCACTTCTTCAGGTTTTGCTCTAACTAGCCACTGAAATGACAATGCTTTGTTGCATATTTTTGTTTTCCCTTTCTTTTTAATGCTAAGTCATTACAGCGCTTTTGATTAGTGTCTTGTTTTCCCAGAAATCCCTACAGGAAAGGTACAACAGGCTTGCTCACAGAAACACAAAATGGGCACACTTCATCATCTAGTCGACACCACAGAACACCCAGTTTTACCCCTATTTTAGGAATGTTTTAAACTCCATGTGAAGATAATGATGGTAACTTATAAAGGCAAAGTGCGTGACTAAGATAAATACAGGGACTAAGCTAATCTGGTTAGCTCTTAATGAGAAATTCTACTGTGATATATATTTATTTAAAAACCTTCCCCTAAGGCTTTGTGTTTCATCTTTAAAATAAATTTAACTATTTTATAGAAATATTTTTAATGAATAAAATATGTGAGATAACTTCTTTTTTAAATTGAAGTTTAAATGACAGACAACAGTAGTGATGACACCCATTACATGCACTTCTTTCTTGAACCAAATAAATGGCCATGACTGAAACACTACTGACACCTAGTGGAGGTATGACAATACAGTTTTGAAGGGTAAAGAAAGCTTATTGCATGATTAGTGCAAGATGAATCTAACAAATATTGAGTGTCTGCTATGTACCATATATTCCTACCAGATCTGTAGGATGTTCATCAAATAAAAATTAATAGAAAAATATTAATAAGTTGTTTTTCAATATCACTGGCCTCTTAATACGTCTTATTTGTAGAAATTATTCTATTAGTTCTGAAAGTGATCTAGATAGTACTAAATTTCAATCAGTGGAATAATATATTTGTCCCTGGTCACTTGTGTATTGCTGTATTAACAGATGCAATCATTAATTTGTATCAAATGGCAAAAAAGTTCCTTCAAAGTAATGTAGAAATAAGTGGGTGGGTAAAAAATAGTGGTACGCAAATCAAGCGACTACGCTCACTAACCTCAGAAATGTCCACAATGAACATCTAAACTCTCACTCTGAACATTACCTGTCAGCCGGCCTGAGTCAGAAAAGGGCTGTAGGGGTGGTAACACCTAGGTTCCAACATGTGGGCGCTGTCTAGGGTCAGGGTCCGGGTTGGTGCCATGACTTTGGATCAGTGACTTTCCCCACTCTGGGTCCCAGGTGCCTCTTGTGTAAAATAGAGATAACAATATACCTACTTCACAGCGCTGATGTGAGGACTAACAGAGGTCATTAGGCACAAGCTGAAAGTTCAAGAAATGAGGAGGAAGAGTCCAGGAGAAAGTGGCTCCACACTCACAGCCGCATCCCCAGCTCTAACCCAGCAAACTCAAGGTTCTGAAAACAAACTGGTTGGCTGCAGCAGCCGTTATGCCTTAGGCAGTTGTGAAGACTGAGGATTTCTCAGAAAATAATTTATTAGGAATACGGAAATGAAGCTTCAACAATGTGTTTTCATGTATTTTAAAGAATAAACAAAACGAAGCTCTTGATTTTGTTTCCAAAGCCTGTTCCTTCCAAGGCCGACACCGGAGCTGCAGCCTCCCCTGGAGTCTCCTAAGGCTCCCTCCTGCGCACAGTGCCACTGTCTCCTCCTCCACTGTCTGCTGGAATAATCTGTTCCTGGGAGGCTTCCCCGATCACCCTGTCTGAAGTAGCAGACCCGGTATTTTCTGTCTCAGGACCTGTGACTTTCATGGTGTTTACCAGTTTGTATGTATTCCTTTAATTTTTTGCTTGTTTTCTGCTTCCCCATTAGACTGTGAGGTCAAGAAGGCACAGGACATGGTTGTCCTGTTTTCTGCTGCCCCCAGTCTAACAGAACGTATGCTTGGCTCACACACAGTAATTCCTCAATAAATATGTGCTGGATGAACAAATGAATGAATGAAAAGTGGTTAATTTGTGCTAAGGGTATATTATTTATTTATGTGGTCCAATCTTATTTGGGAGAGTTTTGAGAGAATTGCGAGATAACATACATAAAGTACCTAGCGAAAGTTCTGCGACACAATGGGTATGTGCTGTTTTATGGTTCATTCCAGTAGCTTCGCTGTGCCTGTTTTTTCCTTCTCATTATTCACCTTAGAGTCTTCCTTCCAGCCAGCATGACCCTTTCCCAGGCTAGTTTCCAGTATTGTACCCCCTTTTCATGGTATTTCATTCAATGAAACACTTCCCAATTCTTACAAATCCCAGATACCTTATAGCTTTCTCAGGGTTACAATTTACAATTAAGATATTCCAAAAAATGTTTCCTATTAACTTGACCCATGATACTCCTGGCTGATAAAACTCCTATAGTACATACTATACCTGGATCTGTCACCTAGAGACAGTATATCTCTAGAGCACTGTCTTAGTCTAGCAGCGGCTATACCGGCTTATATTTTTCTCTAGTCATTCTAATTTCTTTTGAATCCCTGATTTTAATTTAGGGATTCAAAATATTAGTCACTTGATTTAAATAATCCTTTTGGTTTAATTTTATAATATATGGGTTGAAGGACCAAATTATAGCTCTTTGATCTAATATATATTCCACATAAATGTCTCAATGTCCAAATTTCTGTATTGCTCCTCCAAACCCAAATATTTCCAACAGTTACTTCTATGGGAAATGTGCTTTGTATAGAAGTGATAAATAGGAAAGTATCTAACTCTGACCTAGGTTCCTATGTTAATATATAGTAAATTTTATCTATTGTTTTTTGTAATCTCTTTTAGAAATTATAAGAGACTAAGCTTAAAATTATAACCAAACTTAGTATTTACTAAAAATGCTTCATACCTCTGTCCAGAGACCCATATGGAGATTTCCCCACGAATATTCTTTTTCCCCTGGGGCTGCTGTAAGTAGGTGAGTACTAAATGTTGCCATTTGCTCCGGAGGAAAACATTCTCTTGTGATTCCGCTTGAGCTAGTAAAACAGCTTTCGTGTCATCATTTGGATCCACGCACACACTACACAAGGGGGGAAAAGGGATAGGCTGAAAACATGGAATTTCGGATCTCAGTATTTAACACGTATATAACAACTGTAACTGTAGATATTTAAGTAAGATTAAAAATCAGTTCTATTTTTAAACTAACTTGAAAAGTTAGTAGGTCTTTGTTTCACACTATAGCCTGCTTATTTTATTATATTATTATCTCAATTCATGAACTAAAATAGATTAGGCTCATTTTCTAGTATTAATAATTTAGGCAAAAATTTTCAGAATTCAATTAGCAAAAAAAATTTTATCATTACTATTATAGTCATTGCCCTTCTAGAAATTACAATGTAATATTTGGTTCATATAAAAATTAATACATATTGTACATAAATGCCTAAATGCCAGGATGTGTTAGAGGTCTAACCTCCTTTGTGGAATTGCTGAGAGAATAAAGATATAATATACATATATAGTACCTAGTAACCTTTATAAACTTTACAAAGCATATACCCCTAAATAACATACTTTTCACTTGGTTTTAAGTTTTATAAAAATAGCCTCATACTATCCATACTCACCCAATACAAATAAAAGACTCGTATCTAAAGTAGTTAACAAAGGCAGTAGAAAAAAAAAGGGACAAGATAGCAAGGAGACCTTCAGCTTATTATACAATGGCTACTAAAATATATAATCTGCATATGGGAAACAGCTGTCTGATGTTAACATCTTAAGATCATTGCAACCTGATGGAATACTTCCTTAGACAGGACTTTACTAAGTATTTGGTCTCAAATCTCATTGAGATTAACATAATCTACTCCAGAGTTTATAGCTTCTCAGATAGAATATATTGTTACACAGGTGGTATTAATAACTGTTAGAATGCATCTCCTTTTAATAAGATTTTTGTTTTGTTGTAATGATCTTTATTAGATTTCACACTTATGCCTCTGACATAAACTATTTAAATACATGATCCGTTTGTGGGGATCAGGGATATCAATACCGGAAGATGAGTGTGCCAGTGTGGGGATCGGCCCACACTTGGATCATCAGCGCTCTGGACCCCAGTGAAACCAGGTGGATGCAGCCCTCCTCCATGAGTCTTTCACCAGGGTTTACGTACTCTGCGCCTTCTGGCCTGTTGTCCTCTATGATGAAAGATGGTAGAATGATCAGTGAAGCAGCTGATAAAAACTGAGAGAAAAGTGAATATAAAATACAAAGCATGGTGGTTCATTTATAGTAATTTACCTGGAATGTCTCAATCTGCCCTGTTCCAAACAATAGTATTCCCAAAGTTTAGATGTTAATTAACTACAAAAAGCAGCAGCAGTGAAAACAGTAATTGAGCGCATTAAGAGTTATTAAGTGTTTTAACATACGTGATAACTGAGGACTAACTGGAGGGAGGGACAGACCCCCTGTGGCGCTACTGCAGTGGACCTTCGCAGTCTGTGCCTCGGTTCCGTCAGGGGCCACTCTGACGCCATGGACCTCAGCCCAGAGGGCACACACGATGGTCACAGGCCCTGCGCTGCTGAGACCATCCTCTAATTATTATGATGGCACAATTTTTTAAAAATGGCTCATATTAAAATTCCTTTTAGAAAAATTGTGTTTGAATATATTCCCTGATAAGTGATCTTTGAATGCAACTGCTAAGTGTTCCTGAAACTCTAAACAGTTTCTCTAAGGCAAACTAAGGTAGCTCTATGCTTTGGGCTGTCTGGTTTTTCAGGCTGACTTTTCTTTCTGTAATGATCTTTATCAGCAGATTTCACACTTATGCCTCTGACATAAACTATTTAAATACATGATCTGTTTGTGGGGATCGGGGATATAAAAATCCTGGGATAAAAAAAATGCATGTCCAAAGGCTCAGGTGTTTAAAGAAAATGAACACTACAGTTATTAGACTGCATACATATTTGTCGTCATTTTTCAACATTTTTCAACAAACATAGCCACTACCAATTTTTAAGAATACTCCCCCTAACAATGATAATAGTCTTAAAAAAGAGTTTAAATTCATTGATCATATTGAAGACTACAGCTCAGGACATAAAATGTATAAAGGACTCATCTGATGTGATATTAAAAAAAGTTTCCATATCAAATCTGAATTTGCACAAAGACTAGAACAAAAACTAGTGTGTATCCAGGATTTGTAGAGTAGAACTATTACAAATATTTCTTAATATAATGTTCACAACAATCTAATGAGGTAAATATCATCCCCATTCTGAAGGTGACAAAATGGAGATGCCCAGTGACACACAGCTGGTTTATTAGCAAAGGAGGTGTTAGCACTGCAGTATTTTCTTCTCTCCTTAACATTTTAATGTGTTGCTGTCTTTAAATATTAGTTTAAAATGCTTATGTAAAATCATCTTTCTAAAATGTGTTCTAATACATTTTTATAATAAAACATTTAAACAGTTTTCCCACTGCCTACTCGTCTCAGATCATTGTGCATGTCCATTCATTTTATGAGAGACTTTGCATTATGACTGCCCCCCGCCACCACTTACATATGAGGAAGCAACCTGCCCTGCTTACAGTGTCACAGTGACGGGTGGGTGTAGAGACCCTGGGAACCAGGCAGTGGTGAGGGCCTGGAGTCTCAGCCCAGGGGCTCCAGTGGGGTGGGAGAGCACCTCCACACAGGCATCACCCCTACACATCTGTCTCATCTAGTCCCCTCGTCCCTTCCATGGGCCCTAAGAAGTTCACTGCCTGTTCTACTTCCATCACCAGCAGGTGCTTCTTAACGAACCAGCTCTGGTCGCACTAGTCACATCAGGACCAAGGTGCTATCTCATCCCAGCGTAACACCTAGCCGATCCGTTACAGAAAGGACGGGAATCAAGCCTGTTCTACCTTTGGGGAATGGCTGATGGATTCAAACACGCCGGGACAGGAACTGGGAGGGGCGCTGAGGGGAAACACAGGCCTGAGAAAGGGAGCTTGATTGAAAGGAGAGAGAGATCCGATGGGGGCTGGCTAGTCGGGGCTGAGAGACAGCAGGGTGGAACCAGGGTGACAATCGGAGCCAGCATAACCCAGTAACAGGGCCAGGGAAAAGGCAGGGAATGGGGGTGGTGACCTCCGCAACAGATGCATGTGTGGTGCGTGCCCATCCCCCAATCTGCGTGCGCGTGCGCGCGTGCACACACATACACACACACACACACAGAACAAAAGTATAGAAGAAAATTGGGTCTTTAAGGCCATCTGACAGCTCAGGCTGGGGTAAGCCAGGACCTGCCATTACTAAGGCATTTTAGGAGAAGAACATATTACGAGTAAGTTCGGACATCACTATGTTCTTACTGGTCAACCAAAATTGCAGCGCAAAAAAGCAGAGCATGACAGGTAACAGTCTTCATACCTGTTCCATCAAAACTATTATCCTGTAAAATTAAGGATTTCTTTCTTTTCCTGATATTCTTTCGTTTTTCGGCAGGATTCTCAGCTTCATGGACACATTCCACGTTGAACCACAGGGAAACACTGAAGCCTTCCGAAAGGTGTGGCCAGCAGTTCTGCCCCAGCAGTGGCAAGTGCACCGGGGCGACGTGCCAAGAGGAGAGCAGCTGCTGAGGAAAACTGTCACTCTCTGCCTCCTTCCTGCTCCATGAAACTCGCGCTCTTCTCCATAATCCCATGGCCTTGCTGTTGAGAATCCCTGGACCCTTCTGTGATGAAGCGCCGTTGCTTAAACTTGGAGTGTGCAGTAAAGGAAAGGTTAGATATTGCAAAGGGCTCATAGCAATATCACTTTCAACAATTTTCAGAATACCCAGGAGAAGAATTTCCTAGAAAAAAAGAAAAACAAAACTTTACAATCATGTTACAAGGTACATAATAATCTTGAAATTCAGGTTATAAATGAACATACAAATGTACCATACATATATCAGCATTTTTATTTACACACATCCAATCTACTATGTCATTACATTTTCACCTTTTTGTAGAGTTAAGAAAAAATATGAGAGACTTCATATTTTAAAATCTCTTGTGGTTCATTTGTTTTAGATTTAGATGCTCTTATGGTACAAACCTAAAAGTTATGAGTTGGCCCTAAGTATTAGAAATTAAATATAATAATTATACCAGGAATCATTTCTACCAAGGAAAGATGTTTATTTCCAAGTAGCTATAGTTGCTTCTTTCAAATATTTTTAAGTGAGGGGTAGAACCAGAGACCTTACAAAATCTCCAGATTTCTGAATGATATTTATAGCATGACTGGCTTTATAAAACTGAGTGCTCAATTACCTTCCAATTGATTTGACATGCCTTTTTCATAATCAAATAAAATTTTTCATCTGTGCTTGGTAAACTCAAATAAGGTTTTTAAGTTTTATTTATAATGACAAGTTTTCAGTTAAACTGAAGTGGAGAATATATAGAAAAGAGAGGAAAAGCAATGACAAAAGAGACAAGTGAAAAGAAGATTAACGTTAAGTATAATTAAGTGCAGTGCCCTAGCCCTACTCATGCACAAAATAACATCTCATGTTGATCATGAGAAATGCACTCAGGACATTCCACAAATGCACAGTCAGGTCTCAACGGTCTACTCGAGTGGTGTCTAAGCCTGTGCTCCACAGAGCCCAGAGCCCAGAGCCCCACCCCAGGCTTGCAGGCTTGCAGGCTGCTGAACATGCAGGGCTCAGGAATAGCAAGCTTGCTTCAGAGAAAGTAGCTCTGCAGTTTTCTGTTTCATCTGCTTATGCTTCTAGTCAATATTTCATTATAAAAATGGACCCTTCAGTGAAGAAAAATAAAAGTCACTAAGCTACGCCAATAGAAAGGAGAGGTGATAGAAGATAATGAAAGAGTGAATAATTTTCTAAAAACAGGATAATTCTTTATACTTACTCACAATTAACTTCTCTTTGGTAATTAAAATTATTTAGCATTTCTTAAGCACAAAAAAGACTGGAGTGGGTTGGGGATAAATGGACTATGATCTCACTGAAATGTCTGATTAGCCAAGACAGAAGTGAAATAGTTAAAGTATGTGCAAATAATAAAATAACTGAGAACACACAAATGATAACATGGAGCTGACTGTATAATAACTACCACATCAGAAGAGAGAGTTTAATGATTTTCAAATACTTTAAAAATATTCTATTAAATATCAGTGAAAAAAATTTAAATTATAGCATATTTACTGTACAAGGAGATTTCTCCAGAAATATTCTCAAAAGAAGGGTTAGCTCTTCTGAACATGTTCTTGAACTCATCAAAGATACCAAAAGATCCACCAATACTCTCTGGCATGCTAAATTAAAGAAAGATAGAGGGGGAAAAATGAAAGCCAAATACAGTTAAAGACACAAAATAATCAATTTCACTGAAAAAGATCAAATACTGTTGTCACATTTTAAATGATTACAAACAACCTAATAATACAAAAATTTGCTGGAAAAAATAACAATATGATTAAATGCAAACCAACTAATCTACTGACAAAAAGCAACAAAATCACTGTTCTTAATGATTGGTTAGCTCCAAGTCAAGTAAAGTTATTATTTAAAGAAGCATAGCCCTGGCTGGTGTGGCTCAGTGGACTGAGTGCCCGCCTGCAAACCAAAGGGTTGCAGGTTTGATTCCCAGTCACGGGCACATGCCTGGGTTGTGGGCCAAGTCCCCAGGAGGGGTCACTCGAGAGGCAACCACACACTGATATTTCTCTCCCTCTTTTTCTCCTTCCCTTCCCCTCACTAATAAATAAATAAATAAATAAACAAATAAATAAATAAATAAAATCTTTTTTAAAAAAGCATAGAAAGGTGAAGAGATTAAGGAAAAAACTCATAGACACAACAGTATGGTGATTACAAGAGGAAAGGGAACCCTGTGGTGTTTCTCTCTCATGTCATTTCTCTCCCTCTTTTTCTCCCTCTCTTCCCTCTTCTAAAAAAAAAAACAAATAAAATCTTAAAAAAAAAAAAGGAGGGAAAGGGGAGGAAATAGTGAAGGGTAAAGGGGGGATAAATGGTGAGGAAGGAGACTTGACTTGAGGTGGTGAACACACAATACAATATGCAGATGATATATTATAGAATTGTATACTTGAAACCTATGTAATTTTATTAGCTAATGTTACCCCAATTAATTTAATTAAAATTATTTTTTAAAGACGCATAAATTAATACAGTATTTATTAGGTTGACACTGTTAAGTACCATAAAATTGTCTTGTTATCTTGAAAATGGTTAAATTATAATGTTTACTTTCTAAATAAAAAAATTAGATGACAAATAAAGTAGAAATATTAAAGATTACAAATACACTTAAATATCATGAATAATTAGTTGGAACATTTTCTTTATTCCATTGTGGGGTTTAGCATAAAATATAATCAGTTGTACATAAATTCATAGAACTTTGAATAGTATTTGTATCCCACATTACAGTGTTCAAAGTATATTTGCATGCATTATCTCAGTTGTTCCTCACCCCTCTAGGAAAGTCCTACAAATTAAATATTATCTCAACTTGAGACATGACAAAAATAACCCTACTGAGAAGCCTAAGGACAGAAGCCATGCTGAAGCCACGTATTTAGCAGAAGCAGTAAACCTGTAAATTCATTTGGAAGAAAACTTGCAACGAGACTGTAAAATAGCACAGACTTTATCCGGTTAACATGACTCCACTAAAGGTTTGAGAGTAAGAAAGAAATAATGATCAAAGTAAAGCATATGTGCTTAGATTTTGTTTTTCAGTTTGAAACTGACAGGTTCCAGTTCAAAACACACACACAGTATTTGCCTTTGTCTGCTACTGGAAACTCACTGAACTACAAGTACAGAATTACAAAAAGGAAGAAACTCAGAACAGAGAAAGAAAGGTGGGAGAGGCAGTGGGCACTGGGAGCGCATCCGATGAAAAATTTTAAAATATTTCTGGAAAATGGAAAAGCCAATAGAAGAGAAAGCTGCAACCTAGAATCTCTTGGAATTACAGAGGGGCTCAGAGGAGCGGAGAGCCCATCTGTCTGTCTAAAATCTGGAGAGGAAGTAAGAATGGGGCTACAACACAGGGATTAATAGGAGATCCTGTCTGTGAGCATCCACTCCTCCCCTTGATTCTGAGTATGGGGCACAGATATCTCAGCTTTTACCTTTATGTTCAAAACCTGATAACTTTTCCGTAAAGAAATGGAATGAATTGTCACACAAAAGCTGGGATGTGTAGTGGGATGTTGGCATCAGGTCTATTATAGTCTGGCCAAGATGCTTATGAAATATTCAGAAGAGGCAAATCTATGACTGGAAATAGACTGGTGATTGCCAAGGGCAGGGGAGGCTGTGTGGGAGGGCTACAGGGAAGCAGGGAGTGATTGCTCAAGGGTGTGGGGCTCTTCCGGAGTGAGGCAACGCTCCAACACGGACGTGATGATGGCCCGACTCTGCGAGTACACTGAGGAACACCAAACTGCGTGCTTTGAGGGGGTGAACTGCGTGTGACTGTATCTCAATAAAATTGTTATTAAAGGATAATGAAATAGGCCCTGACTGGTGTGGGTCAGTGGGTTCGGCATCATCCCATAAACCCAAAGGTTGCCAGTTCAATTCCCGGCCATGGCACGTGTCTGAGTTGCAGGCCAGTCCTTGGTTGTGGGCATGCGAGAGGCAACCAATCAATGTTTCTCTTGCACAGAAATGTTTCTCTCCCTCTCCTTCTCCTTCCCTTCTCCTCTCTCCAAAAATAAATAAAATCTTTTTAAGAAAGATAATGAAATAGACTCCCTCAGAACTAAGCTGGAAATGTCTTCAGATGAAAATGGTCCACTGGGTTCCTAGCACAACAAATAAAAATATACACTAAGTAAGTAAATGGGAGGGAAGGTATGCTTTTTCTCAGAGTACAATTCCAATTAGTAAACATTAGAGGAACGATAGAAATAGTCACTATTTGGCAAACTGTTTCCCGTCATAAATCATCAATGGGTGCTAAAGTTAGTGGGTTAAAGTATGATGGAAAAAAGGGTGTAACAGTCTCAAGTTATCTCCCCACAAGATATTTACTATTATAAAGAGAAAATAATAACTTTATAAGGGAGAAACCTGGCAAGACACCCCCATAACCAAGTGATCAAAGCTCACATCACCAGTCAGACACAGATCCATGAACACCTAGATACGATGCTCTGAGAAAGGCGCTGCATCACTTCTGGCATGTCTGCAAGAGGTGCTTAGCTTGAATTCATCACGAGGAAGCATCTCACAAATTCAAAGTAACATTTCCTGTACGTTAGCCTTATAAGATCAACTAAAATTTAGTTTTTACCAACTAAAATGTAGGTTTTTATATATTATATACAGTAAAATCCTGTTATCTGTTAAGAATTTCTCAACTGTTTGTGAAAGTACAGAGTAGAGAGAAGGACCCCATCACTCTCATACAGCAACAATCCTGCACAGCGTTTACACCTGGTCACAGTCCTCGTAAGGCTACCTCTATGGATCCAACCCCAAACAACTCCCTCCATCCCTTGGAATCCAGATTTTTCTCTGTAAAATCAAGGGACTTGTACTATGTCCAGTCTATTGGGTGGGTCTGAGGAACAAAAGAGATGATGTATGTGAAGCTACTTTTGAAACCACAAAGCACGATGCCAGTGGGAGCCCTTGTTATCCACCCATCATTTCACACAACAAAATCGTTTCAAAAGGATTGTGTAAAACTAACATTTTCAACGCACCTTGAAAATCAGAATCAGCCTGTGTTAAAATACTCAAGAACCCTCCTAAAAGAATTTTCACAGTTCCCTGAAGATTAAAAAACAAAAACATAATAAATTAAATTTCTTACCTCATGAAAGCATGAAGCACTGCAATGTAATAAATTATTTGACAGTCTACTGTATATACATATATACATATTTAAAAGGACTGAAAAGAAGGCTACGTGTAGGATTACATGCAATTTTCATTTTATTTCTCACACTGCTTTTGTTTTCTAATTTGTCAAAACAATGACCATACATTAAAATTAAATTGTGATTTAAAATATACTACCCATTCTCAGAAATATTCTAGGAGTCATTATTAGTTGGTCAATGACATCATTGATTTTGTATGCTACTTTAGAGACCTATGGAATTAGAAGATTTTTTAGAATACCACTTGCAGTTAAAAACACACATCTAAGGTATTATAAATGATAAGTAATCATCTCAAATAATTTTCAGACTAGTTGAGTTACAAAGAAGGAGATGAATAACTGGGGCATGAGTGGGATAAACACTGATCTCATTCAATGAAACACATCCTTTACCTGTTGCATAAGTAGGAAAATATTCTTTTCTTTCTGCCTGATGATTTTCAAAAAACTCTCAAATACATGGGCAAGCACATCAAGTTTGGCTTTACTAGTGGAAAGCAAACTTAACTCCAGCACACAAATCTCAGGATATATTATCTCCCCTTGAGGGAGGTTTTCAAGTATATCATTTGGATTGCTTGATGCAGTGAGACCTTCCGCTTCCGACTTTACGTCTACCCCTGAAAAGGGAAAAGAAAAGATTATTTTTATTCCCTACACACTGACTATTTAAATTCTCATTCATCATTTGAAAGTTCTAGTGGCAAAAGTGCTATTTATAAGATGTTCAAGAAACCTTTTCCTACATCGTGACTTTTGATTGCATGACTAAGACTGAATAATCAAGTAGCAGGGATATTTTGAAGATAAATGAGTAGCCTTCGAAGTAATTTTGATCTTCAACAGAACTACAAATATTACCAGGAGCAAGTTTTATGGACATGTGATACAGATTTAGCACATTCCTCTCTCATACACACACACACACACACACTCTCTCTCTCTCTCTCTGCCCCCCACCTCCCAAACTTTCTGGCCCCCAAACACCTAAATCACGGGGGAGTTCATAAATCACAGAGTTCATATCTCTGTGAAAACGTGGGCTTGGCTGTGGGTTGGATAAATTCTGTACTTTGCCTTCTTCATAAGTGAGAAACAGATATTTTCTCACTAAATATTACATTTTGGGAAATTAAATTTTAAGTTCTTAAAGAGACTGCTATGCTCTTAAACAGTTCCCATATAGTTAAGAAATTTATAAATTTCTAACTAAATCAGAATTCTTTATGTTAAAATCTAGTTAGCAAACTCATAAAAAGAAAATCTGTCATTATAAAATCATGTCTATGCTCTGACAAAACCTATACCATTAAATCAAAGAGAGGAGAAAGGAAGGAGAAGGAGAGGGAGAGAAACATTTCTGCCTAAGAGAAACATTGATTGGTTGCCTCTCGTTATAATGTATATACAAAATTTTTTCAAAAGCAGTTGCTTTGGGTATCTGGGTGGGTGGGGAATTGGAGGAAGGTGGTCAAAAGGTGCGAATTTACATAATAAATAAGCACTAGCAATGTAATTTATAACATGGTAACTATAGCCCACACTGCTGTATGATATATTGGAAAGTTAAAAGAGTAGGTCTTTTTTCTTTTTATTGTATCTATATGAGATAATGGATGTTACCTAAACCTACTGTAGTAATCATTGCACAATATATGTAAATCAAACCATCATGCTGTGTGTCTTAAACTTATATACTGATGTCTGTCAATTATATATCAATAAAATTGGAAACAACAAAAATAGTTTAATAGATCAAGTAAGCTATATGTATATGTGTATACAGGGTTGCAAAAGCAGCTTTACAGTTGTGAGCATGTGAAATGATTTATTCTTGTATTATCATTTATTTATTAGTGTGTTATTTATTAACCTACTTTCCCACCCCTGTATACACACACACATATATATTATTTCAATTTTGGGCTTTTAATTTTTTTTAACATTTTTAAAAAGATTTTATTTGTTTATTGATAGAGAGAGGGGAAGGGCGGGAGAGAGAGAGGAAGAGACACATCCATGTGCCAGAAAAACATGGATTGATTGCCTTTCGCAAACCCCTGGCTGGGGACCTGGCCTGCAGCTCAGGCATGTGCCCTGACTGGGAATGGAACTGGCAGGATGACGCCCATCTCACTGAGCCACACCAGTCAGGGCTGTGGCTGTTTTTTAGTCCTTTTCACTCTCTTTTTGGTAAAAACAAAGCAAAACAAAAAACCTGCTCTGGGTCCATCAGGCCTGTTAAGTAGCACCTGAGCACCTGCTCCCATTCACTCAATAGGAAGAGAAGACAGACCTTGGGGAAGGATAAGCCACTGTAAACTTGGAGAGAACTCACAGTCCTGGGACAGTCAAAGGCCAGCCTACAGAGAGATGCTGGGCTCTCATCAGCCCATCTTTTCCGTTCCACCCAGGGTGTGAGCCCTGAGACACAGGATGGTGTGCACTGTGGTTCCACCCCAAGGACAGATGAACTAAGATGAAACTTATGCTGCAGCATCCTTGGAAGTCACAACAGATGTCTGTATTCCTTATGCAACTTAATCATTGTAACAAAGGCTGTGAAATGCTCTTCCTCTCAATATTGACCTGGACAGACCTTTTTTTATTTAGGCCTAAATGTAAACATAACATCCTCAGAGGCCTCCTCTAGTCACCCAGTCACTACCGTTTTATTTCTTCAGACTGTTTGCATCTGCTACTTATTGTCTTTTTGACTAGAATATATGTGAAAGCAGGGACTTGCTCTCCCCTGTATTCTTAGGTCAATGTCTGTGACCACACAATCTACCTCGGTGTTTTCAATCTCAGGCACGAATGCCAGAATTCACTGTGAAGATCCAATAAGATGGTGGCGCAATGCACTTCTTAAACTGTAAGGCAATACAAATTCTAAAGTAATACTCTTAGGAGCCATTTTGTTACTTAACAGGCTGACGGGCAAATCAAATCAGAAATACTTCTGTGACATTTTACCGTCATCCCGGGTTTCACTGTCCTCAGGGTTGCTTTCACTGTCTGCCTCATAACCTTCTTCTTCAACCAAAACTGTACAACTACAACACTGAGCATCCTCAGCTGCTTCTGGAAAATCTCCAGGTTGGGATGACCATTCTGCTTCAGCCTGATGACTCTGTAAGATTGGTAAAATGAAAAGGCAAAACTTGTAACATTCGCTCATTTTTAGTAACATAATATTTATTATGCAAATGTCATTTTAAGAACAGCTTTAGTATTTCCTTTAAGAGAAAAATCTTATGAATTGATATTTACCATTATAAATAATGAGACTCACACAGCAAAATTTTCCAGAATCTCTCAGACAATTTGATTAACACCTCAAAAATGGGTAGGAGGTATCTCTAACAGAATAAGCTATAGGTCATGTCAAAGCTATAGGTCATGTCAGTTTTTGTGAAAAATAAATCTAAGAAATTACATTCTAGTTATATAATGGAAATTACTAAAAACCACAATAAGGTGTAATTATGCTTCTTAAAACTTAATGCTACTCAATATATATTATTTTTATACATTTGTTCATGGAAAAATATTTTTCCAAAGGATTTTTATATATGTTTTGTAAATTAGATAACCAAAGAGGATATAAAAATTTCTCAAAGGAGTTAATTTTAAGATTTCAGAATGCAATTGTCTATATACAAGCATCTCAGACAAATACCATATGATCTCTCACTTATCTGTGAAATCTAATGAACAAAATAGAAACAGAGGCATGGATACACGGATCAGCTGTCAGAGGAGAGGGAGGAGGGGGGACTGGATGAACGGTGAAAGGATTAGCCAAAGAACATATATGCATAAGCCATAGATACAGACAACTATGTGGTGATGGCCAGAGGGAAGGGGGGAGGTGGGGGCTGGGTAAATGCGGGCAGATGAGGGGAAGTGAGGGCATCTGTAATAGTGGCAGCAATAAAAATAAAGGGACAAAAAAGAGTTCCAACATTTCCTGTGTGAAATCCTGCAGCATGAAATTTCCCTTTTCTTATAAAAATCTACAAATATCTTCATTTTGGATAACATTTTCACTTAAAGGCAGAATAAAGTAGGCATTTTAACACATTTCCATTAACCTACTGGTTCAGTGGTATGATGATGGCATTTGTAGCTATTTCAGTCAGTTTTTAAGTTATGACAAACAGCAACATAAAATATTTTGGCAGAAGATAATCAAATGTCACATATATGGCTAGACTAAGGAATTGAAAGAGAAGTTATATAAAGAGAAAGGGCAAGTGACAATTAATTAAGGTAAAATAAACATGAAAGGGGAAGGAAATGGACTAATTATACGTCATGGTTTCAGGAAAAAATTTTAAATAGTTCTAGAAAAAATATGAACATGAACAACTAAAAACTATGATAGCTATTTTCTCTGCAAGTACTAGTCATTTTTATGTGAAGTGATTTAAAATTAAGTGAGTACAGTATTCGGGAAATGTCAGCTGTGCCCATAGAGATAAGATACCTGAGTCATCACCATCCTTGAATTATCATTTAATAAGCTACCAGTAATTGTATGTAAGACATTAAATCAAATCATACATTTCTATCTTACTGGGAATAATTCTGTCAATTTCCAGATTAGATGAAGAAAAGCATGTCATGTTGCTCTCCTCTTTTTACAAGACAGGGCACTGAGTATATGCTATGCAGCCCAGGGGATGGAATGGACCAAATCCTGGCCCACGTCCTAACCACATCTATCCACAGAGTCCCATCCCACACACGTCCGCTTCTGCGGGGCATTCCCAGACAGCACAACAGTTTATTCCTACCTTCTCAGCCACAGCATCACTGTGGTCGAAGTCTGCTGAGTGATCTCCCAGTGCAACTCTCAGCAGGGCATCGAACAAAGGCTTTGCCAGTTCTGTTTCAATCACCTTTGACTGGGTAAGATGGTCCCTCATCTCAAACAATATGTTTTCCACAGGCAAGCTCTAAGGCAAAATAAAAGAGACTGAGAATATCAATAAAATGCTTTAAGAAAAAAATGAAATAGTGACAGATAGTAGTTTAATAAGTAGAAAGCCAGTCCATTCATCTGCAGTTGATATGAAAGTAAAAAGACTGTATGAGTATCTAGACTTTCATAAACACCCATGTAGTACAATTAATAACTTATTTATCAAAAGTTTTACTTACCTCGTTTGGTTTTGAATTTCAATGTATCATAAATTGTATCACAAAAATGATTAATTGAAAAGAAACTTCAGAGTTTTGATTAACCATCCCTAGATTTTGCAAATTCCTTAAGACTCTAAGAAGCACTTATATTCTCATCCTTCCCTCTCCCCCTCTTTATTCCTGTGTTTGAGGGGACCTCTGGCTGCCTGCCCCATGTGCCAATATTACGTGATGAGGCCATAAAGATGGATAAGCAGCTCACACATCTACCTTAAGGAATTTTCAGTCCTATGTGAGGCACAGACACACATAGACAAGATATGATGACAGCCATACTAGAGCTATAAACAAAGTTCTCTGGGAACAAAACAAGAAAGGGTGCCTGAGAGACACGTCAAAGGTGTCCCAGAGGAAGGGTTGTAGACGACGAACAATGAAGAACTCAGAGGAGACGGCAGGCATACAGAGGGAGAGGATACACCAGGTAGAAAAATGTGCACAGAAGTAAAGAGTAATAACAAAACATGGCATCTTGAAGAGCAGTCAGCTCAGGGTGGCTGGCTGCCTCAGGGGAAGGATGGCAGGAAGTGAGGCTAAACAAGGAAGTGGAAGCAAGACTGTCAGGGGCTCTGTAACTAAACTAAGGAGTGTAGATTTTAATTGGGAGCAACGTGGGAGCATCAAGATATTGAGATGAAGCAACATAGAGGCAGCAGGAGAGCCCGTTGGCTGACAGAACAGTGAGGAGTGGGTTAATAAAAGGGAAGAAGGGGTGTACCACATTTTAAAGTTCCTTAGGAGCCGGGCCTGAAACTTTTGTGTTGAGAAGTGCTGGCAGGAGAAACTTGTACAGGTGTGAGGAAAGCAGACTACGCCAGGGGAAGAATCCAGAAATGTGGTTTCAGATAAATGTCCAGCCCCCGCCTGATACCAGGGAAAGCTCTGGAGCCTGGGGGCCCCACAGAGGCGGTTCCCTCCATGAGAACCATATCCACCTGTCACTGGTGAACACCCCTCCCAGGTATCTTAGGTGGGGCATCTCTCCTCAGAAGACGGGTGCAGGTGTGAGTCCTCAGCAACCGACACCCACAGCAGATGGCAGATGGGGGCATCAGCTCAGTCAGGGGAACTGGGCAAGACAGTGTCACACCAAGACTGTAAAGCATGAACTTTGAAACACAATATCCATTATTCCTCGCATGTCTTTTAGGGCTGGTAACTTTGTCACATATGGGTTTTGCAGTCCAAACTAAACGGTAAGCTTTAAGCTTCTTGAAGACAAGAACTGGGTCATGTGCTCATCTGGGCCCTCCATGGCACCTGGTACCGTGGTGCTAGGCATACCGGCGTTTCTCAAAACTTAGACTCTTTGGAAAGACAAAATGACAAATGTATTATGATAGAACTTTTAAAAAATACCTATTACACAATAGCTGGACAAAGGACAAGTTATTACCTGATCAGGTAACTCCAGTTCCACCTTGTGCTGACTAGCTCTGGTGCTATGAAGACAAATGGCCAGAAGTGCTTCCAAAAGTCGTATGCTCTGAAGAGAGGCCTGACTGTCTAGACTCGTAAGTACCTTTGCTTCCTCAGGAGCAGCTTCAGCAGCTGAAATTCGATCCCCATTTATGTCAGAAATATGCTGAGACTGTAATTTACCTACACTGTCCTCCCTCTCCTTTTGACTACCCAGTTCTGATGGTGTGGCGTGACTTTCCATAGCCAAAGATAATGAATCCTCCTTCATGGTGATCTCAGATGGAGAAGTTCCGATTAAATCTTGGTTCTCGCTCACATCTGTATCTCCCTCCTTTTTTCCCTGCTCCTCTTCATGACTCCTGGACAGTTTCTGTATGATCATAAATATCAATTTGCGGCACACCTGGACACCGCCCAGCCTGTAAAACTGTTCCTGGACAACTGGACTCAACATGTAGATCCGACGACACATGGACCAAATGTCTGCTGCTTGGTGCATGTGCTTGGGAGAAGGCAAGACAAGGCTCTCGAGAGGTACACGTGGCAGCACACGGTGCAGGGGCTCACTGGCTGTGCTGTCATAGCCAGAAGTGTCTTCTGAGTCGTGGGTGGACTCCCCATCAGAGTCTGCTTCTTTACTTACACACAGGAACGCCACACAGAGGAAGAGGTTTATTGTGTTGATGTGAACGTCCTGGTTAACAAACTTCCTTTTCTTGGGGTAGGCATCTCTGAGGCTGGCATAGAACTTGCTGAGACTCTGAGGAGAATCTGAAAGTGCCGGCTGGTTATGAAAAGAGGTAACTGCATTTAGCGATGACAGCTCCTTCTGTTCGGCGTCCATATCGTCAGTACCTGGAATCGAAGACTCTTTCTGTTGTTCCCCGAGGCTGATTATCAGAGTTTCAAATGCTTTTAGGGAATGACCTCGAATATCATCTAAGTAATTTAATTCAATTATTTGACTTACTCCGTTACAACTTAAAAACAAATTTCTTATTACCCTGTGAGAGGGGAAAAAACACACAAGAGGTTTTACGTATAAATAGATCATTTATAAATAGGTACATATCCTATTTAAATATGTCATTGCTGCATGTGGTGTACACTAAACAAATACTACCGAATTTAATTAATCAATCATCTGGCTTAAATTCTCAGTTACTTGTGATCAGGATCTCAAATTACTTTCTAAAGACTTTCTTATCCTTTTTCAAACACTGCATATATGACTCCAGCATTTAAAAAGAACAAAAAATTACATGTATCCCAAGTTAAATGAAGCAATTCAGGAAAGAATATTTTTCTTCAAATAGCAGATTCTATATACATTTTAAATGCCCCAATCACCACCCACTTCAGATGGACACTCTGAAATGAGGCAGACATTTGTGTGTCCCTTTGTTCATCTGCCTGCTGGCTCACTAAGGACTTTTGGTTTGTTTTAAACTCGCACCTCAGAAAGGGAAAGTACCCAATGACAGATCTGAAGATGTTCATCTCTGTCTCAAGTGAGATTCAGGAGTCCAGATCACTCAAATACTGGTAATAACTTTAATATTCATCAGTTCAGCATAGACCAGGTTGTCCACAAATATGCCAGTGAGTTTACAAACTTCAAATCAAAGTCAGTTCTAGTGAAACAATGTCAGAACATCAGGAATTTTTTTAAATGACTGTAAAGATAATGATGGTACATTATTATCTTTACAATCAGGCTGTATTTCTATTTTAAGTTTTCAAATGGTATATGCATTAATTTTAAAGGCCAAGATACCTATCAGAAGCAAGGTTTACTTAGAAAATCATTTTTTTTTTTAAGTACCAGATTTGACAATTACAAAATCTGGAAAATTCATTGGTGAAATTCTACGTAATTTTAATTTTTTTTTCTGTATTTTCTATTTTTTATATATGGTTTGCTTAGGTAATAAATATAAATATGGTATTTAAAAAATAATCAACTTATTTATACTGCCTTGATAAAATAATTATCATTTTATGTACATATATATTTTACACAATGGTAAATAAGTTGGCAATATTTTGAATTTTGTATATCTTATTGCTAAAATAGTGTATTTTCTCATGTCCTAATGTAATCTTTATAACCATTATTTTGAATGGCTAATAATTCCATCAAGTACATATAAAAGAATTTAACCTTGCCCTGCTACTGAATTTGTGTTGTGTACATTTTCTCTCAGAAATATATTTAAAACTTTACTGACAAATTAAAAACAATGGCTCTGTCCTTTCTCCTCTAACAACCCAATAAAAATAAATAAATGTAAAAAACACTTCACATGGGATGGGAAGATTTTTGTTGTTAAACTGCAATTAAATCATATGAAATAATAAAGCACAGAGATATTCAAAAGCATACAATAAGAAAAATGTCTGCATACATGCACACATACAAACCTTGATTTAAGCAGAGTAGGCAGCGTTTTTAAATAAACCTGAAGCACTTCCTGAGGCAAACACTGTTTTTGATGGCTACACACGTGAGTCTGAGCTGAAGTAACGCTAAGGTGCTGGCAATGATGGGCTAGTTCAACTCCCCTTTGGAGCACAGGATTAAATACGTAACTATACAATTTCCACTGAACAACCATATTGCCTTTCTGGATTAAATTGCAAACGTGGTTTGCAATCTGCACACTATGTAATCTGTCTTCTTCAAAAACAAAATCCTGATATGCCTCTAAGGCATCCCATCTCCACAAGTCTTCGGACCCCCTGCTGGGCAGGATCCCTTGACATCTGTAAGGACTGGACAGGCCTGAGGAAGGCTCCTCGCCCTGTGTGGGCCCCTGCAGTGTTTCTTCTAATTTGGCTAGTTGATCAGAGTCAACGGTACAAACATTGCAAGCTGCCTTTTTAATCTTCTGTGGTATCTCGGCACCTCCTAATTGATCCAAAATGAGTTTGTTAAGGATGTTCAATATGTGCTGCTGAAAATTCTTCAGGGCTGGCAATCTGAAAGCATGGAGCAAAGGGAGGATGACAGACTTGGGGTCCATGCAGCAGCATACCCCGACGCTCTGCACCCCTGCCAGCACCTGCACGCACGTGCTGCTCAGGGAGGCCTGCTGCAGCAGACGCAGGCACTGGTGCGCGCACACTGCCAGGCAGCAGCACCGCTCAGGGTAGCAGACGGCACCATCTGCAGCCTCCTCAAATGGGTTTTTGGAAACCTGGTTTTTAAATGCTGAAACCAGGAGACCTGAGAGATCTCTGTGGTGGTGCATGAAGTGGGAATATTCGCATCGTCTGTGCCTCTTCCTTGTACACATTGAATGATGAAGCTGCTCTGACTTCACTTTTTTGACAGTGCTCATTATTTTCATCACACTATTTATTAGGGCTTTCAAATGTTCCGAGGCCTCAGGAGGCACACCGTCTCTTAAAATCAGCCATTCCATTTGAAGAACTGATGTTTCAAATAAATTGAAGCCATGATGCTGAATGAATTCTTGAACCAAATCCATGGCTTGACTGAAGAAGAAGGGATTTGAAGCTGCACTCTGAAGACAACAGATGAGGATCTGTAGCACTCCTTCCAGAAGCTCTGGCAAAAGAAGGGCTCTATGACGGTACTTTGAAAACGAAAAACCTTCCCGAACCTCCTGTAGTGTTTTCTTTTGTCTTGGTGCAAAAGGCTCAGGCTGCTTTTCTAGGCAAGCTCTAATTTTTAAAGCAGCTCTAAGCAATTCAGTTAAATTTTTTTTAAGACTTTCTGGCATCATCTCTGCAGTACTAATATCTACTGACATAAGATGCAACACTGTTCGAAAAAGCATCCGTTGGACCAAGGCCATGGGTTCTTCAGTCCAGCCTGCAGAAAACATTTGACTTTCTGAATTGTCACTGAGATTACAGCAGTCCCCAAAGCCTGCGAGGAACTCAGTCAGTGTGGGCACTACACTGGCTGCCAGAGCAGAATTATGATTCAAGATAATATCAAACCTACAAACTTTCTCTAATAAAGATAACAAAACATGACATAAGTCAAATGGAGAGTTGTCCATGTGACTGATAATAGACAAGGCAGCTGGCTCACTTAAAATATCGGTGTTTGTCTCCTGTCTTGGCACAGTCTCTTGGAGACTTTCCAAAGCCATGCTATCAGGAGGAATCTGTTCTTTGGTTGACAAGTGGTCAGGTTGAGCCATAAACTTGTCTTCTTTAGGAGGCTGTGTTACAAAAGGCTGCAGTTGATGGGGCCGCCTATGCTTGCTCACTGCCGTCCTTCTGTCGTCTGAATCGGCCTCTGAATCGGAGGTGGAGAGCTGTGTCTTTCTTGCATCTCTTACAGAATAACGATGGGTGGTTTTACGTTGTCTTCTGCTTTTTCGAAAAACATTTCCTTTTGCAGAAACCTGACCCAACGGGGTACTTCCTTCTAAATATAATTTTTCCTGAGTAGATCTTTGTGAACTTGAGTTCTTTTCTTTGGTCAGGATTATATCAGCTGAGAACGGTAGATTAAAATCTATGGAAATGAAAAAGGAAATGATATATGCCTTAGTATGTTTCTAAACTCAATTCGTATTTAGTATCCATTTTAGGAGTTTAACCTCAGTTTTCTGTTTTTTTTTTTTTTTTAACTGGGGCTGATTTCCTTTAGTGATTGTTATGTCTCTGGGTCACTTCCCCCCACAATTACCTTTCTCATGATAAGTACCAGGTGGTATTAGTTCAAAGGATATAAATTGATTTGGAAACAATGAAAAATAACAGAATTAGAAACATAAATCTGATTTAAAATCATATACGTATTGCATTCTTACATCGACATAAGAGACTCTTTAAACAAGAGTATTTAGCACTATTGTTCCTGCATTTTACAAATCTCCTCCAATTTGCCATCAATTAAGACACACGAATATATTATATTTTCAAAAATAGTATTTAGGTTATAGCCCTGATATAACTTAAGAACTTTAAGATTTTACAAAATTATTTCGAAATCATACAGGAGACACCAAATACTCTCTAAGACAAGCTAAAAGTGCTCCTTCCTGCAGGCACCACGCACTGAGCAAGGCCCAGACACAAGCATCATCACTTTGTCCTCAGGGCAGAGGACAGAGGGCCTGGGGTTAGGTCAGTGCTCAATGCCTGCTTCCTGGGAGAAATAAATACATCCTCCCTATAAATTAAAAGATCACAAAACTGGTCTCTTTCTCTTTGCAATAGCATGTAACAGATCTATGTGAAAAATATAGTTGCAATTTAGAATGAGTAAATACCAATGTGTAAATAAAAGACCTGTGCCTTAATGAGGGAGGATTAAAAGGAGAACAAATTCCACCTGTGCAAAAGATGCAGGCAATGAAGACTACATGCCCAAAAGAGCAGTAATCACTATCTTAGGCAACTAACAACTTGTGATTCTACGAATTCAGAATAAAATAAAAGCAGAGGGTTAGTGAATCAGCAAAGAAGCAGGATAACATTACAAGACATTGGGTAAGTCCCTAAAAAGAGAGCTCCAGATCAGAAATGTACTAAATATGCCACGTGGCATTAAAATACAATACGGAAGGACTTTAAAAAAATCTGAGAGATCCTTAAACATCTCACAATTTACATATCCCAAAAATGGTCAAGGGAGAAAACTGTTAATCCCTTTACTGAAATATTTAAACTAAGTTTCATATATTTAATGTGATATATATTTTTTAATTTTTTCAAAATCAGGTATTAAAAACATGTATTAACCTTTAAGTGGAGCAATTCTACCCAAACTCAAAACAAAATATTACTTCACATTTATTCTTTGAAAGCAACATTAGAAAAACTAAAGTGCAAAAGTCATTGATAGAATATGGTAATAGAAAGCAGTCTTTAAAAATGAGCAGAGGAACTTTAATTTCTTTCTTCAAGCTTTTCACTATCATTCCTCAGATGTTATGTTGCATGCCTAGATTTACTCCTTTTGCTTCTGCTTCTTCGAATACTTTTAGATTATTGTTACATTCATGTAATCCCCAAAGAAGCAACATGGTTTCTGTATTAGAAGAAATAAAAACGTTTCCCTAAGGAATTTTTCATATTAAGTATCAAAATAATATATACTGCTCTGATATTTGAACTGTGTCAACCAATAAGGCAGAAGTAACTTTTTTTTTAGTGTAAACATAACAGTTTTTAAAAATTCTATCTTTCAATTACAGTTTACATGCAATATTACTTTGTTTTAGTTTCAGGTGTAGAACATAGTGGTTAGACAATTACATACTCTACAAAGTGATCCCTCCAATATTTCAAGTACCCACCTGACACCATATCTAGTTATTAAAATATTGACTATTGACTATATTCCCTATGCTATACTTTATATCCCTGTGACTATTCTATTCTGTTATTACCAATTTGTACAGAAATAAGTTTTCAGTGGAACATTTTTTCCCAGTGGAATTTTGATAACACAAGTGATGTGATAAAGGTAGTGCCTATTTACAGTGAAAAAGAAGACGAAGACAAAGAAGAAGGAGGAGGAGGAGGAGGAAGAGGAGGAGGAGGGGAGGAGGAGGGTAAGGGGGAGGAGGAAGGCGAAGAAGAAGGAAGGAAAGAAAGGAAGGAAGGAAGGAAAGGAAAGGAAAGGAAAGGAAGAGAAAGAGAAAAAAGGAACATACCTGTAGCCTTTTCTTCTTGGACGGGTATCTTCCACACCAATGGAAGGAGTGACAGAAGAAGAGTGAGGAGTTCTTCTCTACATGTCAATGCCTGTATTAGAAATAAAAGAATCCTTCATGTTCTGAGATCAGGAGACTCATTAATTCCTAATACCTTGTCTTAAATTGAACCAAAAAATCCTTTTTTTCTTGAAAGGTTGCATCTAAGAATCAAATTAACCTATCTCAAATCCAATTAAAGCTGTGACAATTTTCAATTTATAAACCTTTCCAATGACAGAAGAATGTAAGAGTATCTGATGGTATTTAGCATGTTCTTGCTGATTTTTCCAAAAATAGCTGGCACAGCACCATGCACATTGCAAGAATTCCTCACCTATGAAAAAACAAATTTTCCAGGTGAAAATGAAAAGTTAAGTCCTATTAATTAGCAAACAAATGATACAAAGTCACTATAAAAATGTAAAGTCTTCATGCAGTTAATTGTAAGACTCAGAGAACACAATTTTAAAAAGAAAAATAGATATTATTAATAAATAATATTTAAAAGACTTATTAGTGAGGGTAATCCAATATTTATTGATGGCACACTATGTCACAGCACTTACTATCTTACCCTTTCTGGAGGAGATGGTCCAAGCCCTGGAGAAGGTCCCCTCATTTGGTCCATAAGATACATACACACAAACAGTTAAAGAACAGAAGGCATGTAGCATGAGTAAGTACCCAGGTTTGGCACACGTGTTCAGTTTAGCAGTGCACAGAAAGGAGTGATCCTATCAGTCAGAAGTGGGAACCAGAGCTACAGAGCCAGAGCCGGGACGCCTGAGACATGGTGCTTAAGGAATTAATGACAAGTCAAGTTAAAATTCCTCACATCAATGAGTGGGGAGAGGGTCAGACCTGCGTGCTTAGAAAGACCACTCTGGCCACTACACAGAGGACAGAACTGGGGGCTGGTCATATTCGAGAAGCCATAAGGGAGAACCAAAATGACTTGCAGTTCATTACCTATGGCTGTAAGGGAGGAAAGGAAGGTCTACAAGAACCCAGAAGGTTTCTGGTTCAGGCCACTGGCTGACTGAAAACGTGCTCACCAAGGCAGGAAGCTCAGGACTGCTATTAGACTGGGGGAAGACAGTGGAGATGCCCTTCAGGCGCACTGAGTCTGCGATGGCTGTGGGATATCCCCACAGACAGAGCTTTTTAGTAAACAGATATATAGATCCGGAGCTTAAGAAAAAGATGCAAAGTAAACAAAGAGTTGGGAGTCACGGGGGGAGAAGTCAAGACGTATGTCAGGTTCCCTATGGAGGGTACACAGAATGAGAAGAGAAGTGTGACGATGATGAAGCCCCGAAGAACATCACGGAGGGAATTAGGGGCAGCTGTGCTGAGAGAAGCCTGCAGAGGAGATGGAGCGTAGCTCCCAAAGGAGAAGTGATCAAGGAGAGAGCGGGGCAGGAAAGAGCTGCGGCTCTTTAGCTGTGGAAGATGAGGTTGACAGCATTTACAAGTAGAGGTCACTGGTGGCCTGACCAGTGCAGCTTTCATGGAACGACTCCGCCTCTTCAGTCCAGTGACAATAGGCTGAAGAGTCAGAGGGAATGAGAAAGCAGACACAGCATTCAGCCTGTTCCTTCACGTGTCCTGATTAGGAGAAGGCTCCTAATCCATTCTTCAAAAGTAAAATCTACACCCCTTTTCGGGCTTCGGAGACCCTCTGTGACGTGTTTCGCAGTGCCTTGTCCAGTTTCAGCTCCACCACCACACCTGACGCTCCTGCAGGTCCAGCTACAGAGGGTCTCCCGACCCCTCTGCTCTCTGCCCCCCGCTCCCTGCCCCCGCATCTTCCTCACACACACTGCTCTTGCCACCCTCCTCTCGCCCTCCTCCCAGCTGCCAAACTCCAACTCGCCCTTCAGGGGTCGGTTCCTCTGATCCTCTCGGTAAAGTTTGGTTTCGTGTTCCGGATTTACTTCCAGCCTAGCAAGCGCCTTGCTGAACTGTTGATGTCCGAGCGCCTCTTTCCCTCTCTTATTCTAACACATCCGACTGAGCCCCACGAGGTGCCAGGCACTTTGGATGCAGCGGTGAACAGGAAGACAATGTTCACATCCTCACAAAGCTGGCACTCTAATAGGGGAGACATAAAATAATGGGTACAAATAAAGTATTCAAATAGAATGAAGAAAATTGAAAAGGGGAGGGATGACAAGGGGGACATTTGACAGCCTATTCAGGATGGGTCGCTAGAGCAGATACACTGGTGAGAAGGAGGAATCCATGCAAAGGTTTGGAGGAAAAGGGTTCCTACGGGATATAAAAGGGGAATGAGGAGGCTGCTGCGATATGAGGTCAGAGGGTGTAGTCAGCGAGTGGGCAGTGCCAGGCCTAATGTGGCCTCATGGGCATATGCTGGAGTTTGAATTCCCCAGATATGGTGGGAAACTTCTCAAACACACTTGCCAGGCCTCCCTCACAGCACGGACTCCAGGCCACAGGCCCTAGTCCTCAGCAATCATGCCCCTCTGCCACCAAATCCTAGTACATAGTTGGATTTTTATAATCATTGTCTGCATGAAGGACTTTAAATTCTGGATTCAAAGTAAAATTGTATCAAAGGGCCCCGTTTCCATGTTATTTACTTCAAAATTAGCAAGTCTAAAGCTGTCCAGATAATATTTCCACACATGGCTCAGACTCCGTAGGAACCTCAGCATTTTTTAGGATGCCAAGCAAAATGTATATGGTTGTAAAAATCTGTACACCGATTTTGGGCACGTCATTCCTGTAAAGTCCTCCTGATGGAGTTTTTCCCTGGAGCAGATGAACTCGCAACATTCCAATCGAGCTTGCAGAAACCTCGAGGGTGTGTCAAGCGCTCCAGGCATGCTGTCCTTATAATTGAGCCCTTGGTCCCCAACAGCACACTGGCGAATCATCACTGCTACGTGAACAGGCATTCCTGCCTCCCCGCCTCTGCATGACGCGTGGTCTAGACCTTCTCTCACTCCTTCTCATGGGGCTACGGGCTCGCGGGCTTCGCTGCCTTCAAGGCCCAGCCCCAGCAACACCACCCCGTGAGGCTTTTCTTCCTGCACCAACCCAAGACTACTGTCCTTCCCGCTCAGGAGGTCAGGCCTGTTGCCCCCGTTCCACCAAGTGGATTCGTTCTTGGGAACCATGGGCCTTGGAAACCAAAAGAATGAGAGGGACGCAAGTGCAGGTTAGTGGGTTTGCCCCCTCTCCTGGAACTGCTGACCCAAGGATACTGTCACCTCCCTGCTGCCCAATACAACGGGGGTACAATCCTTTACTTCACACCAATTGCAATCATTTCTAATGCAATTCACCATGGGGGCACTCTCTTTACCAATCCAGACCTATTACTTTTTGGGGTATTGTATATTCCCAGGTGTATTGATCCTTTCTGAGTCCTAAAGAAACATACATAATTCTACTCTTCTGTAAGTCATAAAATATTTTCCTCTTATTTGTGGACACCCTGGTATATGAGAACTTGCAGCACTATGTTTCAAACCAAGTAGTCACAGTATGCACAGGAATGGGTGTTACCTCATGCCATCCAAGTGGGAAGTTATCAACACGCCGTATTAGGCAATACATGCCCTAAACAGATCCTTTCCCTGGCTATTCCTAGAAATCACACCACTCCTCATTTAATACTTACATTTTTATGTTTCCCTTTACGCAAGGAAAATGACTGTGCTTTGCCTGTTTAAATTCCCCATAGTAATAACGACCAGTAAAAGTAGTCTCATTCAGCTGGTAATTTTTCCAGTTCAATTCAAGGAATGTATTTACGTACCTACCAGGGGCCCGGCACTGTACCTTTTACAAGTCTGTTATTTAGCCTGGATTTTATATTAATTGCCTATCCTACCCATCCTAGAGGTGGTGGCATGATGGGAGAGAAAGGGCAAGTGAGTTGGGAGGAAAGCTGGGACCCCAGGCCAGAACGGTACCGCTGAGGCTGCAATGGCAGGTAGGCACCAGAGCAGGGGGTTCGGAACCTCAGGATGATATGCTGAGAAACTTGGACTGTATCCAGAATGTTATTTTAATTGGGATTAATGGTACTTAAATCAGTATTTTGACATACTAATTAAATTTAACACTACAAACATAAGCAGAATTAAAAGCATTATTTAAGTCTTTTATTTCTTTTATTAGAATTTCAGAATTATTTCTAATATATGTCTATACATATATATGAACATGTCTTCATTAGTACCGTAAATAGAATCTTTTTTAAAATTTTCCGGCTGTATAGCTATAGCTACAGAAAATAATGTAAGTTTGTCTTATGTTTTATAACTTTGCTGAACAGTTTTCTGGATGATCTGGATTTCTCTTACACATCTGTTTAAAAATGGTATTTTTATCTCTCCACCATTCTCACACTTAGTTGTCACGGCTTTCATAGTCCACTTTATTATTGCATATTTTTAAAACATGATATCATGTTTTAATAATAATAGTTATTCTTATGTTGGTTCTATTGTAGAGCTTATTAAAAATATTATTGGTTTTTACAGCGTAGGGAATATAGTGATAATAATGTAGTATCTATATAGTGCCGGGTGAGAACTAGACTTATTGGGGGGAAGACCTAGTAAGTCTAATCATTATGCTGTATACCTGAAACTGATATAACATTGAATGTCAACTGTAATTAAAAAATAAAAAATAATTTAAAATATATAATTGGCTGTACTACTCTTTGCATATGAAACCCTCTATTCTTAATTTATTTTTAGAGCTTTTGTCAAGAATAGAGAAATTTTAGAGCTTTTGTTAAGAATAGAGGTCTCAGAAGAGTTACATGTGCGTGTATTTTCCACTAATGTCAAACATTATGCTAATAGTTTTTCTTGAATTAGACCACAGGCTGCAATGATATTTTTGGAAAGGGCCAGATAATAAATGTTTTAGGCTTTGTGAGTCATACATGTTCTCTGTTGCATATTCTTCCGTTTCTTTTAACAGCCCTTTAAAAATACAGAAACTATTCTCGGCCTGTGGGCTGTCCAAAACCAGACCATCGGCAACAGTTTTGGCCTGCAG